TTTAGAACATTTTATAATGCTAATAGTGTATGATTCACGTCCTTTTACATTTTAAAAATGTTCCAGTGATATATCTTATTTGATGACCAACAATTTTCCTTGTTTATTTATTGTTTTCTTTTTACAATACGTACCAAGCTTACCGGCTCGTTTTATGAACGTGTTTTTTTCTTTTCTCACTTTTTATGCTTTACACAGACAGCACAAGAGCTAGGTGTTATGTATTTAAAATAAAATCTTGATTTTGTGCATTTACATCAATAAAAAAGCTTTTTAAAAACTCTTTTTGCGAGGATCTTGATCTTGACACTGAGCTCTATACATACTAGTATTGTGTGTGTTTCAAGGGATGAAAAATGCTTCTACATATACTTAAAAACGCAATTTTCTCTTTTGCAAAAGGCTCAATGTTACCAAACCTTGTAGGTTCGTTTGGCAATGCCTAGAACTTTCAAAAACTCAGAAAAAACAACAAAAAATCGCGCGAACATTTTCTGATTTTAGACTTTGCTTTCAAATTTTTCAGCAATACTGTGACTTTTGGCCAATTTTTTTCGATAATTTGTAAATTTGACCAATATTCTTCAAATTTAATAGTATTTAGAAAAATTAACGCAAAGTTTTACTTCTAAAATTTTATAAATATAAAAATTCCATTTAGTTTACAAAAGGACTGGAGCGACCTGCATGACTGCCATCATCTGGCTTCAATTTCCCCCCCTGATTTATAGTTCCAGTTGTTATTACAGTTCACTGCGTTGAACTTTCAATTCAACTTTCATGCGTTGAAGCATGAAAATTCCCGGATAATGAATGGTAAAATGGCAATCGATGACTTACTAGACAATTAGAACCAATTAGAACCGATCTAAAACATATTATACTCACATTATACGATAGATATGAGACTCGGCCAAAATTGTATAGTAATCGTGACAACGGCAGTTAGACATTGAGAGCATTGGGTATAAATCATTGTAAAAAGGCCACTGTTTTAAATGTAATGTGGCATAAATTTGCTAAACAATTAATTCAATAACCTCATTTTGAGGACACTTTTAAACAAGAAAATATAGCAAAAAAAAGCTGTGAAAATAATCAGAAAAAGACGAATTTTGAAATAGCCGAAGTAACAGCTAGGCTTCCAAATATCTGTGATTAGCTTGCTTAAGTAATAGCCTCTTCGTCATTCTTGGAGAGGATGGCGCATGCGTGATCATGGTTGTCTAATCATCAAAAAGCAAGTTTGTAAATGTAGATCGTCAAGGTTGGTATAGTCCTGGGAAGGACTGTTTTTGTTGTTGTTGACTGACGTTTTGACAACCTTAGCGGTAGTCATCTTCAGAGTCAAAACGTCAGTCAACAACAACAAAAACAGTCCTTCTCAGGACTATACCAACCTGGACGATCTACATTTACAAACATGTAAGGATACTCCCAAGCTATTAAGACGATGCCTGTTGCATATTTATTTCTTAATTTCCAGCAGCAAATAATGCAGAAAACTTGATAATTTATTTTCTTTGAAGAAAAGCATTCATGAATTGAACAACTTAAAAGGCTAACAAAATGTCATTTTCTCATGCACATATTGAACGAAATCAAATGTCTACATAAATGAATGAAAGCATGTCTTTCTAAAAACGATTTGGTTGTCGGATTTCGTTGGGTCTTTGGACAACAAATTTTATTGAAAAATGTAGTTTTACCATTTATTTACAAAAATTGTTGCTGTATTTTAGAGGACATAACAGTGAACTAGTTTATGAGGGCCCTTGACATGACAGTTTTATGAATTTCATATTTCTCAAAAAACTATTCGACTATATCAACATAATTGTCAAACTTTTATGATCAATTGAAATGCGTAAAAACATTACAGGAGATACGTATATGTACTTTGACACACTATAAAATTTAAAATTTACGTTAATGCAGTGAAATTCTACATGTTTTTGCAAAATTCTCTTTCTCCCTGGAAAACAATAAACGTAGAATCAAGTTATCATAAAAACAAAAAATATAAATATTATTATTATAAAAACGGGAAAAAATATTTTCACGAAATCTCATTGTCAAATGGCCGATTTGGCTTGTTGAGACTAAATTTGGATTGTTTTCTACAAAGTTCCTTCTTTGGAAAGTAAAATTCTCTTTCGCTATGATAACCACCATCTGAATACACTTTCTTTCTCGTTGAACAATTTACATCGCTTTTTAATCAATTTTGATTTTACTTCGCAAACAAATACATTGCAAAAAAGTATCACTTTTGATCAAAATATCTCAAAAGCTGTCCACTGCTGCAGCCAATCAGATTACTGGAAATCATAAAATATCACTTAAAATAATAAATTGATTTACTTTTAACATTAAAAACGCTTATTAAATTAAATTTTGTTATAGTCAAAAATAGTCATGTTTTTATCATGCTGTCTTCATTAATTTGTCTAAAGCAAAGAGTAAATGTATGTACATATTACTTTTTAAACTTTAATTTTTGAGAACCTAGCAAAGAATTTTTCCAGCCTGTATCATACTTTAAATTGCAAAATTTTCGCAATTTAGAGTATCTTGTAGATGTAATAGGTTAATAGCTCAAGATTTTTAAATACAAATAAATTGTAATAACTTTGTAGACTCTTGAAAATATTTAAAAAATGCAGGATTAATATAATAGACTCTATTGATTGACTTGGAAGTTTTTTGGCATTAAAAAATTTGTCGGGGTGGCTGGGATGGTTCATTATTCACTCAAGAGTTTCCTGCACGACAAGGATATGCTATACACACAACTTAATTATTTCAGTTATCAGTTCCAAATAATTACATATTCAAGTGGGTGTTGTTGATAATTAGTTCTTGTTGATATATAAAATAACACGCCATTAACTCGATAATTAAAGTTTGCATGGTTTAGTAAACTTTAATTATGTACTTTACTCGTTGAAAACGATTTTTGTACTTGCTTCTTCTTACGCCAAGAAAAAAATTGTTATTGTAAATACACCTTAAAATTCTCCCATTCTGGCAAAGTCCACTACTTATAGTTACAATGAATCATTATCATGTCAAAAAAGCTGACTCACTCCTCATTTAATAGATAAATCGTGAGTCAAAACACGAGCCTTAACTATCTTCACTAGACTTTGGGTGACTGTGAATCATTACTAGAGAAATGGCGGACATTAAATGAAGGTCATGCTTACTATGGACGGAAATAAATGTTTGTATTTCTTGTTCACATTTGATGATTGTTGATACCGATTTCGACACAATAAATAAAACTTGTTTAGTAAGGTGTCTTTCTGCTTTAGAAATGCATAATTTACTATTTTAAATTGAAATTTATTTCTACTCTGTTTAAACGAAAAAAGCAAAATGTAAAACACAATCATACATGGACCGACAACGTAGATAAACACAATGAAGTATTACTTAGGATGTCATATCTAGATAAATCAAAGATATGACGGACAGACAGCAAGCCAATATCAACACTGCTCTTTTCATTTAGCGTTCTCGATAAGTGGAGTATATTAAAATGTATGATTATTGTACGTAAAATATTTATCATCTGCTAAAAATAAATAACATTTCAACTACATGATATATTCCCTATACTGTGTCATTAAACAGTAAAATAAGCTGGTTGTCTTTTACTTTCCACTTATATGTATTATGCTTTATGTAAAAATACGAATATAGTACAGACAACAGACTAATTGTGACGTCACTGCTACGATTGTAACTTTAACCCAGTAATTATCTTTACTTATCAACGATTATATTAATCCCCGTATACAATAATAATTGTAAAATTATCAATCATATAAACATTTACATAGCAGCTGTTAATAAATATTTTTTTAATAACAAATACATCAAGGATAGTTCTCAAACCTATGTTAACAATATTTGTTAAGGAAATATTACATACGCTCCTTCATTGAAAGGAAAATTTTGCTTAGTAGAAAGCAAATTCAAGGAAGGAAAACAATTTGTAAAATATTATCTGAATGTAGTTGTGGGAACTGTACTTAATATCAAGAAATAAGCCTTAATTTATTGATATACAAATACTAATTTAAAACACAGACTTACAAAAAACTATGCAGTTTACCGTTACATGCCCTCAATATATATTATTATGTTTAACGTTCAGGTATAACTTTTTGTTACATTTCTACATTCAGGTGTTTTTTGATTTCAACTTTTTTGATACTGTAACTAGGCCATGTTATTGTAATTTTAAGTAAGGCTACTGAACTGTAGTGTAATCACACTTTAACATAAAGGACGTCATTTTTTCTTGAAACTATAATCTCTCTCACAAACAGTTAAGTCCTCTCTATCCTGGGCAATGGACCAGCATAATTAGCAACTTCAATCTTCCGAAAACACCACGTATTTGAATTCTACAACCCTCAACATTTTTTTTACGATTTGTACTACAATAGACTTGATAAATAAGAGGAAACTTTCTCATACCACTCCTCCGTTGTTCTATTTCACCCTTTTTTTTCTGAGGGTGTGCACTATCCTTTCAGCTTCCCCACTTTACGATACGTGCACTAACATCAAGTTAAATGTCGCTCCATGGGGTTTCTCAAACTCCTAAGCAGGAAACTGAGCCCCTAATTTTCGACCTTCTTTATTCCGGTAGCTCTATTAGTAAAGATGACTCTGATAAATTGAATTTCATTTGTTTTTTTTACAACCAAAGGCTTTGCTAAGCACAACAAGAGCAAATCATTTACGGGTTTAAGTGTACATTTGTATGAACAAATGCGTATTTATAAATATAAGTATGAAAAAAATAAATTAGTACCTTTCCAAGAGTGGCGGAAGTTAATACCAACATCTTTGATTTTGCACACACAATCACCAGAAATGATTTGCGAACAATCGAAAATCCGAATTCGCATTTTGTTTTACAAAACTTAACCAAATTTTGCCAAAAAAATTAATTTACCAAATTTGTAGTTTTTTAGACGTTGTATACATAAAAAAGGCTTTATTTCTATGTCAGTAGAGTTGTCACGGAACTGAAATATCTAACTTTAAAACCACTGTTGTTTAATTTTCTTTTACTAAAGGGACAATGGCTTGAAGTGGGATACATGATTTTAACTACCGACTTTCTCTTAGAAAATCAACACATAAAAATACATTGAAGTCAAGTCGAGGGTTAGTGACGAGTAAGGAAAGTAAAATATATAAACATAAAAATGTCACTACGAATTTTACAGTCTTTAAAAATTCTAAACGATTTCTAAGTGGAAAGTATGGTACATGTTGTCGTCGCATATTTAATTTGTAACTCTAAAATATTTAATCTTAAACTTCCATCTGATGCATCCGTTGCACTTGTAATTCATCTGCTAGTGAATCCTTTCATAGATAGAAAAAAAGAAAAACAGTTTTTTAGTCACTTTGTACATACATACGAAATAATGATATTAGTTAGTGTAAAACAATGCAAAGGCTTTATTTACTGTGAAGTACTCAAACGTCGACTACATGTCGATATCCATGCAATTATGTCAAGTACGAAAATTTTTTCAACTCATAATAAAATCTGCTGATATAATATACATTACAAAACAAAAATTGCCCGTCAGCTGATATAAAGTTTGCTCACCAATGATGAGAGAAGATTTACGTGGTAATGTATCCCGCCATTCTTTTCAACCTTAGAAATATGTTTTCGCTCAGGATCACCTGCAACCATCACCTCAAGTTCTTTGTCTACCTATATACGTATGGATAAAGAGATACACAAGTTGATAACTCAGCATAGTCCATAAAAACAAAACAAAAAAAAACAACAGTAAACATACTGGTTCAAGTGAGCGACAATCATTCATTAATGAACTTAAACGTTCTTCAAAACCAGGAGCAAACTTATTAGGATCAACAGCCACAAAACATTGACCCTAAAAACAAATTATAGATCATGTAGTTTCTCAAAAAGAGAAACAAAATTACATCAGTTAATCTATAAGATTCGTGATTGCTTTCTTATGAAACAATGACGCAATTAAAAATGTTGAAAGAAAAACACTTGTACTGTATGTACAAAGGAAAAAATTACAACATATGAATATTATACACAGCGACGATTGAGACTTATAGTTATAAACCTTTTCGATCGTAAACAAAAGACGATGGAGTTTAAATAGTGGTTTAGGGAAAAAATCCATTCTTTTTGATCACTAAAGCATATTATGACAGGCAAATAATGCCCTTCATGGAAATTACAGACCTGCCAATTTTGAAGTACCGAAAAACTTAAAATCTCAAAGGTTCACAACCAAAAAATAGAAATACTTTATAATAACATAAGGTACGACTGTCGACATCTAGAAGGCAGAAACTTTTCCATTTCCCCATATTGATTTCAATTCAAAGGCAGTAACTATTTCTTTATTGGATATTATGCAGGATGTCAGAAAATATTGTTAAAATTAAACATGCTTAGAATTATATAGAGATACGATGTTCTATAGCAGAGTTTGCATTACCCTGCGCAAAACAGATTAATCAATCCAATCCATCAAAATGTGTTTGCACTGGCTTGCTACCATTTGCGTTCAAGCCATGGTTCAAGCGTTGAGTGTGAGAAATTTTCCACGATGTTTCCGTGTCTAAAACGTTACATTTCCTTGTCTTTTACTGCGTGTTATAGGCGTGGAATTTGCACTTTGAAAATATGTCAACGTTTGACAAGCCCATTAAACAAGTTTTCCTTGAATAAACAACATTTTTGCATGTTTTCGTAACACGTTTATTTTTTACTTATACATTTTTTTATAACAATGTCCATCCTTATAAAACTTGCATGGAGTTTGATTAGTTATTGCAGCTATAATGCAGATCAATCGCGAAGGTCGTTCAAAGATAAATCAAAGATAATCGATGAGCTTTTTCTTCGCAGAGCCGACAGAATCACGCAGTTCTTTCCTGAAGGCACATACACTACAGTCTACCGCGCTGTTAAAGTGTGTTCAAACTGGTTCAACCACAGTGAAGCTTTCTTTTCTGTTGACGTTACGGATGAACTTCTGCGTTGCTTCACACATGGTGTTATCTCATCATGAATTCGTACACACATTCTAAAAATCTCATCAGAGTTCGGTTCTGCTGTTAAACAGCGCATATCGTCTTGTCGATCAGATTCGTCCCTTAGATGGTTACAAACGTATTTTCATCGTCTCTGTATTGCAGTCGCGCGTTTTGGGTGTCAACTTCATCCATAACTCCACAACTGTCTCAGCGATCATTTGTATAAATTTAAACGTGTCAAACTATTTTTTGGATCGAATGAACCTTTTCTCCATGATGAATTTTATCTACGGATGGACATTGTTACGTGTTACACAAACATGCAAAGACGTTGTTTTTCCAAGGAAAACTTATTTAATGGGCTTGTCAAACGTCAACATATTTTCAAGGTGCAAATTCCACGCCTATAACATGCAGTAAACGACAAGGAAACGTCATATTTTAGACATGGTAACTTCGTGAAAAATTTCTTACACTCAACGCTTGATGTGTTCTGAATGAACACGGAAGAATTTAATTTGCTAAACTAAACCAACTACTGCAAAAGGAGAATTTTAACTGCATAAACAATATAACTTAGATAAGTAAGATGCAAAATTTTGTTGTAAAATAACAAATGTTAAAAATCACAACATGCATAAATGAGGTTGATAAGTCAAACAGTAAAAGGAGTGTTGGACAAGTAAAGTATTGAGCTTACCAAATTAGCAGGAACATCATTTTGACCCCAACGTCTAATATGAGGACCAAAAGCACCACCAGACAATATACCACAAAATAATTCAACCATAAAACACAAACCATAACCTTTATAACCACCTAAAAATGAATCAGAAGTTGAACTTTTGTACATATGTAATTAGACAATATATACATATGCTCTGATAACATTCTCTAGCTTACTATCTGGTGATTCTGGTCCATCTATAGTCATCTACGTAATGGCTACCATCTTCCTGTCATGTCTTTCTTTTATGTACCGTCAAGTTGTTGACAACATTTTTGACTATGCAGCTACATCAACTTAAATTTGCTGTATTATAATTATACTTGATAGCTCACTAGTACTTGTGCCACCATTTTATTTAATCTTCATACTTACTATTCACTTCACTACCACCCAATGGATTAAGTCCACCATTCAAAGCCTTTGCAGCATCATTTGTTTGCTACAGAATAACAAAAGTATTGCAGTATTATTTTAATATGTGTAGACTAACTAAGAAATTTTAAGTGAGTAAAGTTTTTCTCTTGTTTCCACCTGGGAATGACATAAAAATTTGTATTATGTAGATGATGAATTATGTGTTCAATATAGCTCACATTTCCATCAGAATCCACTGCCCAGCCATCTGGGATTTTTTCATGTTTACGATGAGCCATTTCAACCTAACAAATATAAGACCACTAAATGTAAAAAATATGTAAGCACAAGTTGTAGTCACAATCACAAGAGAATAATAAGAGCTTTAATATTGAAAGAGTTTAAAATATATAACTACATGTAGAAAAATTGACATTGTATGTAGAAATGTATGTTCGTATGGGAATTTGTACATAAAAAGATATAGATTTGTACCTTTCCAAGAGCTGCAGAAGTTGTAGCCATATCCAAAACAAACATATCTTTCTCATTCTTACTTCCTTCACATTTTCCTGCAGCAGCCACTGAAAGTGGATTTGTCCCCAATGTTTTCTATAAAAGTTGTGAAAATATAACATTATGATCATGACTTCAAAATACTCACTTAAAAATATTAACTTTACCAACCACTTTTGCTCTAGTTGGTACCATTAATGGTGATGTGTTAGTCATAGCCATTCCCTGTTCAACAACAAATAATATGCATGAACATGTTTAAATATGTTTATATTTATAAATTATATATTATGACTCACAATTAATCCATGTTGAGCAGCTTTCATGGAGTAATAGCCAGCAATACCAAAATGATTGGCATCTAAACACAAAAATTAAATACCATCAATAATTTGGACATGTATTCTGATATATTGTTAATGTAAATTGAAACTTTCTTATCAAATTTCATGATTTGTTACATTCAATGCATTGTAAGCTTTTGCTCAAGATCACAATGTCAGGTTACATACATATTTTTATTTAAGTTGTAGATAAAAATTGCCAATTTCAAATCATTTTGGTAAATGTTTACTCACTATGACAGGTCAACCATCCAACACCTGTTTCTTTAGCCTTTTTAATTGCTAGATCCATACAAAATGTACTACTCACCTACAGATGGAGAAAGTGTTCATTTGAATTTATGAAAATATATTCATGTATATTTAATTTCACATAAACTTACAGGTCCCAAGATGTTTTTAGCATCGATCAAGGCAGTAGAGACTGTTTCCTTTTCTATGACAGGATGACCAATGGATGAAGTTGTACCTTCTTGAACATCATGAACATACATGGCTGTCATCGATGGTACACAATAAGAACATGAATATATTGAGAGCAAACTAAACACTTGGATCTTAGAATTTACTACCATCATGAAATAAACACATTTACCAATAAACTTAAGCGTTGAAGAAGAGTACTGAAATTTTTATTTGTTAAAGTTTGTAAAAAAAACTGATAGACAATAACTTTGCACAAAATTTAAAAAAACAAGCTTTCGAAAGTTTCAAAAAATGAAAATATGTGAAAACAAGTATTCAATATAGATAATTCTCACACGGAAAATTTCTGACTTGCAACTATTTTCTTTAGATTTAACAAACAATGTTAACAATACAAATAAAACATTCTTCCTCAGAACACACACCAGCATGGATAATTGCAAATAAAGAATAAGATGAACACAATCCACTTACTCAACAAAAAACTAGTATATGTTTTCTTGAATGAAGATATGATCTTCGCACTTTGCTGGACAATTTAAGCAATCGTCTCATGACCTGAAAAAATCAGGTGACTCAACGGGATCATGAGACGATTGCTTAAATTGTCCAGCAAAGTGCGAAGATCATATCTTCATTCAATTTCAAACACCGCACTGCATATATGTTTTCTGTTATGAATAAATATTTATAATCCGTTATCACATTTCTTTTAATTAAATTTTCATGGTAATTTGACTAGATTTGTCGATAAATATTTTCTACATATATGTTTATAAAAAATATAAAAAATACTAGTCACCTCATAAACACATTAGTGAGTTTTACTGTTAGGTCTTAAATTTAAAAAAAAATTGGTATTAATCGTTTAATACCGTTTGAGGAATGTCTTACACTCAAAATGACAAGTTGATATAGTCAACAAACGTGAGATTATTACTTCAAAAAACGTAAAAAAATTAATGGTTACCCACCCAGTCTATTTAATCCATGACTAAAATGTCCTCTTGCATCTGCAGCAACAAGAACATCAGCAAGTATCTTTGAATGACCAGGATCTGTGCCAACTCGACACATACAACTTTGAATGAACCTGCTAACTTCTTCTACAGAGACTAGTTTAAATGATGCTTTACTAGACATATTTGCTCTTCCACGTTGAACCAGTGAACTGTAATATAAACTGGAACGATAACTCCTATAGTTTTGTCCCATGATTGGTTGAAGCCAAACATGCAGCTAAATTATTATCAACTCCCCCCTGAAATAATGCGTGTTTTGATCATTGTTTTTGATTGTTTTCTTCGCGACTGACGTTTGTTTTGGCTTCTTGGCAGTAAAAAACGTGAAAAAATTATTTATTGTTGTATTTTTGACAGATTTTGTGTTTTAAAATTACATCTACCATACTTAGTGTATGCTACAGCAAGATGTTTTCGAGGAAAAAAATAATGGGCGAGAATTGAGGACGATTGATCGCCCAAAATATACAAAAAATACATAAAAGTGTATGATTCACGTCCCTTTACATTTTAAAAATGTTCCAGTGATATATCTTATTTGATGACCAACAATTTTCTTTGTTCATTTTTTGTTTTCTTTTAACAATACGTACCAAGGTTACCGGCTCGTTTTATGAACGTCTTTTTTTCTTTTCTCACTTTTTATGCTTTACACGGACAGCAAAAGAGCTAGGTGTTATGTATTTAAAATAAAATCTTGATTTTGTGCATTTACATCAATAAAAAAGCTTTTTAAAAACTCTTTTTGCGAGGATCTTGAACTTTTCTTAATGACACTGACCTGTAATACATATTTGTATTGTGTGTATTTCATGGCATGAAAAATGCTTCTACGTATACTCAAAAACGCATTTTTCTTTTTTGCAAAAGGCTCAATTTTACCAAAACTTTGTAGGTTCGTGTATTTAACATGGAACTAAAAAATTTTGGTGGTTTGAACGTTTGGCAATGCCTAGAACTTTCAAAAACTCAGAAAAAGCAACAAAAAATCGCGCGGACATTTTCTGATTTTAGACTTTGCTTTCAAATTTGTCAGCAATACTGTGACTTTTGGCCAATTTTTTTTCGACAATTTGTAAATTTGACCAATATTCTTCAAATTTAATAGTATTTAGAAAAAGCAACGCAAAGTTTACTTTTAAAATTTTATAAATATAAAAATTCCATTTAGTTTACAAAAGGACTGGAGCGACCTGCATGACTGCCATCATCTGGCATCAATTCCCCCCCTGATTTATAGTTCCAGTTGTTATTACAGTTCACTGCGTTGAACTTTCAATTCAACTTTCATGCGTTAAAGCATGAAAATTCCCGGATAATGAATGGTAAATGGCAATCGATGACTTACTAGACAATTAGAACCAATTAGAACCGATCTAGAACATATTATACTCACATTATACTATAGATACCAGAATCAGCCAAAATTGTATAGTAATCGTGACAACGGCAGTTAGACATTTAGAGCATTGGGTATAAATCATTGTAAAAAGGACACTGTTTTAAATGTAATGTGGCATAAATTTGCTAAACAATTAATTCAATAACCTCATTTTGAGGACACTTTTAAACAAGAAAATATAGCAAAAAAAAGCTGTGAAAATAATCAGAAAAAGACGAATTTTGAAACAGCCGAAGTAACAGCTAGGCTTCCAAATCTCTGTGATTAGCTTGCTTAAGAAATAGCCTCTTCGTCATTCTTGGAGAGGATGGCGCATGCGTGATCATGGTTGTCTAATCATCAAAAAGCAAGTTTGTAAATGTAGATCATCAAGGTTGGTATAGTCCTGAGAAGGACTGTTTTTGTTGTTGTTGACTGACGTTTTGACTCTGAAGATGACTACCGCTAAGGTTGTCAAAACGTCAGTCAACAACAACAAAAACAGTCCTTCTCAGGACTATAGCAACCTGGACGATCTACATTTACAAACATGTAAGGATACTCCCAAGCTGTTAAGACGATGCCTATTGCATATTTATTTCTTAATTTCCAGCAGCAAATAATGCAGAAAACTTGATAATTTATTTTCTTTGAAGAAAAGCATTCATGAATTGAACAACTTAAAAGGCTAACAAAATGTCGTTTTCTCATGCACATATTGAACGAAATCAAATGTCTACATAAATGAATGAAAGCATGTCTTTCTAAAAACGATTTGGTTGTCGGATTTCGTTGGGTCTTTGGACAACAAATTTTATTGAAAAATGTAGTTTTACCATTTATTTACAAAAATTGTTGTTGTATTTTAGACGACATAACAGTGAACTAGTTTATGAGGGCCCTCGACATGACAGTTTTATGAATTTCATATTTCTCAAAAAACTATTCGACTATATCAACATAATTTTCAAACTTTTATGATCAATTGAAATGCGTAAAAACATTACAGGAAATACGTATATGTACTTTAACACATTATAAAATTTAAAATTTACGTTAATGCAGTAAAATTCTACATGTTTTTGCAAAATTCTCTTTCTCCCTGGAAAACAATAAACGTAGAATCAAGTTATCATAAAAACAAAAAATATAAATATTATTATTATAAAAACGGGAAAAAATATTTTCACGAAATCTCATTATCAAATGGCCGATTTGGCTTGTTGAGACTAAAATTGGATTGTTTTCTACAAAGTTCCTTCTTTGGAAAGTAAAATTCTCTTTCGCTATGATAACTACCATCTGAATACACTTTTCTTTCTCGTTGAACAATTTACATCGCTTTTTAATCAATTTTGATTTTACTTCGCAAACAAATACATTGCAAAAAATTATCACTTTTGATCAAAATATCTCAAAAGCAGTCCACTGCTGCAGCCAATCAGATTACTGGAAATCATAAAATATCACTTAAAATAATAAATTGATTTACTTTTAACATTAAAAACGCTTATTAAATTAAATTTTGTTATAGTCAAAAATAGTCATGTTTATCATGCTGTCTTCATTAATTTGTCTAAAGAAAAGAGTAAATGTATGTACCTATTACTTTTTGAAACATAATTTTTGAGAACCTGGCAAAGAATTTTTCCAGCCAGTTTCATACTTTAAATTGCAAAATCTTCGCAATTCAGAGTATCATGTAGATGTAATAGGTTAATAGCTCAAGATTTTTAAATACAAATAAATTCGTTTCTTAACATGGTGGAACCAACCTTTTCACTCTCCTTCACCAAAAAAGTTTGTTTTTCTTACCTTATAACTAATATGCGATAAATATATATTCCAAATCAAAGCAACAAAACTGATATACGCCACTCGATATGGTGATGGAACTAGATAAAAATTTACAGTTTGTGCTGCAGGCCATATCATTAGATCCATCTAAAAAGTATAATATTTAATTTAAAGATATGAAATAGTAATTTATATGTTACAATATCAAAATAAAGTAACACTTATAACATCAGCATAAATATAACAGATAAGATTTTAAAAAATGCTTGTAAATTTTAAGAGTTGTGAGTGAAATTGTAGTTAACTTACTTCGTAATTTTATTAATTTTATTCCGTAATTTTTGTATATAGCAATATTTTGTGTTTCGCAGAGCAGCTTTATAAAATGAATTCATTCATATTTTTTTGGGATGGTGCAAAAATTTAGAGAGGTAAAAAATGACATAGGTAAAACAAATTTAGCCAATGTGAATGGTTTGAATCCGGGCATACATGTTTGTAGATGAAGATCGTCCAGGTTATTGAAGTCCTGAGAAGGACAGTTGTTGTTGAATGACGGTTCGACAACCTTAGCAGTAATTTAGAACTTCATTAACCTCAACTATATACACACTTACAAACATGTACAAGTTTAATAACCAGCACAAAGATACACAAGGAAAACACAAACGTACATGATACAAAGCTTTAAAAGCTTTGCTGCATACACTTGTCTGAATATCAGAACTTTCTTCTGAGTTCTGACATAAACCTTTTCTTCTCGTTGACAAACAAATCTACCAACTACGTAGTACCCTCAACACTATCAAGTTAATACAGGCCATAAGGATTCTAAGGTTGTTCAGGAGCACTGTACTTGAATGGTTAACTCTAATCTATTAACAACAATGAAGGTGCATCAAACACTCCTCGCACACTGTGAAAAATCTTGGTTTCTTGAAAAAATTTCACAATTTGTTGACATCTGAGAAAAAGCTTAGCCCGTAAAATCAATCACATATAGCACTTTTTAAAGTTAGGTAACCATATAGATGGAAATACTCTAACCACAGCATACAATTGTCTTTCAAAAGTGGTCCACATTATTTTTAAACATACAAAATTATTTTTTCCCTTTTCCCCTTTCATTGTCTTGCATTAAAATTGTTCCAGCATCCATACAACTCCAAACTACAGCATACAATATTTCACTAGTGGTCCAGTTTGAAATAATTATACACCTTATTGTAGCCCATAAAAACAACAAATAGTCAAACTCCACTTTTCTAACCTCAAATAACATAAATATGTAGCAATCCTTCCTTCTTTTCTCTCCATAAACTTGTGCAAACTAATCTCTTTTTGCTGTTTAAACATTGTAAAATCAATGTTTCCACTGTGTTAATTTATCATTATAAACAACTGTTAAATACCTTATACATAGGCCAGAACTTTAGTTTTATTTCCTTCCAACAATTTAAATTAGATTTTCCCTCCATTTTTGCCATTCCTAAAATCAACCAACAAAAAACCCACAAAACATTTCATAATAAAATTATAGTAAAAATACCAATGTTGTCTAAAGTTTGGCATTGATAGTCAATTTACAACAGTCACAGAAAAAACAAATGACCTTAACCTATTCAGACAATGGTCATATGTATTAGGTGTAGGGGGGGGGGTTGTTTTCTATGATCAAACTTTTTTAAAGAAAACTTAGCGCAGGTTTTCAAAAACACATCAATGCAAAAGAGGCAGCTGCAGCAGGTTTTCGTTGCATTTAAGGTTATTAAGTAATATTTTACACAAAGATGGATGGTTTCAAATGGGTTTTTTGTAAAGAAATTTCTGTAGTAGAAATGGAAAACTCTTCTTAAGTGATCATTGACCTTAATTTCTGACCATTGGCATCAATCCTGCAATAATTGGGGGGGGGACCATATTCTGTTTTGCCAAGATGATTTCTTTCGAAAGTGAAGTTGTTTTGAAAAGAAATTAGTCAGGCATAGCAGAATATATGAATATGGTCCACCCCAATTAACACAGGATTGACGCCAATGTGTCTGAAACATTCTTGGTAAAAAAAACGTTAATGCCGAAAACTATACATTCACTCAAGCATAAAAACCCATGGTGGATGTGTGCACCACTTACCGCCCAAAAATGTTGAAGCAAAAGCTGGTGACATAATTATTTCATCACCAAGAACCTTTCTCACAACTACAGAATGAATATTACCAACGATAAATCGATCTAAACCCAAGTACCAATAATGAACAATTGGACTCATCAAAGCTCCAACAACTGTTATGTTCAATGTTCGTCGAAAATTATATGGCTTCAAATGACTTGTTTTGTCTGTTAGTTTATCATAATAACGCTCTCTTTGCTGCTCAACAAAGTCACCAAGTCCAAATAAAGTGGTGAAAGTTACAGTATTTGCAATAAAGCTATATCGTTGAAAACAATTCTTTAACACCATTCATAAATTGTGAAGAAATCTTTCATTACGTTTTATACTTTATGTAACTTTTTGAAAAGACTAGAAATAGAATCAATGTTATTGATTCTAATGGTTGAATGAAGCAAGATAATTTAGAATATATATTTTTCTGCAGCACATATCAAGGCCCCATGGTGTAATGGTTAGCACTCTGGACTTTGAATCCAGCGATCCGAGTTCAAGTCTCGGTGGGACCTCGCTTCTTTTATGTATGGAAGAAATTCCATTCTACATTGTTTTGTTTTAGTTAAAAATTTTGCAATTGCTTAATCTCAAAGTATTTAGTGAGCATGATTTTTTCAACGTCTTCTTAAAAATACTTTTATTTAAAGATAATGTAAAAACGTAATAGTCAGGCTTAGTCAGCAAACATAATCCAAGAACGACTACTAGTTCCAGGGTCATTGACAGCACCCCAAACCAAATTAGCCTGCGTACAGGTTGTAGGAAAAGTCGGTTTCTTGGCAACGACATAAACTAAATGAAAAATAATAGTCTTGTGAAGTGAATGAGAAACGAAGAAGATTTAATAACTGCAATTTTTGAATTTATTTTTTAAACTTATTTCATAATGTCGATAGCATCATTGACAACTAGATTTGTATTTGGCATTAAAGGTGATATTTCAGATAACATTTGTTATCTGGATGAGCAAACGATCGTATTTCCCAGTGGTTCTAACTGCATCCTGTATAACATTGATCAAAAAACTCAGAGGTTTATTCCAGGAACAGATAAAAGTCCAGGGATTTCTTCAATGGCAGTAAGTCCTAACAGACGTTATATAGCCATTGCTGAAAGAGGAGACAAGGCGATTATAACTATATTTGATCTTCATACCTTACGAAAAAGGAAAGTGCTTACTTATTCTGATGGCACAGCTACAGAGTTTGTGAGTTTAGCTTTTTCTCCTGATTCCAAGTATTTAATATCACAAGGAGGAAAACCAGATTGGATTCTACTGTATTGGACTTGGGAGAAAGCAAAAATTATGGCATTAACCAAGTCATCAAATCAAAACGTTTCGCCTGTTCATCAGGTAAAATGATATTTAAACAACATTTTATGACGTTTCACTCATTCATTTAGTACTTAGGTTTGTAGGTTAAAGACGTTATTCTTTCATAATTTTGTCTATGGATCTTTTCCTCTTCTTGAAATATTTTCTCCCATTATTTAATACACGCAATAATCTTTTACAACTCTTCTGTACATCTACAAGTTTAGTTTAAGTTGGTTCTTTTATAACAGCTTACACATGTGCTCTACTATGTTATAAATTCCATAATCATAATGAAATTTTTAATTTTATTGCTTAATATTTCACCCTTTACGTAGGTCTCGTTTAATCCTCAAGACAACACACAGCTATGCGTAGTTGGTCAAGGTATTTTCAAGCTTTTCCGTTACAGCGAAGGCAATCTCAAACAATTTGCATTTCAAAAATTGGATCCACAAAACTTCTTGTGTCATACATGGCTTTCTGATGAGAAAATTGTGGCTGGAACTGATACTGGTCGGCTATTGTTGTTTGAGTCTGGAGAATTGAGAAATGAGCTTCATATTAGTGGACCGTCATCAACTTCGGCGTTCAAGTAAATACATTCATTTGTTAATATTTTTTTATACATCGTATAAACTCAATATATTATTATTATTAACTCAATATACGTATAATCATTTATATTATATTTTATACTCAAAACGTTTGCCCTAGATGAAGTGATAGCAGGTATTTTGCATGATTAAAGTTTCCAAGTTTTGGAAAATATGTTTTGAGCAAAAGGAAACTTGTTTTCTGTCGTTTTCCACCAAATTGAGCAGTATATAATACAAATCGTTTTAAATGCAAGCTTTTAAATGGATGAACCTTTGCTTACACCTTTATCTTATGTTGTATTTTTTATTTTTTACTTTCAATTTCATAGCAAAAGTGCTCTTTTCACCACCGAATTTAAAACTAAAGTTAAAATCATATAATCGTTTTCCTCTGCATCTTAAATTTTCCTTCATCCTTATAGTTTTCAGCAATTGGAACTAGAAAACAATTCAATTTCACTGTCAACAAGCCACATCGACACATCGACCATTTTACAAAGGGAATTTCTTCATTGAAAAAAATAAGAAAAAATAAAAACGTTTTTATTGTTAAAGTCTATCCTTACTACGTGAAAAATATTTTCTTTGGAAGACTACTTTGATTTTTTTTTTTGCTGTAATGACCTTCAACTTTCAGCTGGTTGAAAATAACATGTGTGTTTATCCTGATATTTTAGAGCTCCTGGAGCAATGTCAGTAATACCTGAATCAAGTTCAACTCAAGATCTTCGTCCTCAAGTCACGAGTATTGCAGCGTTTTCTAAAGGTTTTGTCTGCTCTGGTGGAGCCGGTTTTGTTCATTTGTTTGAAAAAACTGACGATAAAGATGGTTTCAAGAAAAGCCGAGAAATAAAAGTTCCAGTAGATTCTCAAAGTCCTGATCCCGAAGCGTCAATAGCAAACCAAATTATCACAACTTTAGCAGTTAGTCCCTCAGAAGAAACACTTGTTTGCAGTACAAAAGCAAATCAAATGTATTCTATTACAATGTCAAGCACTGATTTAGGAAAGGTATTATTCATGATTAGTTAAATCGTGAAAACTATCACTTGTTTTTTTGATGTTATTCATGTGTAGAGTAATATTGAATAACTTCTATTAAAAAGTTTGTCTGTGAGTAAAGTTAATATCGTTAAGTCTACATACATGCTAGATTGGAATACATACATAACCACAAAATTTATATTGAACATAGAGATTGTTAGACTGATAATAAAATAAGTGATCAACCTACGTCAAAATACAATAATTATGCTTTTCTTTTATGTAGGGAGACCAAATCACATTTGAACTTTTGAGTCAATCATTTCATAATGGAGTGATTACAGGTCTAGATATATGTATTCGGAAACCTCTTGTTGCTACTTGTAGCATTGATCGTTCTGTTCGCGTTTGGAATTATGAAACTTGGTATTTATAATATGTGAATTTTTTTTTTTTTAAACAGTTTCATAAAAATTACGTTGTTAGTTAAACTTTACTTCTTTTTTTAGTTCACTTGAGTTATCACGAGAATTCCAAGAGGAATGTTACAGCATAGCTCTCCATCCGTCGGGACTTTATATTCTTGTTGGTTTTAGTGATAAATTACGTTTAATGAACCTCCTTATTGACGAAATAAGAATGTTTAAAGAATTTACTATACGAGGATGTCGAGAGGTAACTGACAAACAAAATAAGTTTTTTGTTAACAAAATGTTTTACTCCATGAACGATTTATTTAAACCTAGACTGAGCCATTAATTTCTTACCTATGTAATTTTCACTTTTACCAATCGTCGCAACTTTGTCTCCTACATACGTTATGTTTTATAATTTTGTACAATAATAAGGTTTTTTACTGCTGACGTTTTTAAATTCGTATTGACCCTTCATTTTTGCAGTGTTCATTCAGCAACGGTGGACATTATTTTGCTACGGTTCATGGAAATGTTATTCAACTATACTCAACTATGACTTTTGAAAATGTCGGCAATCTTAAAGGACATAATGGAAAGGTAACAAGCTAGCCGTAATGTTTCGACATAAACTGCTTCTTGCTTATCTGGCATGTAAAGCTTTTGGGTGAATCCAATAATGATAGCCTATTTATTGATATCTTTTATCTCAAAATACTTTATAACTTGCTCAATTGCTACGATTTTACGTTTTAGAAGTCAATGCCTGTGCTTTTATGATTCAGTTTTTCTAACCAGTTTTAGTACATAGCTACGAGAAAGTATTATTTTATAACATACGTAGCAAACAACAATTGACTCTAAAGTCTAAAAAAATTAGGTTCGTGCGGTAATTTGGAGTCAAGATGACACGAAAATAATATCTTGTGGAATGGACGGCGCAGTATATGAATGGAATGTTTATACTGGAAAACGTGACGGTGAAAGTGTTTTAAAATCATGCAGTTATACTGGAGTGGCTGTCTCGCCAGATGGAAGAACAACTTTTGCGGTTGGATCCGATAAAACTTTAAAAGAAATATGTGATTCTCAGGTAATCTTTGCATGAGTGATATGAGTTTCACTTATAAAATTAAGAAATTTTATTACTTATTATTTTATAAAATTTTATTACTTGTTATTACTTTTTTATTGCTTTTTTAAGATTCTTCGTGAAGTTTCATCAAGTGATATGGTTTTAACTCAAGTGAGTATGTCTAGATCAGGGCGTATGTTGTTTGTTGCTACTAAAACTGGTACTGTCCGAGCTATGAAGTTTCCTTTAACAGTTCCTGGTGAATGGCAAGAATATCAAAGTCATTGTGGCACAGTAACTAAGGTACTATTCATTAAAATACCTACTTCCAAAACACTGTTGTACAGGAATCAAAGTTTGTTTATTCTTTTTTTAGATGCGTATATCCTTTGACGATCAATATTTATTTACAGTCGGTGAAGATGCTTGTTTGTTTATTTACAAAGTGACTGAGAAAGAAGGTCGTGGTTTGAAACGTGAAAAAGAGATAGTTTATGCTGAAGAGATTCTTATTACAAAATCAGACTTAGAAGAAAAGGTTAGTTGTCGCAGACAAATGAAGACGAACTTAGAAAAAGTCACTAAAGCAATCTCTTTCTAATATATTTATTCCTTTGTTTGTTCATCGTGTTTGGTAATATGTAAAACTGTTAGTTTCATTCTCCATCTTCTAGACATTTTTATAGGAATTTAGAAACTTTAGACTTGAAACATAAACACCAATACAACACTTCACAATTCACAATGTTGATATAAAACCTTACTATACAAAATAATATGGTTTAAATAATTACACATTACGTCAGCAGAGAAAAAAGACGCTATATTTTAATCTCTACAGAATTCCATGATGGCTGAGTTAAAAACACGAGTGGAAGAATTAAAAATGGAAAACGAGTACCAGTTGAGATTAAAAGACATGAATTACAATGAAAAAATCAAGGAACTCACCGAAAAGTTTATACAAGAAATGGAATCGTTAAAAACCAAGAATCAAGTATTGAAGACAGATAAAGAAAAAGAAGAAGCAAAACATGAGGAAGAAGTTTCTGACATTCGTGAAAAACATTCAAGAGAGTTGCAGGTGAGTCAATCTTGTCAGTCAGAAGAAAATAAGATAGACAAGCAGATACGTATGCTGGCTGAACATCGTAATAATTTATCTGCACTGGTCTTTTATTACAATGAAAACATGAACAAAGGGTAATTTTCCTTCATAAGCATGTTTTCCATTGTAGTAAAATAGAGTATAGTAATGTATAGTAATGAGTAGTTTTTATTAATGCCGATTGAAGTTGGGAAACGTTTAATCACAGAACACGTGCATTTTTATGTTTAATTTCTATATTTGTTTATCTACGTAAATTTGGAGAAAAGTTACAGCCTTTATATTCCTTGTATTTAGATGTACTTAAAGGTTCATAGTGCGTCTATTTATAGGATTTAGAATCAGCTAATAATCAGAAATTAATGTCGGAATACGAAAAATATCAAGAACTTCAATCGAAGAGTCAGAAAATGCAAGAAGATTATGACAGACAACTGGAGGAAATGGAGTCTTCAAAAGAACAAGCTTTGTCTCAATTAACGGAGTATTTTGAAACTAAACTTCAAGAAAAGAGTGGACAGTTAGAGCAAGTAAGATTACGTTTAAAAATAATGCAAACATATATATTTATAATTAAAATTTTTAACATTGTTACTTTAGTCTCAAGATGAATCACGACAACAAGTTAGAGAACATGAAGAAACAAAACGACAAATTGAAGAAGATGCTGATCGAGAAATTCTTGATATCAAGAATAAATATGAAAGACGCTTAAGAGAAGAGAAGGAACAAAATTTGAGATTAAAAGGCGAGACAGGAATTATGAGAAAGAAGGTAGAGTATATAAAGTAAATGAGAAAGAAGGTAGAATGTATGGATTTCTTAGGGCAGACCATAAAAATATCACTATTAACTTTTCAATGTTGTTTGGATAAAAGAGTCATTTTATAACATTAGTACGAAAGTTCTATTAACACATGCATTTCGTTACATGAAGATTTCATTGAAACTATTTCATATTCAGGCTCTGCTAAATGACTTTATGATAGAGCTAAATGACTTTATGATAGAGCTAAATGACTTTATGACAGTGCTAAATGACTTTATGATAGAGCTAAATGACTTTATGATTGTGCTAAATGACTTCATCATGGTTCCATTGTTGCCATACAATCTTACTTTAAATCAAAAGCGAATGTCATCAAAGCAAATCAAAATCATTAAAGCTACTTTAAATCATGTAACATTTTGTTGTAATGCATTCATTCTATTCATATTGTCCATTTTTAGTTTACAAGTCTTCAGAAAGAGATAGATGATTACAAGGCTGAGATTCAGCGTCTTCATGGTGAACACAACAAACTACAAGGAGTTATCAAATCTTTAGAAAAAGATATTTATGGTTTAAAAAAAGAAATTCAAGAACGAGACGAAACAATTCAAGATAAGGTTGTATTTTAGTTCGCGATAAAACATGCAAGAATAATAAATTGGTTTACTTTTAAAAAGAACAAAGTTTACTCGCATGAAATTTATGATATAAATTACATGAAATATTACGATAAGCAGCTACCACATGTGGTAGAATGCAACAGTTTTGAAATGAAAATTGTCTAATTGAAGACTTATTTTTGCAGGAAAAACGTATTTATGATTTAAAAAAGAAGAATCAAGAACTGGAGAAGTTTAAGTTTGTGTTGGATTACAAGATCAAGGAACTAAAGAAACAAATTGAACCTAGAGAAAATGACATCAAAGCGATGAAAGAACAAATTCAAGAGGTTAGTATAAGAGTTAACAATTGTGCATGAGGGCTATACTGAAAGTTAACATTGTTATATTGGCTATAATGAGGGTAATGTTGTTATATTGGGTATACTTAGGGGTATTTTTGTTACATTGAGTATAATCAGGAATAACTTTGCTACGTTGGGTATACTATGGAGTGGCATATGTAAATTATTATGTGAATTAAATTTGGTCCTTTACTGCCATGTACAAAAAATGCAATGCAGTTTTCATAATCATGCAGAAAATTAAAATAAAATCCGTTAGCTACAGTTTATCCATAGTTTGACATGTTACTGAGGTGTTACTGTTGTAACCATTCGTATGTCTTCTTAGAACTAACCAATTTTTTTGTTTTAAGATGGAAAGTGAGTTAGAGCGTTTCCATAAACGCAATACTTCGTTAGAATTAAACATTGATGTTCTTCGCCAAAAACTTAAAGCAACAGACAAAGAAATGCATATGGAAAGACAAAAGGTATGTTCACGGCATGATTAAAAATAAACAATGAAAGTATTTTATGACTAAACAAAACGATCGTCACTTTACAGGTAAATAACGTTGAAGCGGTCGTAAAGCGATTTAAGACTGAACTCTATAACTGTGTGGGATATATACAAGAGCCAAAGAAACTGAAAGAAAGTGTTAAACAGTTGTACCAGAAATATGCTCAAGAAAACACGGTAATTGTCCATCGTGTTTTACTCTTATGCCATCATGCCCTTTTTCAGCAAAAAAATGAAATTTTGAATAAAATAGTCAATGAATTACTAAGTTTTCAAACTTAGCATCACAAAACTGCGAGTCAAAAATGTGCGTAATCAAAACTGTTGTTCAACAGGCGTGAACTACAAATCTTGTTTAATCCAACAATGACTTTTAAAATGACTCTTACAAAGACGATGTTAAATGTCTTTTTGTGTTTCAGAATGATTCATCGCCAAGTGTTGACGTTGATATGCAACAAGAATATGCGAGACAGCGAGAACATTTAGAGAGAAGTGTTGCATCTTTGCGAAAAAAACTTGAGAAGGATAACGAAATACATCGGGCAGATAATGTCAGGATTATGCAGGTATCGACAAACGTAATGAAAATATTGCCTGCGTTAAAGAGAACATTCAATCTTTATGCAATATTCAATTTACTTATGATTTTTTTTTTGAAGGAGAATGTTACACTTATTAAAGAAATCAATGATCTACGTCGAGAACTGAAGATTTCTCGAACTCAAGTACATGACCTGGAGACTGCCCTCGGAGTAATGCGCCGTTCTCAGGGAGGTCTGAGTTCTCCTGTGAAATCTGCTCCTAATAAAAAGAACTCTTCTCGTGACAATGCTGCAGATGACTTGGAGAAAATTATCACCATTCAAAAGAGTGAAATACGTAAACTTCGCGAACAGATTCATGATCTTGAAAATCAAACAATCAAAACACCGTCTGGTGGTCGCCTTCCACCGGTTCCAGTGCCATAATACCATCATAATACCACCATAATACCACCATAATACCACCATAATTCTACCATAATACCATCATAATACCACCATAATACCACCATAATACCACCATAATACCATCATAATACACCTTAAACAACTAATACCCTCACATAAACTTTGTACATAAAACATGCTTTTTATAAAGATATTAGAAATGTACATAAATCAAGGTTAAAAACCTGGAACAACTTCTTTTTTCTTCACAATAACGTTCTATTTGATGAATTCAACAAGTTTTATTCATATTTTTTTTCTTTGACTAAATTCAATGCATGAGACACCGAAGTAGCAGTAGGTAATTTTATAAAGTAAAAAAAAAGTTAGCCAACGAAAAAATTTCCAGCAATGCTCGTTTATAAGCATCACAGTACAAGGATGGGTGGTTGTAAACAAATATGTATCACCCTGTTTAATGAACAATGTAACATGTTAAATATTATTGGGATGGTGGTGAAGGATATATTGACAAAAAATCAAGTCGCTCACTAAAGAAAATTTCTTATTGCCCATTTTTGGAATTCGTAGAGGCAAAAGCAACAAGCTAAAATTTTTAGTGTGCAGATATTTCGAAAATATCGGACGCTCAATCCCGAAAAAGTTAAAATAATTTGATGTACAACATAGTTCTCATACTAATCGTTCTATACAACAATACTGCAATTCAATTGAATACTACGAATAATAGAATAAAATACAAGTTATCTGATTCAAGTACATATATAACAAGAATATACTTGAACAAAAATCAGAGTGACTTACTTTAAAAATTATATACTACATATTGTCATCGTCATTTTCCTTAAAGAAAACCATGATTTAAATGCTGTGTTCATACGATGTCACACCATATTTTGGTGTTCAACAACGTTAAAGAAGAAAGCAGGAAAATTATATACATCATTCTACCGACACTTTTTGCAATATGAATGTACTGGAATTATATTCACAGTAAAATAAAACTTAGTAAATAAAAATACATACGTATTTTACGACAACTAATGGTCTGGATCTACCTCATAAAGAAATCCCGTATCTGGCATCAAGACGCGATTATATGAAGTACTTTGAACGAACACACGCCATTTTTCCAGATCGTTGGGTTTAACTTTGCCTGAACCACCTGCACCAATCATTCGACAAGCTTCGAGCCCTGTGTACATATCACCTGAAACTTTATCAACTAAAACAACTTCTTTCTTTTCTGTTATCTTCTCTGGCTTTGTGAATTCATAAAAACCTCTCCCTGTTCGAAAAATTAGACTATTACGTTGCACAAATGTCTTGATATCAATACGCTCATCTACATCAAGTATTTGAAAACGTGAAGGAGAGACAGGCACGAGGTCACATGACGATGTTTCTTTGTATGTCGACACATCCCGACCGGCTAATGTGTCAAACAATGCATGTAATGATCGGTTCATCCCGCCACCTATGATAATTGACATAATAATTAGAATTATGTTGTACGAAAAGTTTATGTACGAAATGGATTACTGTTGTCATAAGTTTATTCACAATTTGCGGCAAATACTTCTAATGTTACACAAAGATGATTGAATATTTTTTCAATTTCCCTAAAAAAGCATGGTAAAGTTTTTAAAGTTAAAAGTAGCAACGTAAAGTAGTGTTTAAGTTACCTTTAGTTCGACCTTTTACTTCTTCTTCAAATTTCTGAAGTTGTTCAAGAGATTGCTCACGATAACAAATAGCAGTTAAAAAATCAACAATTGAAGCAAATTGATCCAGTTTTAAATGCCAGCCACAAGTTATCTTTGCAAGTTCACTGTTAACATATCGACGACAAAGTCATATAAAACAAAAATATTAGATATTTTACAAAAAAAATTGTTTGGGTTACCTGTAGAAAGATGAGGAGGCATTATTACCCAGAGCTTGAACAGAATAAATATGAATATTCATATTTTCGTACATTTCCTTCGCTTCTTCTTTCCAGTTGATTTTAAGGGTATTCAGTGGATATGAGGGACCATGAGGTGGAGCATCTCCAATCATCACTAAAGCACGTTGTGAATTTGGAGTCCAAGAAAGCTCGGTTTTAACCTAATCAAAAATACAATAGAATGACAAGTTCTCTGTTAAAGACCTTTTCGAAAAATAATCTCTTTCTAACTACAAAATTGACCAAATCAATATTTATATAATTTGTAGGAGAGTTCAGCTTTTCTTTGGGATAAAACATTCGTCATAGCGGAAGAAATTTAACGTCTGAAGAATGAAAGCTCTTAGAGTAAAATGAGAAAAATATAGATTTATACAATACACTTCAATCATATTACAAATTTCAAAGACAATCAAAAACAAATCAAAGCAAGAAAACAAAATAGAATGCGAGAAATGTTGGCATCAGGTCTTTTTTTTGAAGGTGAAAACTACAAAATAGATCAACTTATAGTGGAAAAATTTCACTATTCTTCCAAAGATCACGTCAAAAACATGTATTAAATTTATGAGAATTCATTTTAAAGAATCAAATGCTATGAGCATGCGTAAGAAAGACATCATGTTGACGAATGCAAGAATAGAAAATTAGAAATTTTCGATGGTGTGACGGAGAACGAGTTTCTCGCTATTTTAATTGTAACAATTAGAAATTATACGTAAAAATTACTCTTTGACACGACGGTGAATGTATAATGAAATATCATAATATCTGTTGACTATTCCGAATAGATCGTCACAAAGTTGAAGAAGCGTCAAGATCTTTAAGAAATGAACAAACTTTAAGTTTCAAATACTCAAAACCGATTCAGTATTCTTTGGAACTTGTTTGAAAATCTAACGACAAAGTACGTTTATGTACGTTTCATCAGCAAGTGAAGAAACAAATAATTCTAGGCAGAGGTCATCTTAAGGGCGAGGGAGTTTGTCACTTGCCCTTTATGAAATATGAAACACAGACATTACAAAAGTCGTTCCCAGAACGTTACGTAGAAGACTCTTCTAGAGGGACGCGCACATCCATCAGTAGTATGTAATAATGGGCACATATAATATAAACATGCAGCATTTACTATAGAAGTAATGGAAGTTTAAAACTTACCTGTCTCAATACGAGTTCATAACATTCTTCAAAATCATATCCACAAGTGGCTGTTACTTCCTCAACAAACTTACAGAGTTTACTTTCATCTGTGGTGAAATCAAGCCATTTTGTGTCATAAGTAGAAGGTTTATCTTCATAATCACCATGAGCAAAGACTGCAACTCGAATGTTCAAAATATCTTGGAAAACTCGATGTATTGTGTCAGAAACTTTCCTTCGAACCTATTTAGACAAACCTTATTAAGACAAATTGATATAAAATCATATATACCTTGTTTAATATCATTGTAATGTTTTCAGGATATATGGACTTTTTACCTGTGTTAAGCACGGATACATTGAACCAGTTGTATCAAATGAAAACACTATTTCTTTGACATCTGACACATCTGCTGATTTTGGTTTTTTACTTTCAATTTTGGCTTCTGAACTGTAATCTTCTGAGCTTTGTCCTTTCTTCTCTTTCTCCTATCATTTCAAGGTGATAAAATGAAATACTTCACACAAACATTGTCAGGATTGACTAACATCATGAATTAAGCACAACAAGAAACTTATATATATATTGCAACCTCAGTTGAGTCGGCATGACGTTTAGATGCTTTTGGTTGTTTGGGAGTATCTTCATTTTTTTCTTTCTCATCTAAAGACAATTGTTTATTTATTTAAAAGTAGTTTTTAACATAATGGCAAATGTCAAATGAATGTATGGTACTTAATTATTGATAAACCATAAAGAAAATAAACACACAGAATGCAATAAATACTAATGTTCTACAAACGATTAACAAACAACAGTGTTGGCTCTGAAAAGCCTCTTTGGAGGAGTTCCATACATATTCTAATACTGCATATTGTGCTACATTAAGATTTATCCAATTTTATCAACAGTTGTCAAGAGAATGAAGTTAAATGAAAAAAGATAATAAGATTAATCTACTTTTATCAACCAACAGACCCTGCACCTGTAGGAGAAGAACTGTCACCATTATCATATAAAAATTCTGAATCTGGAACAAGAACACGGTTGTAAGATGTAGATTGTACAAATACATCAAAATCCTTTACTTTTTCTTGGTCCAATTTGAATTTTGATGTTGATTTTGGTATTTCAAGAACATCTCGAACCTAAATAATCAACACAATAATGACAAAAATAAAGTGAATTTCCAGGTCAAGTAACAAAAAATTATGAAAATATAATCGATAACGAAATGAAGAATTCAATACTGAAAACTAATCATTATTATGTTGAGGAAGCTTTGCTACTTTATACAGAACGATGATTTCAGTAATGGATTGATGGATTTTTCAATTTCAAGGAAAGCTGATATAGTTCAAACAACCTCGTCACCTGTCACAATTTGACCATCAGATTTTCGTCTTACAACGATCTCTTTGTTATCTTGAATAGTTTCTGGTTTTGTCAGTTGATAAAATCCTTTTCCTTTTGCAAACTCGAGAGAATTCGACTTAAAAAACTCACGAATTGACAACCGTTTTGTCACTTTAAGGGTGGTGAATCGCGCATCCGAGACAAATTTTTTTGCTTCTCCCTTTTTGACTTTTCTGGGTGGCATTTTCTTTGGGGAATTCATTTCAAACAAAACATCTAAATGTGAGTGAACATTGGTACATCAACATTGTGAAACAAAACTTCAAAGGTGATGTTTGTAGTGTTGTCTTCCCACGTCTTCCTGTGATCACGTGTCTGCCAAGTGGCAACAATAATGGCAACCATGTCTTTGAACTGTCTTCACACTGGCCTGCCCGACTGACTTGTTTCGAAAATTGAAGTCAATTTTATTTCAAAAGAAATAAATAGGGCAGAGCTAAATAAATTATTCAACCCTTCCATAACTAGCTTCTTATCTTGAACCTGCTGCCTAAAATGTCCTTGAAGTTTGTTCGCAGCAAATGCAAGATAAATCTTCTAAATGGAAGCCCCGCAGCTCTTGAAGAGAGCCCGTCTTGTCTAACTGTTGCAATTTTTAAGTGTTTTGAACACTGATTTCTCCAAGAAATTGTAAAAAGCAATTGCTTCTCCAACAGTCCCTACCACCTTATCTACCTCTGATAAATCTGTTGGTAAAGAGGCCAAGTTTGTGGCTTTGGTCTCTAAGTATGAAGACGATATCTTTCTGTGTGGGGGGTCAATTGAATAACACCTTTACTGTCTATTTGTTGCCAACAATTTGAAGAAAGAATTTTTTAATACTTAAATCTTATTTTGTCTCAATTTATCCACTAAGAGCCAAAAGTTTTTTCCCAAATGGCATTTTTGTGACTGCTTCTATACATACAAGTGAATTTGATTTTTAAATAATGCAAACCTGAAACAGTATTTTTGCATATGAAACCAACGACAACATTGCAAATAATTCTTGTATAAATTAAATGTTTTAAAATACACAGTTATTTAAATGAAATCATTTTCAGACAATAATTTTTTTATATGATGCAATCCATAAATTTTATTTTAAAGTGCACCTAGCCTCAACATTTTTCTTGAACGAATTTGATAAGCTATAGACATAGGATAAAATTCGTGAAAGAATTTTGTGAATTAGGTGAAAAATCGTGACGCTATGCCTTGTGTAACACAGCACATCTTTGGTAAACGACCGCGTGAGAACTTTGACGTAAATTCCGGACAACACATGTTAATAACATGGCCACATTTTACCGAATTATTCTAATGCTACTGCAACCATATACCATGCTTCATTCGGGCATGTTTTCAATTTAGAGTAAGAAAAATAGTGCCATAGATGGATAGGATTGTAATTCTGTCAGGAACACGTCATATTTTAGGTACCAGACTCCAAATGCCAGTACCTTGTTCTTAGCGAAAATAGTAGCATTTTCACAAGACGTAGCGTCAAGATTTTATAGCCCTCTCAAACAATGCTTTCACTGTTATTATTCCAAGTTTACATTTTATCGCATCAGCAATATTCAATTAAAACTTGTTTATCTGTATAACAGCCATATAAACATTACATCATAAGTTATAGTGTACACAGAAATCTTGCTAGTTGCGTCCAGAGAAGTTTCTTTTTGAGAGCACAGAATGTTAATACATATGCTAAAAGTTAAATGGAAATAATTATTGACAAATACGTTGAAATACTCTAAGATCCAGTTAGACTGTAACAATAGTAATACATAGGTAAGTAAATATTTTTGCTGTAAATGCGTAGCTAAAAAACTACCATATGCTTTTGCATGGAAATGTTTTGCCCATTCATAATTAATTTATCAGACAATAACTAAGACTTTTAATAAATGTTCTTTTTAGTATTAAACATTTCTTACTTTCCTTTCTGTTTCAACTTTTTCAGACTTATATGACAGAGATTTCTCAGGTTTGGAGTACAAATAAGTTGAAAGTAGGACCGCGGAAGTTCCAGCTAAAAATTGTCTAAAACAAAATTAGAAATAATTTATAAGATTTTGACGTTGCTAATCTATTTATTTTAAAATACAGAAAGTACGTTGACAAATATATATATGATTGACCAATGTTACTATCAAAAAAAATGCTCTGAACCGGTGGGAAAGTTAGGTTTTACCCAAAGGCTAAATATTCATCACATGCAGTGGTGAAGCAAGCACGAGCCTTTACTAATATCACGAAAATTTTTCAGTCAAATTATTCATTTCTTAATTGTGTTTCCAGAGATTAGATACAAAAATATTTTCACTGTCAGAGTAAAAAACGGCTGGCTTCTCAACAGATATCATGTGAAATAATATATCATACTACAGTAACAGACATTTCTATGAAATATTACCATTCATCAGTATTATTATATGGACAAACGTCACTTGAAGTAAAATGGCACGCTGTCATTTGCTCAGAAACATTTTTGCCAATCCAGTACTTTCTCGCACGGTCCAACATGCGTAAATGTACAGATGAATGTAAAAAAACTTCGTAAAGCAAACAGCAAAATGCAAAAATTAACACGATAGTTATTCATCAGTACTAATTACGTCATTAGCACTTTTTAGTTATTACGATATTTAATTTCCTCCCCAGGCTCTACTCCAAGTCCGTTACAGTCGCTGACTTTTCACTTTCTCTTGGTATAATATCAACCAATAATGATATTGATTGAATTCCCAATAAATTAGCAATATTATTGACTACATAAATATTTTATCAATGCATAATAGGATGGCAAAAAATTTGTCTTACTTGGAGACTTCAAAATCTTCGAGAAAATACCATGATATTATAGACGATATAATGATAGATAATGACGTTGAAAAACCTTTTAAAATATTGTCTGCGTATTTAACTACAATGGCAACAACTAAACCATTGAACGCCTACAAATATCAAAGTTGAAGTTAGTATTGGTAGAAAATTTAGACAAAGTGAATAAATTAACTAACATAGTATTCAGGATAATTGTAGTGGAGATATTTGTCAAATTGATCTTGACCATAAGGAAATAACAAATATGAGTGACAAAGAACAAAGCAAAATATATACAATAATTTTCGTGTCTTTCAAAACAGAAACTCTGAGATTGGAAAAGATTTGTGAGTATAAGAATATGAACTTTTTATCATTGAAATCTCTAATGATCTCAATAATTCTTAACTGGTAAAAACAGTTTTTATATGTCAACATTTAATACTTCAACAATAAAAGACAAATATCCATATTTAATGAGTAATTACTGACCTGTAAACATATAACAATCCATGTATGTTTATTATAACCTTGAAAGAAACCATTTTTCCAAACTGCAGATCCATCATTGCTAAATACAGCAGCAAGACCAAGAATAGAACCAAATATTGCTGTCATAAAAAAGACTTGTGTTAAGACTTTACAGTGATACTGAAGAATATTCTTCCTTTTGTCATCAAATTTCATTACAAAATGAAGCAACTTTATACACATAACTTGAACAACTAGCACTGATACTGCAACCTGAAAAGTTGCTGTAACATCTATAAATAATGAGGGTAAATAACATATTTACAAGATCATAATGTTGCTCACCTAGTTGAACATTTCTCATCCATAAAGATAGTTGAGATGTTTTCAAAACTTTCTCAAAATAAACTCCAGCAAAGCCACTAGAAAAACATGCACAAAGTACGGCAATCAGACCAATAACAGATTTGGAAAGATTTTGCTCTTCATGATAAATACCATCACTTCGCCACTAAAACAAAACAAAATCAAAGTAATTGATGTCATTCCATTGAACTAAACATAAAACTTGAATACTATCTTTGGTAACAAGCCTGTCTGTACTTGCAAAAAACCAAATTCACCTATGCCACACACCAGTTTCATACAGCAGGTATTAAACATTGCAATCATTATGCTTAAATGAAGGGCACATTACCTATCACCAAAAACATGCCTATCCTCACATCGATGACAATGACAATAATAATGTGAAGCAACAACTATATTAACAAATTACTTCAAAATCTCAAACATCTGATAACTTCCTACCTGTACTAAAGAGACTCCAAACATTAAAATAACTAAAGATAGCCATTTTAAAGTTGTAAGTTTCTTTCCCAACATAATAACACTGAATAAAGCTGTTGTTAAAATCTTCAATTGATATGTTACCTGAAAAGATATATTTGATAGACATTATGATTAAAGTAAATGGTTTGAACCCGGAACTATCGTTACATGTTTGTAAATGATGATCGTACAGGTTGGTATAGTCATGAGAAGGACTGTTTTTGTTGTTATTAACTGATGTTTCGACAACCTTAGCGGTAGTCATCTTCAGAGTCAAATAAGGAGTAAACATATATACAAATATTTTTGCAGACATAGGACAATTTTTATTTTTAGACTTAAAAACTATTGTTTACTGCAAGCTTTTCCAGAATGTATGAACTAAGGCAATGTACCCGTAGATATAAAATAAAACAAACTTAGCAAATTGACATCTCCTTTTATGATATGTATTTAAGACAGGTAAAAACAAAAGTTTAGCAACAGAGTGACTTTGATTTCAGTATTTGTTTGATTTATGTCTGAAAGTAATGTTGATTTCTTGTCATGGAACTTCTGCATTTGAGTAAATCTAACAAAACAGTTTCAATGGAAGCAAATGTGAAAATTTCTATACCTGCCAAAGTGGTTAAATTATTATACTGATTATTAAAACATACCTGATATGTAGCAGCATCCAAGTTTGACAATGCAAGATATAATAAATTATTTTGAATTGTATATAATAAAGCTGGAACAGACATCTTTAAAGTGTTCCATGGAGATAAAATTATATTGACATTTAGTTCGTTACAGAATTTCTTCAGTTCGAAATTCGCTTTTTTAAACAGGATGAAAAAGCAAATGACGAGTTTCAAGACTTCAGATAAAAAAACAGCTGTCGAAGATAAGTACGGTGTTTCATTATTTATCGCAGTGTTTCTTGAATATCGTAGAACTAAAACCATTGTTGAAGTTTGCAGTGTTAAAACACTCAATGCCAGATATTTCAATCGAAAACTGAAGATTCCAACTGGGAAGACAATAATAAAACACAACGTGTATTTTAAATCGATTCTGTCGATTCCTTTGGAAAAATCATTTCAATCACTGTTTACCTGTCAAAGTTTCCTGTCCGACAGAACTTGGCGCTGCCATCTTGCACCTAAGTATTAGATATTAAATTTTTCTTTTTAAAATTTGATTCTACTAGCTTTCTATGTACTACAAGTTATCTCTTTCACAACAGATGTCGACAACTTATGTAATAGTCATTTTTTATTCTGCCACGAACACAAATAGAAAACAAAATTTTCCAAACAATAACTCGGCTATTGCCAGGCAGTATCATAAATTATTCATCGTGATCAACCAAAAATTTGTCCCGTAATCTAGCTTGGCTGTTTTAAGTGGAAATAACAAATAACGACATTGCAACATCTTGTAACTGCAACAGCCGTAACATGTTACACTTATTCGGAATAAATTATTCCAGAAAATGGTTGGGAATCGAGTACTATTTATACGTCACCAATAGATAGAACAGACAATATTGCGATATAAGTGCATAAACGTCATGTATGCGTATCGTAAAGTATGCTTTTATCACAAATATACAAACAATCCATTTCACTTTGCTATTCAAATATTTGAGTGTTTAGTACATTGGTTTAGTTGCAATGAATAATAATTACATTCAAAATGCACAATAAATTTAACATGATACTTTCTTCTATTTTTAAATTAATTGCTTTCAGTCTGATAAAGTTTAACAATGTCTCTAATCATGATTACAATATGACAATGCTTCTCGTAATCAACGTTTCTAAAAATAATTTATAAGATCTTAGAACCGTTATGTGAATCCCAACATTATTCTCAAGTGGAAAATTATGAGATTTTCGCCCATAAAGATGAGCTAAAGAATATAGACTTTGTCGTTGTTGTTATCGATTTTCCATTGTAAAAAGTTGCAGTTGTCAGACAAATATAAGCTAGATCGGAAACGATTCTTTGTCTGATGGAAAACATTTCAGTTTTCCAATTGTAACTATTCAACACTTCCCAATTTCAGCAGTTTTTATAAGAGACATATTAACAACGGCGAAAATGGATAAGATTTCCCTTAGTTGGTTAAAAGAAAAACCACTAGAAATACCAAAGAAAAACAAATCAACTCTGTTTAGATAGCAGTGGACATCTGGACTTACAGTAATTTTGCAATGCTAAAAAATTTACATCTCATACAAATTATTCGCTGGTGACTGTCATTTAAAATGAATTTTCGTTTTAATCATTTATCAGAAAGCTTAACAGCGACAGTTTGGTTAGTTTTTGAATATTCACAACATTTGCTTGTCGTAATAAGAAGATACATGATTGACTAGGAAAAAATTTGTCATCTGATATTGTTGTCATAGAGTTTACTCAGATGAACTTGAGTGTTTTCAGTTCTAACTCACACGTCATCTTCTTTCTCTATTTCACTTTCAACCTAATGGTCAAGATATTTCAACAATTGGAATTTTTTTGTATCTCTAATGCAATTTAAAATATGTAAGTTTTGCATAAACAAATGTTTCTTATCAGTAACTTTTCGTTCTAATACATTTATCCCATACAACATGTGTTGATGAAGGCAATCAAGTATCACAAATACACTCATTTATTACATTATACATAGCGTACAATACGCCATATTAATCATTAAACGTCTATCTTTACACGACTTAATAGTTTTGACTAAATTATTGAGTATCTAAAAGTTGAATTACTCATGCTGCTAAAATACAAATACTAAAATAATTAATAAACCAAGGAACCAATGTAATGGATGTAATGGACCAATAAACGATACAAATGTAGAAATAACTGTGACGTCTAAAGCTTGACCTCTAATGTAGTGGTTATATTTTCTGTCGTATTCGAAGGTGAAAAGTTATCATACAATTGATCATCGAATGACGTCAACAATGCAGAGATGACATCATAGCAAAACAAGTACTGAACCTACATAACAGAAAATAATAAAATAAACTATTATAGTTGTAAGCATTACAGAGATGCCAGTAACAGATGGTTTTCAGTAATGTTAATAATAATTAAAGGACAAATTCTTGAAAATCAGTGACAGCTGGACGTTTGAAATGGTTAAATGTTGGTAACAAACAGATGATTTAACGTTAAAAAATTGAGTAAATTGAGTTTTACATTAAAGGTTTGAAATGAAAAGTGAAAGATGTGTACCTCATTTTCAATCAAATTTATTCTTTGAGCTTGAAGATTTCTCAACGTCATTGCCATATCGATATTATCTTCAAGTTTAACTCGTTCAATAGAAGATACAATTGCACAGTAAGAACCACTTCGACCTGAACCATCACTATATCAAACATTAGATGAACAGCATTATTTAGAAAGATTTGCTCTGAAAGATATGTGATAGACAATTGCCAAAAGTCTATTGCAATCAAACTGAAGGTGGCACGTTGGCAAATAGCCAATAGTATCATTGGAAGTAAAATATTACGACTTGTATTGTAAACAGAGTTACCAATTAAGATAAAAATTTTTTTATTCATATTTGCGCATTAATATTAACCTGCAATGAACTGTCACCAATTGATTTCCTGACAACCGCTGTACTTTTTCCATCTCTGCCAGCAGGCGCAACACAGAAGAAGTCGTTGGAGTATGGGAATTGGACCAATCAAAGAAATGAAAATGAGTGACGATAAATGAATGACCAACAGTGTCCTGTAAAAATTATGGAAACAAAATATTTTAAGGTTTTTTTTGCTGTTTCACAGGTTAAAGAACCAAAAACGTTAAATACAAAAGAATATATGATGAGAAATTGATTTCAAACACTTTGATTTTAAGTTTTTATACTTATCTTGTACTGCTTCATGTTAGGCAATCTTCTAACGTAAGTTAAACTTGAAACTTTATATTTGTACAGTAAACTACCACCATTTTTTGAATCTTTGATTCAAATGTTTCTTTAAATAACAAATTGTGGTGATCATGAAATTCAAATATTTTTATATCAAAACACGTTTTATGTCAAGTGCAAAAGTTGTCTATAAGTGCAAAAGTTGTCTTCAACCTGTATAGTCTTGTGTCCAATATTAAACAATCATCGAGACATAATATATTGTGTTGCATTTACAGATTTTTTATGGTCAAAATACATGCCATTCTTAAATGATAGTTTTCTTAAGCTCCAATCTAAAAACCGACTTTTCTTTATCGTGATGATACGATATTTCGAAAACTAGTTTTCTCTTTATGTCAATCATTAAACGATAAAAAATTGCACTAACTCGTGTGTCTGTAAGCCTGAATTTTCTCACAATAAATCCCGATGCAGCATAATTCTTGTTAATTTCATCTATGGCGACATTAACTACTCCGTATGAGTTAAAACCGTCCTCAGGCCAATAACACCCAAATTCATCCTGAAAATATCAAAAATACATTTTAAAAACAAGAAACAATTTAAAACAAATTTATTACTAAAACAAACGAATATTGTTAATTTCAATCATGAAATACACTTACCAACTCTTCTTTTGTAACGAGCGCAACCAAAATAGCTGATTTTTGCTCAAGGATCATAAGCCAGAAGTCGTTCAAGGTGTTTGGAAGAGGATGTTGGGTTACAATGAAGTTGAGTGGATTTTGATAGCCCTAAAAATGATTCATATTTTTGCAGAATAATTTATTGATTTCTACTTGAGTATGAGCACTGATTACTTATAAATAATTGAAATTTAATGACGTCATCGGTCATGGTCAAAATCTATTTAGCTAAAGATGTGAAACAATTGACGACGCAAAGTATAAAGTTACTATTTCAATTAAACTGTAATTAAGCTCACCCTTATATAACTGGCGTTGATGTAGTTAGAAGAATTTGATATTTCGTTCAAACAGACACGATTAAAGTCATCTAAATGTGTAATGAAAAAAGTCAAATCATATTCTATAGGACGTATGTTTGCATGGCCTACTCAAATTACACTCAAATTACATTGTAATTTGAGTAGGCCATGATGTTTGTATATTTCTTGACCAACTTACATGGAATTATCTGAGATCTATTCTTTCCTTGATTTTCACTGGATAATCCAACATTACTAGACTCCTTTCCCAGTCGTTGTTGAAGATTCTAAACGAGCACATACAACATGATTTGAAGTCTCATATTTACGATTTATACTGCCCTCTCCCAGAAAAGTTTAGGTCAAATTATTTTATTTTACTGCTCGTGGAGCGAGAGGAAACAAAAAATTTCATCTTGGCGTAAATTAAAATACATTTGATAATGTACATTTTATCAAAAAACCAAATAAGTTATTCAAAATATTGCGATAAAAAATAAACGTTAAAAACTAAAAGTAAATTTGGAAATTGATTTAGTCGTTTTTACTTCATAAATATCTTGAGCATTAGTCTTCGTTTTTCCAGGAATCTTCTCTCTGAGAAATGCTGTTCTTGTTCGAATTTTGTTAGAAGATATTTCAGTGTCAGGATAATTAATTGCTTCCAGGATAGCAAGATGAATAAACTGATATTGTTCCTAATTCAATATATAAAGAAAACTAAATATATACATCTGCCTCTCGTATTTTCATTTTACAGCATTTATACCTTTGTTTGAACCATAAACATTCTTTGACCTCTCATTTCTCTGACAAAATGAAGAACATCAATACAAGGATCTTCATCTGTTTTTTCTTTTAACTTTTGAAGGATGTAATCAATTGCAATAAATGTGCCAGTGCGTCCAACTCCAGCACTAAAAATTCCATGTTTTTATAAGGAATAAAATCTCATAAATTTGATCAAAATTTGCTTCTTGTTAGCTTTTCAAAAGTTTGGAACTTACCTGCAATGAATAATAACCGGTTCTGAACCAGTTAAACCAGATCTGTAACGTTTGTAAAAGTGCAGCAAAGGACCCGGATACCTAGGGACTCCATGATCAGGCCAAGCAGTAAAGTGAAGATGTTGTACCAAACGAATTTGACCACTATCATAATCCTATACATCAAAAAGTCGGAGTCAACACGTTGTTACGATGTTTTGACTGTAGTTGTATAAAAATACGCTCGAATATTTTCTTAACGTACCGTAACTTCAAAATATCGAATTGTAAAATCAGCAAGTACTGTTTCACCGGTTGTTTTTATTTTTAAATCACCAAATGCCACTTCTTCATTGTTTTCCGGCCAGTATTTATGACATTTTTCCTGATAAAAATGTAATTAAAATCCAAATATTTCGCCGGTTGTAACAAAAGTTTATCCTTCATTGCATAATGGTTTATTTAAATTAAATAAAGTCAATGGTTTGAACAGGAGTATCGTTAAATGTTTGTAAATGTAGATCGTCCATGTTAGCATAGTCCTGGAAAAGACTGTTGGTGTTGTTGTTGACTGACGTTTTGACGTCCTAGTCATCTTCAGGGATATTTAAACAAAGATGTTTTTCTTTCTAACGAGAATAAATTAACAGAAAACCCCCAAAAGATTCCCATTAAACCATCAACTTTGATGTCATTCATAATTCTCACTTTTGCGTTTTCTTTCAATCCTGTTAGCATAACAATTATAGAAACATTTTGTTGCCAAACCATTTGCCAGAAATCATTCGTTGTAGTGGCCAACGGTCCTACATCATAAAGTAAAGCTTAGTACTTCAACACATTTTTGGCGATTAAAAAAAGACTAGGCCAATTATCTTGAGCCCATTTTTCAAGTATTTAGCATGTCAATTATTTATTCATGTAACTAGACAAGTAGAATAAGCTACAAACGTGAAGTAAAGCAAACCTTGTGTAGCTATATATTTTGAAGGAACATTCAGCCCCTAAAAATAGTCAAAATGTAAAAATTGCAGTGTTTTTGAAATTAGAATATTGGTATTGTTGTTGTATTACCTTTATAATACTCGCATTAATATAATTTCCTTCCTCTTCACTTTGTTCAAGACAAACACGGTTAAAGTCATCTGCGTTAGAAAAGAAGAATCGAATCAACAAATGCTGAATCTTAGAGAAAAAAGCAGATGTTGGTTATAAGTGAAATAATAGAGATTGCGATAGCCTACAAAGCAGGTCAATTTATTAAACATATAAAATATATTATTATAAAAGTCATCTTTAAATCATAATGACAATGTGCGTGTAATAAGCACACTAAAGACAACATGTCTGAATATATATATATATGTTTCTTTCAAAAATATTTGCTGCATTCAATATCATTTAACACATATTTAAATAAAAGGATATGTGTGTTTAAATTGGAATAAAGTTCAAACACGGTACTATCCAGAAACTGCCATCGTGGGTAGAATTTCTCATCCACACGTAGTTTAAAAGAGATTTGACTCGGCTTAAAGAGATTTGTAGGATTGGTAGCTCAACAAGTGGATTGACGGATTATAGTATTTCGAAGATGCGATTTCAAATCTCGTCCAAGTCATATGTTCTCCATTTGCGTTTGGAATCAACTAAGCCAATTTTTTAAATATACAACCACTGTTTTAGAAACTTAAGAGAATTTTAATGACATTTATTTAATAATAGTATCTTAAAGAAGTATGGAGAAAAATAAAAAAACTTTCTGTAATTAGTAATTTCGTGAATTAGAATTTGGTGATTGTGACTTAAGCAACTCATTAATATTCGTCTCTTGTTAACAGACGTTTTCTACATATTTACCATCCTTCTGCATTCATATCATATTAAAGCTGTCCTTATTTTTTTTCATCCCAAGATTTTGAATTGTAATGTGTGTCTACAAATTCTTTCCACATTATAAAGTACAGCAAAAAGAAAAATAGTCATGTAGAAAACATGAACGGATTAAAAATTTGAAATCAAGTTTTCAGGTCTAGTATGAGTGCTAAAAGTCAAATTGTAAAGTCCCATAATAACTTACATGGAAAGATATTTTTGTATCGATTTTTGAGACTGGTGAAACTCTTTAATGCATCATCTGTTTTTAGGTTTGTCACAATTTTGGGGATTTCCTACAAAGAAAAAATAGAAAATAAAATGAAAGTAGCTACACGAGAAATAAAGTAATACACACAAGATATTTTAAACATATGGACACACATCGCTGATTAAGTTGCTTAAGCTGATTAAGTTGCTTTGCTTTAATGAAAATTCATTTTCTCACTCTATTTCTCTCAATTTTATCAAAAGATGGGACATAAAGCAAGAATGATATGTGGAAACATTGTAAAATCCACCAAACTACATTCGTAAATGAGCAAAGATTTGCATTACATCAAATTCGTTACCAATCTGCATTGATTCTAAGTAGAATTTAAACTCAGCCACTGGTATAGGATGACCAAGATTACGAAATCCTGTAAACAAGGAGTAAGATTTTGTATTTGTATGCAACCGAACTAACCATTAAAACTTTCGATGAAATAAATAAATTTTCAACATTTCGCAGCACACAAGATGTTAAAAATCAACACATCATGTATCTTCGCCAATATAATTTGGCACAGTTCTTTAATAAAATGAACACATTAAGATTCATATAGAGAATCCTTTCCGACATATAACCATCAAATTTGTATGCTCTCTTTCACAAAATTATCAAATTTTACATAATCTTAGTATAAATATAATTGCCCAACATAAACTTTTAATATGGCTATGGGTAAATAATCGCCCATCTCGAAACCACTAATCACTCCACTGACTTTGACAAATTCGACATTTTTTCATCCTCTTCTAATGCATACGAACTATCCATCCACGAAAGCCTCCTCATCTCCAAGCATAAACCATCTCTTAATGTCCAAGGCAGTTCCGTCCCACTAATTCTCATCTAATTCGCCGTAATTCCATTCAACACCACTCTATCCTTAACACAAAAATCACACAACACTGTCATCACTATACCTTGTAATTTAACACCCTGCAAATAATTTATAATCAGTATATATGTTTTCTAACTTCCTACATGTTTGTATAGTAATCTGAAGATGTCTTAAGCTAAAGACAAAACGTTATTGTTAATAAAATTTTATACCCATTGCCATATTAAAAGTTTATTTTGGGCAGTTATATTTATACTAAGAATTCGCTTTCTGCCTGGCAAATCCATTGTCACAATTTTACATATGTTTAACAGTTAACAATATATTTGTATAAACTAACCTATATCATTGATTGCTTCAGGATTGCTTATTGAGTGATTTCTAGAATAGAATAAAGTAGACTAAACGAAAAGACGCAATAGTGGCTAAATGGTGGGAAAATCATCGTCAATTATTGAAATAAATATGAATGGCACGCAGACTCGTTAATTGGAGGGGGAGCATATATTCATATATAAATGTTCTGCCGCATTAAGTTCTTTTGAAATCTTTTGTTTTCAAAGGATTAAGACATGCATTTATGAATTTGTGACCCCATTAATGATTCTGGTATGCCAGTGTGGAAAGCAAACATCTCTATAAGTTTGATGATAAGAATTTTATCATAGCAATCATCGGATCAACAGCGAAAAAGCTTCCGATACTTTTTGTCTCTTTCTTTTTGTTTTTTTTGAGTCATTTAATTCAACGTTTGAATAAAGCTGAAAATATTACTGCTATTGGAAAACAATGTAAAAGAAAATATCAGAAAAAACCATCACTTTAATTCTTCTTCCCAAATCCCAATAGATTGCAATCTACTTGCCTACATTCATTAAAATATGTTACTTAAAAAGACATGTTAAATGATTTCAATAAAGAATAAAACGACTTTAAAGAACCTGTTCTTTTTTATCTTGAACCAAACGGCAACCAGAAGCAGAGCAAATAAAAAGACAGCAACAATCGCAACAACGACTCCTATTGTTACTTCTGAAAAATTATTGATGAAACTTTTATCAATATATTTCAATTTCAAATTTCAAAATGTATAAATTTACGATTAATCAATCGTAAAAAGTTAAAGATTTTTTAAATGATGTAAATTAATTGAAAAACTGTGTGTACTTTACCATTATTTGAAGAAAGTCCACCCGAAGACTTTTGTTTTGTAGCAACCACTAATACTTCACTCGTTGAAAACTTGTTCTGTTGAAAAAAACAACTTCGTCAATTTCACAATATGACTATTATAAGTAAACGCAAGCTTTTAGGAATATTAGTGATTAAATGTCTCGCAAACCGAGAGAGGTTTAGTAAAAGGCTGAGGTCGCAGCCCTAGGGATTTTTACTAAACCTTTCGAGGCTTAAGAGAACATTTAATTACTAATATCCCTTAAAGCTGCGTTTACTTTCTAATAACACGGTTGCAGAGGGAATAATGAATACATTGACAACTATTTTATCAAATTTTGAGCACGTTTATTTGAATATTGGCAAACATATTGATGGTGTTTGAAGCGTGTAATTGTTCATGGTCCGTGACGAAATAAAGAAACTCATCTAGCTATTGAGTTGTGAATTTTTTTTTTTAATTGGTTCAGTGAACCTGTGTATGAATTTGCTTTGCAAATATATATTGTAGTTTAATTGCTGTTGAAGTTATTGATGGTTCATAAATGGTCTTCTCAAGTTTGGACCTGATTTTATGGAGGCGAGCTGGCTCGGATAGCGAAGTAGCCCGATGAATTCAAGGGACTGAAAGAAGCCAAAACTTCCAGGTTAGAAAATTACAACTGTTTGCAAAGCGCCACTTGTCATCCCAGTTGTAATTCTCAAATTAGGACAAATTGGTTGTTTTAATTCTAAATGTTTTGCGTAGTTATTAAATCAGAATATTGTGAAATTGCTTGAGATGATTTATCTAATGATAAGTATTGAATCGTTCCCATTTTCCAAATCACTTGGCTGAATCCCGGCTACCGGGCTCATGTAATCAGCTCCCTTAGTGACAAGAAAGTTTCTAACGCGAGGGAAAGACGATTTCTGTTACAACTCAACGATATAAATTGTGAGACACTAAGGCTTGTAATAACGCAACTTTAGCGATTTTGAACTATAGGGCAGAAAATTTACTCGAGTCTGACTCTAAGGAATTAACGATGTAACAACAGTCGAGCAAGAGGATATTCAGCTTAAAAAAATCGCCCTCGAATTATTGTGGTTTCAAAAAACTTGCCGAAGACATCTTGCTGTTAACCGTTTGAATTAAAAAAGCTAAAGCAATTTCTACATGACAAAAATTTTTAATGAGAAAATAAGGCGTACTTTAATATTGATGAGGATATTTTGTCTAAACGTCCCTAATGAATATATTGAATAGGGATAAATAGGGATATTTAGAACTAAATATCCCTAATCCCTATGATTGAAGGAACTACGTCAGTAAATGTCCCTGTGATAACAAAAGATACCGAGGCAACTATGTTACTAAACAACTAAACAATATTTTGTACCTCATCAGTAAAAGCTCTCAAAGCAACAGCATAGTGCTTGCCAGGAATTAGTTCTCCATTTCTATAGCTTCTTTCGTCAGCCCTTCGTTTTCTTCTTGAAACATCATTATCAAATGGTTGACCTCGGCCAATAACGAAATTTTCATAATAATCAAATGAACTGCCATTAAACGCAAACGCCACAAAAACTATTCCAGTCTTCTGCTTTTTTTCAATCCATTCATTATAAGACAAAGGTTGTGTTTTTCTTTTTTTAAAAATTTCTGTGTAGTCTGATTCTGTCAAACTGTCTACCATGGCAACAAGAACTTTATATTTTCTAAAGAAAATAGTAATTAATTGTCCCAACTGTTAATTATTACCATTTGTTCACAACACAAAATAAATCATTTAAGATTTTCTGTAATAATTAAAGCAAGTAAAAGTTGAGCTTTATAAGTGCTTTCTTTATTCTTATGTACTCTACATGTTATTTTATGACATACTTGATGTATCCATTTCTTTCTGAGAATTTCGGAAGTTTCACAGCAATCATTGTGGTTGCATCAAAATCATCCATCTCAGGTTTGATCGTCGATGGTCGTTCACTAGGAATTATTGGAGCTAAAAGATTAAAACAATAAACAATTAGCGTGACATAAAAATAAAAGCTAAGAGTTTTATCATGTTGTATACGTTAAATTTTGTGTTAAAAAAGTGAAGCGTATTACCAAACTTTTGAACAAAATTGTTGCAGGAATTTTTCAGTTGTTTTACAAAACACGACCACAAGTTAATTCACATTCAACTTTTAATGTGATCTTGAACGAAGCAAATTCCAAAATTTACAAATCAGTAAACTTATGCAATGGCTTGATGTCGATAATTTTTTTCTTAAGTTGACGTACAACATGTGTCTGGTTGAATAATATTTTTAAGATAAATGTGGGGATGGTTTTATGAATCAGCTCATACTGAAAAAATAGTTTTCTGAAGAAATAAATAATGCAAATGTGTTTTAAAATTTACATAGCAGGCTGAACCTTCGCGCTAACTACGCCATATTCCTTCAAATCATTGCAAAAAAAAAATTACGAGTAGATGTTAGAATTTTTGCATACTTTTGTAGATCTTGTTTTACTTATAACAATCTAGTTGTTTAGTTACTTCAGTCGTCAAAACAAGGGCAAATGACTTAAGCTTCCTGTGTATATTGCTATGGTAACTACTTACGTCCAACTTTTGTCTTTATTGATATTTCATTGCTCTTTTTTCCTCCACCAGCTAAAGTAAAAGCTTGAACAATGACCACATACTCTGACGCAATTTGTAATTTAGTTAATTTGTTAGAGCGACTGTTTCCAGAAATGTCGTCCATTACTTTGTAATGATTGCTTTCGTCAGTCTTTAGTCGGTAGTATATCTTATAATGAGTTATTTTCCCTGAAGGTATTGCAGGCATCAGCCAATTTACTTCAATGCTAGTACTGTCCAGAGCTTTTCCAAATACCTCGCGTGGTTCACTCGGGACTAACATGAAAATGAATAAAGTGACAATAGTTGATTGTTTGTATTGAAGATATGCAGCTTTTGATATGTTGTTAAAAAATGGTGCTAAAAATATAATGCATTAAAATCAAAATGTATTAAAGAACAATAAGGATTAAAAGGTTTGATAAAAGATATTACGTTTTCAGTAAAGTCAGCATGAGAAAAAAATTTCTCTTCAAACAAATTCCAAAAATATTCTATCAAGTATTTCGACGGTAGCACGTTACCTCCTTCTAAAGTTTGAACTATCGTGATTTTACTTTGATTCCCACGGCCAACTGATGTTTTAGCATAAATCCAGAAAGAATAATTCGTATAAGGCTGAAGCATCTGCCAGAAGAATCTCTGATTTGTAGTATTGTCGTGTTGAATTTCCATACTCTGTGTATTCGTTAAATAAACATCATACAACACAATGATTCCATTGGGCGACTTTGGAGCATTCCATGACAACTGAACACTTGTATTGGACTTACTTGTAACAGTAATATTGTATGGTTCTGACGGCACTAAACGCAAAAAAAAAAACATGAAAATTATCTGCTTGAGCGTAAGAGCAATGAATTATCTGCCTTCAGTAGATAGTAACAGTTACGTTACACGTGCTCAGCATACCTAGAACAGAGTTCGTTATCATATATTTTAGAAGAAAATGTGAGTTTAAAACACATTTAAAGGGAAAATGAAATAAAACGTAATAAAAATTTTTCCTTTTTCTACATTTTCAAATTAAAGTTTTGGTATAGAGCATAACATGAAATAGTGTCTTTTTGCGAGTTTTGTTGTATTTTATATTTTTCAACAAAAATGCTCGATTATAAAAACAATCTTCTTTCATGTGGTAGCTATGTCTCTGTTTATTTATATAAGCATTTATTATATGAAAGGTTATAGCTTCGCATTAGCTTAATAGCTTTACATAATAATGAAGAACATCTTGGAGAAATTTCTTTTGCGATGAATGAAATAATTATAGTTGGTCGTTTTCTAATAATTTTCTCAAATATAAACGAAGCAAGTAAAGTTTAGTAGCATCATAAAAATAAACATGACTCCACGATATGTATGATTTCAAGATTCAAATATATGTCTTCATATATTGGTTGCACTTTTTGAAACTAGTAACTTACCATCTTGAAGCGTGTCCACAGAAACTGACGTCAAATCACTTTCGCCGATCCTATTGGTTGCGCTGATTTGAAAAATGTAATTACTGTATGGTTGCAGTAAATTGACTTGATGAGTTGTTGTACTGGATGAAAATGTAACATGCTTGGATGACGTCATTTTACTTGAATTGATGAAATACACGAGAGAGAAAAGACGAATTATTTCATTGCCATTGAAGTTTTCTTTCCATTTTAGAACAACTGATTTGGAAGTCACGTTATAAATAGAAATGTTCACAGGATCTGGACGCTCTAGTGAAAAGCAAAACAATAATAAAACAGATTCTGCGTATATTCATTGCGAGAACAAATTTCATATTAACCCTTTTCCTTAGCATAAAGAAACGCATCATTACAATAAAACTGGACACGTCCCATGACAATAAAAAAGGGACTTTTTACATAACAGTAAAACTAGACTGGTGTCGGTTATTAGGTTTTTCCGTATTGATTAAGAGAGTGCATAACTTATTACGTTTGCATGTTGACGAAATTACAGGAAATTAAATGCTCTACTCTGCAACATGTCCAAACAATACTTCAAAGATAAAACGATGATTTAGTAAATTTACAAACCTAAAACATAAAGCTTCGTATAATTTTGATGAATACCAGCTTCGTTTTTGATAAAACATGTGTAATTTCCAGTGTCACTCCGTTTAACATGTTTAATATTGATTTGTGACAACCAATATAACTCCGATTGACGTTCTGTTGATATTTTATAACGAGAACTATTCTTTATCTCAATACGATCTTTAAACCAAGTTACATGAGGTATAGGGAAACCATACAAATTACACTGGACTTTCGCTGATTGTGAAATATTGACATGTATAAACGGTTGACTTGATGCTTTTGGAGGAACTAAAAAATATTTATAAAATAGTTAAACATAAATATTGCTTAAAACAGCATTGATCAAATGACATATATCTTTAAAAAAGACATCCCATATGAAAAATATATATCGTCGTGACAAACAAGTTTTAAATTTACTAACCTTGTACTACCAGGCTTCCATTTGCAACAGTTTCATCTTTTCTATTCCTCATTGTACAAGAATATACACCTCTATCCATAAATTTCAAATTTTTTATCTTCAAAATTGATGTTCGCCGAGTATTATTTTCACCCGTTTGTTGAATAAAGTATTTTGTAGAATTGTTAATTACCAAACCATTTTTTTGCCAAATAACATCAGGAATTGGTAGACCTTTACCCATACAAACAAATTGTACAGAACTACTTTCATTTTTCGTTTTGTTTGACAAAGGCATCAAGATTTGTGGAATAGCTGAAAGTTAAAAGTTTAAGATTTTGTGTTTTGTTTGACAGAAAGGTATCAAAATTTGTGGAAGAACTGAATGTGAAAAGGTTTAAGATCGCACAAATTACATTTTTTCTACTTTTTTTAAGAGAATAGATTTTCAAAACTTACCAAAAACTGTTATATTGGCTATTGTGGATGCATTTCCTTCGACATTTTCAACCAAACACATGTATATCCCTTGATTTTCTAATTTAAAAGGGTGAATCACCAATGTCTTATTCCGTTCAGTTTTATAAGAATTAGGAATTTTCCATTTTCCATCTAGCCTCCACGAATACGTTAAAATTGGGTCGCCATATGCTGTACAGTTCAGTTTATATAAAGTACCATTTTCGACATCGTCGTTATTGAATTGTTCAATAATTCGAGGTTTGACTGCAAATGAAAATTTATTTCATTTTAGTGGAAAATTTTTCCACTTCAACAAAAAATTTTATATAATTGCTGTCCATCTTATTAATTTAGAACGTAAAACTTAGTTTTATTATTTATGTTTTATTCAAACATACCATGAACAACCAAAGACAATGATTTCATCACAAGAGATCCTCTGCTGTGCGCCAGACATTGATAGACTCCTTCGTCTTTATTTGTGACATTGTTTAAAACTAGCACAAGTTTTCCTTTAGCTTCCATAAACGTAGAATGTGATTGTAGAGTTCCGTTTACAATATTCCAGGAAATTGATGGCTGAGGTGATCCGTTTGCTGAGCATGTAAAATTTACGTTTGTTCCTTCCAGTACTGAGCGCGTATTTGGTAATTTATGCACTGATACCTGAGGAGTTACTAAAATAAGAGAATACTTAGTCTGTAAAGAAAACATTTCAGACAGTGATCACCTTTTCTATAATATCTGTAAACAGAATTAATAATTATTTATCTTATCATAAGCACATTAAAGAAGTTTTATGTAAGCAAATAATTAAATAATGAAAAGCATTTACTCAATGAAAATTGTTAACTTATATATTTACGCATTATCGAAAATGTGTCTTTAAAATAAATAATAAATTATCTTTTCTATCAACGCAACTGAAAGATACTCACAGATAATTTCGACGACTTTTACACTCTCATCATCATCTGTAGTTGCCTTGCAAGTGTAATTTCCATACTGACTGAATGCTAAGTCTGGATGGATATAAAGAGTCCTTGATATCCATGCAAGAACCGGAAGATGCTTGGTTATCATGGATGTCTGGTATACACCTGATGATATGTTGGTATCCAGTTTTATTCCATCTTTGTACCAAATGACTGTAGGCGCAGGATAACCTCTTCCTTTACATCTAACTATCACAACGTTATTTGTGTTGTTTAAATAAATTGTCGATGAACTGTTGATTTCAGCTTGTGGGTAAACTATAAAATAAGTTCAATATTTTACATATTGTTTGTCATAAAACTGATCACAAGAATAAGAATATTTAGAAAGAGTATTTTGTTGTGATAAACGACGAGGAATTTTTATTTGGATGAATGGAACAAGGAAAGAAAATGTTCCATATTTACTATTTCATATATCACTACTGCAACCAAAATAAAAAATTAAAAACAACGAATTTTGTTAAAAATACTTGTTATCACCTTTGTTGGCATAAGACAAACATACACACACGGAAAAAGATCCTAAATTCGTGCAGTAATGTCATTTTTATGAAGCAAAAAAGGAAAAAAGAGAAAAATAGATTAGACAAAATGATTAATTATCAAACTTAAATACTGAATGCTTTGAATAGTATATTTGCCAAGATAAAGAAAATTAAATGGTAGTTTTAAAAAGATCTGTTGAAAATCAAAAATCAAGAAAAGCTCGTTGCCACCGTGTATTTTGGTAGACTTCTCATCAGGTGCAACGTCTGCTTTAATTAAAGTAAAGATTCACAAGTTGTAAATTTAACATGGCAAAAACGCAGCCATTCAAAGCAGTATTTAAATTTCTGACTATAACGAAATTTTGTTTTATCATCAAACCTTTGACATTTATGGTCACATTTCTTTCAACGGAAGCGTACTTGTTCCGAGCTTCACATATGTATGTATTTTCATCATTAAGTGAAATATTCCTTATTAGCAATGTTTGATTTGAATTTGAAAGTTGAAACTTTTTTGATGATAAAGGATGAGAGGAATTTTCAATTCTCCAAGATATAGTAGGTTGTGGATCACCTGATACATCACATGTTAAAGTAACGTTATTATTAATTTGATGTGTTGCAGTCTTTGATATATTGAGAATTCTTGGTTTTGCTATATAGAATAAAAATATTCAAAATAAAGAACAGTCCAGTTAATGAACAACAGAAGAAGAAAATTCATAATAATTACAATATTCACTTTTGCTTAAATTCACAATTCATATATATTGTGAGATACGAAGAACATGTCTTCTTTCATCGTTTTAAACTTCTGATGGAATTTTTTATGTTATTGAAAACTAAACAACATATATTTCATCTTCATGACTTTAAGTTTCAAAGTGAACAAACTCTTACCATGAACAATAAGATGATGAGTTAGTTTTTTACTTATACCAGCTTTATTTTTGCCAAAACATGAATAAAATCCTTCAAATTTTTCGGTATTTTTAACAGAATAGATTGTTAAGCTGTTATTTATTACGCTGTGATTGGTTAAGATGCGATGATTATTAAATTGCCAAATAACTCGTGGAGTTGGACGACCTTCAACTTTACAATCAAAGCTGACGTCCTGACCTTGAAGAACTGTTTTCTTGGTTGTATTACCTAAGGCAACTGGGAAAACTAGAAAAAAAGATTTTCAAATATCACACAAAACCGTTATTTTGTCAAATTCAAATAATAAACTGAAAAAAGATCTTTGCTATTTTCACCCGGAAAATATTTAGCCTATGAATATACTAAATATCATTGATTGAAGGGAATATATCATTAAATAAAAATGAAGTAAAAAATGTAAAAATAAGACAGTTAAATTATTATTTACTTACAAATTATTATAACGATTTGAGGAAACATTTTGAGTATTTTCAACAGAATCAAACTATTTGGTTTAATGTGATATTAAGAGACGTTGTGAGATTTTTACTTTAACTAACACTATAGGCTACCAATAGCTAAACATAGATTTTTAGAAGGTTTGGATTTTCAGGTTACTTTTAGATTGATAACGCCAAACAATCACGGAGAAAGTATTTATGCTTCAGAAAACAATATGTGATTTAGAGCTAGTTACAACATTTGAGTAATCTTTACATGTTTGCAAATGTAGATCGTCCAGGTTGGTATAGTCCTGAGAAGGACTGTTTTTGTTGTTGTTGACTGACGTTTCGACAACCTTGGCGGTTGGGTTGTCAAAACGTCAGTCAACAACAACAAAAACAGTCCTTCTCAGGACTATACCAACCTGGACGATCTACATTTGCAAACATGTAACGATACTCCCGGGTTTAAACCATTTACTTTATTTGAGTAATCTTATAATAAAAAGTAACAGATAGCCACATACTTACATAGTATTTCAACAGTTTTTTGTAATGGCTGCGATGTTTGATTTTTGTTAAGCACTTCACATGTATAGTTTCCATAATCATCGTAAGTAATTCCTTTCTTTCGTAAAAACAATACACTTGTCTTTTGTAAGTATGAGTTGGATTTTGTGCTAAATTCTGAAAGGTTTGTCTCTTGATAAACTAAATCATCTAAGGCAACTGTTGAGTTCTGGAATTTAGGAATTATTTTGTTCTTCTTTTTCCAAGTGACATCAGGCAATGGATAACCTTTTCCTTTGCATATTATTGATACGTTTCTTTCATTTAAATGAACCTTTAGTTCAGTTTTATTGAGTTCCATAAATGGTCCATCTAGAAAAAATTAGAGAAATTAGCATCAATAATATATTATTGCATCGTACTTAAGGCTTGTAGCTATCTGACTGCTTGATGTAACAGGAAAATAAAATTTTGGTCTAACATTCGTACTGGACTAAAAAAGACACATTCACAAACTAATTGAGCTAAAAAACTCGGATTGTTTTTTGATCCATTATTGAATTATATCAAATAAACTTATTGGATATGAATGAAAAATCAAATTAAAAAACGTGCATAATAAAGCAAGTGTATGAACACAAAAACATCATGACGGAACTTACATAATGTTAAAAATGAAGTATTCTGTGTGAAAGGACTGCTGGCAATAGCGCTTACAGCCGCAATTCTCACATTGTAAAAGGAATATTCCGTCAGATTTTTAAGTTGATAATTCAATTCAGGCTTGTTGATCCTATCCGTTATATTTATTTCGTAAGTAATATTGTCGTTAGCAACTCTGATGACGTATCTTTCAAGACGACTCTCAATGTAGTCAGATGCAGCGCGCCATGATATGATAACAGAATGAGATTTAACATCACTTATTGACAGTACTTGAGGAGAATCTGGAAGAACTGCAATTAAAAAAGTCTCTTACTAATTTTTAGAAACTGTTGCTTAGGTCATAAACACTCCAGTTACATGATTGTAAATGTAGATCATCCAGGTTAGTATAGTCCTGAGAAGGACTGTGTTTGTTGTTGTTGACTGACGTTTCGACAACCTTAGCGGTAGTCATCTTCAAAGTCAAATGAAGAGTAAACGTCAGGTCAGCCGTACTTGTTATCTGGTTCTTACGTCATTGTTTTGTGTGTACAGGAAATGTGTATTGTCATTGTGAATTAGTGTGAAGTGAAATGTTTTTAGTCATGATGTGTGATTTAATCATTCCTGTCCATGACCTGTCCTGTCAGGCGTCCTTTGTTTACATTTATGACATGCGCTTATAAACATTCTTAAAATGCACAGCTAAATACTTTTTTACATAAGTAAATTTTGAAGTTTATATTTTTTCTTCACAACACAAAAAACTCACCAATATCTGGTGTAATGATGACAGGGATAGTTTTTCTTGATAAAATCGTTGCTCGAGGATATTTTGCAGTACAATTATGGTATAATTTGCAGTGAAATTTTCGAGAGTTATTGCTTGATTTTATGCAATGATGAAATACTAATTGATCATTGACATATGTAACTGTCATGGTTGTCTTTACTATACCAAATGTATTCAAAGTTTGAGGGTTGGGACTTGTAGACTTGACACCGTTTCCTTCCCAGGCTACTATCATTCCTGGTTGACCACGAATTTGACATTCCAAAGAGATACTGGAATTTTCACTTCTGTTAAGAAACGTTGCTTGCGAAGAATGCTCAATAGAAGGAGTCTCGTCTAGAAAACATATGCAATGACTGCATTACTTCATGTTGCGTGTTTATGAGTGGGTATGACTTCTATGCACGAGGCTAGAAGAATTGCAAATAAACGAGTGAGCGTTGCGAGCGAATTCGTCTTCAATCGAATTCAACAAGTGCATAATAAAAATTGCACAAAAAACCAACCATGAAGTAATCCATTTAATATACGAGTGTTGAATTGCAGGTTACAGTAAAATCTGTCACTGAAGTAATACACAACTCAAACGTTTTATAACAATCATACAATTTGCATAAACAATAAAATAATAAATAATTATTCAATAAGGTTTAGCGTGCATGATACCCAGAATTATCTACGCAGACGTCGATATTTTAAACCCTCATCCGTATTTTATCCATTCATCCTTCTCCGTGTTTTTTCAACCATTCGGTAAAAGGGACATTACTTTCATTTAACTCTAGAGATAATTTACTGCTATAAGTAAAAGTCCTTCTCTAGACTGCATTTATCTGGGCATTGACAAACATGATAAAAAGTAATTGTATGACTATAAACATGATTATCCTAGATTAAAACATAATCTTCATGTGTTTATAAATATCATTATGTATATCATTGAATTTTACCTTTTCTACATCCGTAAAGCTCCATGCGAAGACAAGGAACTAGGTGGTCTTTCTCTATTTCAACTTTAATATATTTGGCAGTGATTGTTCGATTGAACCAGTTGGCAAAGATGCTATCTTCTTTGTTTGACTTTGAGCTTACGGCTTGAAAAATCTAACAAACAATGTTTATAATTACGGTGCAGGCTATGAACATTCTTTCCATGATTACAGCTAACACTAATTAACTGAATTACAACAATGGTTAAACTGTAAGACAGACATTCTTATGCAGTCAGATACTTAAAACGCAGCATAAAAAAATCGCACATGTAATAAAATATCTTAGAATATCACATAAACCAGAAAAACTTGATTGTACATTACATAAAGAAAACCTTTATTGTGTTATCACTTGAATATTAAAAACGGATGGCTAAAATAAAATGAATTATTCTGCAAGGTATATAAAGGGAAAAACGTGGCGCTTGACAAAATTATTTAGATGTACCTATAAATACATGAAACACATTGATTTCTAGTTCTCAGGACTTCTCGACTAAGTTGTATTGCTAACACTGCACGTGCAAATGAAAAAACAAAATCTTATTAACATGAAATATGTTTCACAAAAAATCTTACCTCAGGAGAGGTATCATTGTCATAACCAAAAAACCGACTATCATCATAACTGTACTTTATCGTGAATTTTGTAGCATAAGCTATGGGGCATCTTTGAGTTGATATTCCAGATATGCTGACCAATTTTTCGAAAGCAATTTTAATCCATTGTTTGGGGTTGTTCGTTGTGTCTTTGCCACACCAACAGCGACCACTTCGCAGTCTTACATGTGATTTACCAAACTGATCTTCATCGTAGGTGGAAGACACAGTAATGCTTCCCTCAGGTATTTTATTCTGTGCTCTAGTGACGTCATTAGTGAGTCCCATTGGCGACTGTATTTTGCATTGTTCTAATAAAGAATGAATTGATTTTGACGTAGTACTCATATCCTTAAACCATATTTATTTCATTTACCACTAATTCATAGAAAAATTTAACCTATGTTTTCACTGACACCATGTAACTCCACCCTTGAGCAGTGAAGAACACCAAAGATGGAACTAAGAGGAACATGGATCCTTAAAATTCGAGCTTTGATTGGTTTGATAAAATCACGCTTCTCAACAATGTCGTCAAATTTCAACTAAAGTAAATCGAGACAAGAAACTCATGCATTTCTCAAACGCAGCTGTTACAGTTAAAAATAATCTTGTGAGTAAAGTCATAAATCAAGTACAAAACTCACTTCAAAATTCTTGTCGTAACTTTTCCAAGAAGAATAGTCACTTGAGTAAGATATAGTGTAATTTATTTTAATGTCATTGCGATGTGACGATTTATAATACTCTTGAATCGAAAAGGCAAAAATAAAATAACTTCTGACTAAAATTAATTCAAGAAAGGAGGCTTCATTTTTATAAGAACACCGATACCCTTCAGGGTTGTATAATCTGCCATTACTTGGAGGAATTTCTGCATCAAGCGGATCTCGATAAAAATTTCCTTTGTGAAAGTAGTTTAAGAAAGTTAAGTTTCCATATTGAAAACCAAGATCTTCATCAAGCAGATCTGTAAAGAATTAAAAATTAGCATTAATTTGAATTAAAAGGCTGGATTAAAAATGGGATGTTCTTTCAACCTTCGTTAGAATAGCCAAACAATTTCCATGAGAGACAATTTGATGAACCATTTGGTTGAAAAGTAAGTGTCTTTGTTAAGATTCTTTGTTTGGGGAAATAGAATTTAAGACCAGACAATTTCTAGAAAAAAACATAATTTATACTAATACTAATTCTTGCCTTCAAGATTTTGGATTTAGCTTCAGTGAGTTGTTTGCTAGTATGTTGAGCAGTTAGTTTCCTTATTTATTATAAATAAATGCATACCTTAGTGGAACGCAATAATAAATCTTTCAAGGCTTAAGGGTGAATTAAACATTTGAACACGAACATCCATGAAAGCATGTGTTTAGTTTGTGGTTGCAAGAAAATATATTGCATAGACTCTGTTTGCCAAAATTCTTGTATAACTAGTTCAGTGATAAGAATATTGCAACCATCATGAAGCTATTTGTTTATTAATTCTGTTATTAAATTGGTTTTATAAATGTTTGTATGAATTTTCTTTGCAAGTACATACAGTTGTTTAATTTTTGTAGCTGTTGATTGTTGATCTCTTGTCTGATTATTGTTACTGACACGCAGTGACGTAGCCAGCCCGCAAATTTGGTCCTGCTATGTCACTTTTTCTATGTTCACTCACTGTAAAAACAACAGATTTCTAAAGAAATGAATAATGTTAATGATTTAAAATGTACATAGCAGGACCAAAACTTGCTGGCTGGTGGCTACGTCACTGGTGACACGACAGAAAGGAAAGATGAGTTTCTGTTACCATTCAAGAACATACATTTTGGAGCGGGAATGAGATAAGGCTTGGAATAATGAGAATTGCGATTTTAAACAAGAGGGTGAGAGATTTACTTGTGCCTGTCGAAGTCGTGTGTTTTTAATCGACCTAAAGAAACCCCATCCTTTAACATTTTCCATTCACCAGTGTTAAAATTTTTTGGCCGTGAAAAATTCAAAAAGCAAGTTGATGCAAATTCTACAGTCAACGACAATAAAATGTGCAAACAAGTCTTACTTTTTTTTAATGTTGATGAGGGATATTTATAGTTGATGACGGATATTTATAGTCTAAACGTCTTTCATGAGTATATTGATAAAGGCTATCTATACCTAAATATCCCTCATCCCTATTTTTTGGGGAAATATCAGTAAACGTCCCTGTCGCAACAAAAGAAATGAAGGCATATATGTTATCACATCAAAAAAGCGCATTATCAAAAATAGTTATCAACAAAATGTTAACAATCTTTTGTCAAGCACAAATGACAAACGGTGACATATTATTTTGATTGCTATTTACACTAAGTACTTGAAACGTAAAACTAACCAATAAAAAGATTCAATATGACGTATACGCACTTGAGTTTTAACGTTAAAAGTGTCATTGTCGCTTGTGACACGAATTACTCCATCGTAACGAAACTGTAAACCGCAGATGACAGAATACGAACCAAAATCAAATTTTACCAAAGGATTGGAAACATTGACTGGCCAGCAAGTTTTATTGCGATTGAGAGAAAACGATTTGATGGTTGCTGGTTCCATTGAGATGCTAGAAACTTTGAGAGCTTTCTTTTCACATGATTCTGAAGGGAAAAAATGCAGTTCATGCAGTAAATTGTAACGTTTTTACAGGTCGCTTTTTCTGAAATGCATATATTTTTAAATTATTCATCGCGTTACATATGGCTACATATGTTCGCAAAGTTTCCACGTTTTAAGTCAATAATCAAGAGCAGCAAAAGATTGATGATTGAGGTGGAGGTTATATTCATATATTTAAGTTATATAATCAGTAATCATAATCAATTTCAACAGAAACTAATACAGTAGAACATGCGTGTATGAATATTAACCACTCAATCGTCGATCTTCCGCTGCACTCAATCTAAGTTCGACTCTTGATGATGAACGATGCTAAAGACGTTCTAAAAAGTTAGTGAAACAAAATGATTTCAACGTTTGTTGCTTTCGTAATTATATTTTTTATAACAATACTTAGAGAAACATACAAGAAGAAGAAAAAACAACACATATTCATTGCCATTTAAGGCGAGGAGGAGAATTAAGTACTCACAGACTTGTAACGTACGGTAAAATCTAAAACAATACGAACTTCTAATATTGAACTCATTATATTACTGTTTTAACATTTTTGTCTACAGTCAAACGCCCCCACCCCCCCCAAAAAAATACAACATAAACTCACACCTTTCTTTTTTACTTCACCATATAGTTCCACTCGAAGACAGCCATTTTTATCATATGCCATGGGATAAAAGCGAACAAATCTTACCGTCTTATTGACGTTTAAATTGAAAAAAACAACGTCTGCCCCATTTTTATTTCCTTTTAATATCTGAAACAAAAATCATAGTTATAGTTGTCACAAGATCATAGCACCAACAGGTACGTAGGCATAGCAACAGCTACGGTGGCAAATTGATAATTGGGTGGAGGAGGCTCTTTTTATGTATTTATCTGTTATAATCCATAATCACAATTGATTTCAATGAAATCTAATAAAGTGAAATATGCACGAATAAAAATTATCTCTTAAATCAATTATAAGTGAAAATTCATCAATCTGCTGACGTGCCTAAGCAAGTTCCATGGTTGGGCAGGAGGGGGGGGGGGATTATGCGTGTATGTGATTGGGACGAAAGTCCTAAAAACGAAATCCCCTTGAAATGGCAGTGCTAACATAGCTATTACTTCGAGAAACGAAAAGAAATGATTTTTCTGAAGTGCTTAGACTCTTAAGATTGTTCACTTTTAGGGATGCTCATTGGAGGAAAGAATTGCACAACTTTAACTTGCCACACAATATTTCTGGTCAATTTTTTCATAAATTATCTGGCAAGCGTCACCTCTGGACAAATGGAGCTCTCTAATTGGCTCAGAAACATTTTTGCTGTTCCATTATTTTCCGGTGTCACAGCGATATGAGTATTCCGGTGTTTTGGGTATCACCGTACTTAAATAACTTGGGTTTTCATCATCCCCAGCAAATATGGCGACCGTGTTGTAAGTATCATTTCCTGACCAACGTTCACAAATCACTAGTAATAAAAGTTTCCCTATTCTTCTTCCATTACTACCCTGATTTCATAGCTAGAACAACAACTTAGTGAGAATAACAATAGACTTTTTTACAACTCATACAACATTCAGAGTAATACTAGGTAATATTATCAGTAAAGATATTACTACAAAGCTAGTTTGTCAAAAATTGACTTGTTTCGGAAAACTAATTGCTGCTAAATGTGCTATGGAAGCTTTTTCTCGTACAGATACTACTAGTCTTTTTAACATATCGATTAGAACTTAACTGAAATTTATTGCTCCACCATAGTACAATAAAGATACATATGAAGACGATTATTAAGCAAAAGCGACGACATTTCGAAATGGCGACTAATTTTACAGAATCAAAAACACTGCATTGTGTCCAAACCTAGATGTAATGTTTTTTTTTTATCATTGATAAATGAAAATACACAAGAATCGAGAAATACTTGCATGATCATACAAAGAAAACATAAAAGACGGCAAAATAGGGTTAAAAACGTGTTTTGGAGAAATGTAGGTAAAATATAGCTCATCGTATGTCAACAAAATATTGTCAATCGCTTTCAAATAATGCATGATTAGCGTGAGAGAAATGATTTTTATCATCTCATATGATTTTTCTTTGAAAATATGAAAATTCACTTATATCTGCCATAAATGTTTGGTAATTTTTGCAAACTTAACCAGAGATGTTACATAGCAGTTATCTATATAAATATTGAGCTTATAGAAATCTTTTTTCCCATGAACACCTCTAAAGTGAACTTTCTTAAAACTTTTAGCACTTCAGAAAGATTATTTCTTTCTGTTTCTGAAAGTTAGAACTATGTCGTTACTGCCATTTCAGGGAGTTGCAATTCCAGGATTATTGTACCAGATTGAGTAGCTATTTGGCAAATATACAATGTTCACCGTCATGGTCATTTTACACAAAAACAGTTGACATTTTTTTTCTGTAAATGCAGTACATACAAACTCTTACACATGTATTTGGCTATATATGAATATAAGTCCACAAATTATGGATCTTTTTTATAAAGGTAAACATACGAATAATTTGACACACAGGTGTCAATCAAACGTTAATCAGGGGGGCTCACTCATGTATTCTTCTTAAGCCAGGGTGATTCAGAAATTAGTCTGGCATAGCAGAATATATGAGTATTGACTTCTCTCCGCCTCCCCCCGATAAATGTACGAATGACGGCAATGATTAGACAAGATAGATAATCTCACCTTGTTGGTACCATTTTGGTAAAAGTGCCAATGAATTCTGTCAGAAGAAAGCTGAATTTTGAACGTTTCAGTAAAACCATGTAATTCATCTCCTTGAGTAGAAACTCCACATAACGAAAACTGTTGGAGAAGATCTACTTCAAGAAAACTATTATTTACATTCTTCTTCAAAGGACACCATGTTGTACTGGGACTTTTATTGATTGATCCCCATTTTTTGCGTGAACCTTCATTGAGTAAACCTTCCCTGTAAGACGTAGCTTGAAAGTAGTATTCAGGTAGCCCGTCTTGGTCACGTAGTCCAAGGCTTTTGTTGGAACATTCTAAATAAAAATCAAGTTTATCTCAATTCATTTTTATCATAATATGTCATGAACCAAGATGAAATATTTTATGCACATTGTGGTATAGTATTGTAAAAATTCAAGAAATGGTTCAAATTTATCGATATCGATTTCAAAATTTGATAACACAAAAAACTGGCGTTGAAATAATGTCATATATCGATGGTATCACTCTTCGGTATAATTTGTCTGACTAAAACATAATCATTGGATGAACATTTATGTTTTATAAACTTCTTCCTACATGTACTGTCCATAAAATATGGAGTAATAAAAGAGCGATTAATTATTGTCGTTTTAATCACACGAACTTTCAATAGTAAAGAACATTCATTGATACAAAGTTTCGTTATAAAAGTAGATTTTTGAGCTATGTTAATGAACCATGATAAATATCATCAATAATATCACAACAAAATAAACTGACTTATGTGCCTATATAGAAGAGATGCAATTAAGACCTTCCAAAATTTTGCTCATTACTCGAAGATTATTGAAAATTAGACGATCAGTTATGCCCTCATTTGACAAGTAAATTTTAAACCCTGCAGTACGTTACTGTTTCATTCAGACATAAATTTACCCTTATTCTTATCAGACACGGCGCACGAAACTGAACTTGAGAAGGCTACGATTTACATTTAGGAAATTTACTACATCTTACTTTAATTAAGTTGGGCTAAAATATATAAAAGTTAGCAAAAACATCATCTTGGGGACCCCTCCCATGACCCGTGCCTGCTTATCAACTTTTCATGTACAGTTGACAGTAAGTTCGTATCAGGAATCACCCATGACAACTGAACATAATACAATTATACAATGTTATGTGTCTCAGCACATTATATCCCAATTAAAATTGTGTTTTTTATTCAGATTTAAAAGTCGGTTATGAATTATTGTAGATTAGGTTTAAAGTAACTTTGAGTTTAATTTAATGGTAAAATTTACGCAAACTAATAGATTTTGCATCCTCAAGATTCAAGGAAAACACAACAGCAGGTTAATACATGATAATGATGATATGTTTCATTTCCAATAAAATATAGTCAGGTTGTGATCATTAGTGAAATAAATCAAACTTTATTTTTCATTTGGAATCATCACGCAAAAATGCACTGCACATTTTGCACACGAAAAATGTTTTTAAAAATATAAAGACGGCTTATTTCTTTTAACATCTGCTTCCGCCTTTTTAAAAATTTGATCTTTTAATATCTCCTCTAGAATTGCTGACCTACCTTGAAGTTTTATAGATTTTAACAAAAATGTACTAATCAAGAAACCTTGAAGCACAAAGTAAGCAATCATTGCAAGAATACTTTAGCACTTATAGCTAATTTTTCCTGTAGTCTGCTCATCTGATCGTCATCAGAACGCAACACGCCATGTTGTGTAATTTCATAACTGTGAAATATGAGCAGGGAGTTTTTTAATTAATTTTGACATGTTTGGTTTAGTTTTAAGTGCTCCTGTGACGAAAAATTGAGTCATCATTTTATTGCATTTATTATCCAGGTTTTTTTTTGTATTCAATAAAAGTTATTCTTTTTTTAAAAGTTACTTTCTCTAGTTTGGATTATAATTTAACGTTGACATTGCAAATAATATAAATAAAAATATATCTAAAACAAAATAAAAACGAGTCTTCTTCATTGTTTAAATGAACAATAAAACATGCATACCTTATGCATCTTAATATTTTGGTAAATTTAAATGCAAAAACACACAAGTTTTAGCTGAATTGCTTCAATACTAAACAATCAATACACACAAGTCATAAAATTGCCTTAGGCTAACATTTTAAAGCGAGAAAAAAAGAAAACTCAAACGTCTTCAAGGCGACGTGAAAACAGCCAGGAAGTAGGTACCTTTTTAAACTTCTAGTGTAGTCCCACACTAACCTGACCATACATGCAACAGCCCTAAAAATCTTTAAAAAAATTCTGCACAAGCTACCATACCTTTAAATGCTATTTGTTTCCGCCTATCTGACCCTGAGATCACCTACGATCTGCGATAGGCTTTGCTCGGGGTACGCAGGGAGAGTGCGGTCGCGACCGAAGTCTAAAAATTTGTGACCGAGCGAGCTAATTACTCCATAATTGGTACTAGTACATACAGTTGGTCGTTGCCATGACCATAAACTTTGAGAGTTGGTGCAGTTGACTAATAATGTTCAGATTAATTCTCAAATAATTGCTGACGTAGAAAGCTCTGAAATTCGTGCTTGCATACGCTCTTAGCAATTTTCAAACATATGTTTTTGGCACGCTCTTTGTTTTCTTAAGCTAAATGTTTTGACAAATGCGCATCAAACTTATCAATAATTTGTTACGCCACTTGTAATTTATGTAATAATTATTTTCCTCCATAACTTTGTATCTGCATATTTTGTGCATAAACATTGCTCTAATATTTATGACAGATATGGTAATTCGGGGATTGAGGTAGAAGAAATACTTGAAAATGAAACTTCAACAGTGAAACAAAATGAAGCGTGACAGGGGATAAACAACGACGCCAGGTTGAAGATAGCTTGATAAATTGAACGTATTTCAAGCACCTAGCGTCCGCTCGAGAATTTTGGACGAGGACTCGTTGACATTGAAAACACGAATGATTCCAAGCATGTTAACGACGATAAAGCTTTAGCGAGGCCAAGGCTCCAATACAAAAACAATCCATTAATAACACCGAGTTTACTGAAGATATGTTCAAAAGAAATATCGATGAATCGCATATACAGTTTGGAAGCTCGTTGGCTCACGTGGTATACAGTAGTGTGAACTGTTCATGATGTTGCTGGAAATATGTAAAAATAACTACTTACGCTTTTACTTTGGGACGACGAATCTGATTTCGAAAGTGAAGAGGAAGCAATCACAACAAGAGATTTGCAAGAAGATTCAAAGTGTACTCTGCAAATTTTGTATATACAGTTGGAGTATTGTGAGAAAAGTACTCTAAGGAATGCTATTGACGAGAGAAAATACAAGGACCAACAGAGAATGTGGCTGATTCTCCGCGAGATTGTAGAAGGATTAGTTCACGTTCATTCACAGGTAGAAAAAAAATGTGAACAATTTTCGTTTAGCTGAATAAATATATATTTATTGAGCTAAAGTTTTATTATTTGCCATTTTTCGCTGATTTTCGCCAAAGGGTATGATTCAAGTAAACGCGTTTCGACATTTTTGGTTTTCTATTATTGATAAAATTATAGCCATGCTTGAAAACTTCCACTCAAAGCATACAATTGAAAAACTGAAGATCATGAGGAAAAACAAGCAATAAAGTGACAAAGCATCTATAGCTATTGTCTTTTAATGTCATATATTTGTATAGATGTCTATATCCGGAGAGCCTTAACCAATGCTTAGCACAGCAGCTTTTTGGACATCCTTTAATCTCTCCAAATCCCATGTCGCACGGCTTAAGCAAATGACATCACTTCAGATAAGCTTGACGCTGAAAAAGATCAAGGGAGAAATCAAAATATAACTGTTATAATGGAGGTGAGTATCCTGATTTCATGCCTATTCCTTTCGACTACGCTGCGTGAAATTCAAGAGTTCGGAATGAATTTGAGGTGTTGCGAATGCTTGGAAAAAGGAAGATTTGCTTCAGTTGTCGTTTAAATAGACGGTAATTTGGTCATGTCAATGCAAACTCAGCTCTAGACCAATCAGCGCACGCGTTTCATTGTTTTTGTTTTATGTAATAATATAGTGTGCAATATTCATATTATATTTCTCAAACAAAACATGGCTGAATTTTGTGAGCAATTTACAAATTTTAAGACTACGTCTGTTGCCGCAAATATTTCGGATAAAAATGTTTTCAAAAAAGATATTTTAAAAGAAGACACATTCAGAAGCGAAATTAAAAACTCTTGTGATAATGAAGCTATAATCTCCGGGGAAAAAAGTACTCTTCTTACAGACGCTCCCTTGGTTGACATCTCTGCTTTGAAAGATCTTGAATGTAAAGCTTTTGAAGTGGACAAAAATCTTAATCAAGTTATGGAAAATATATGTAAAAGTCTAAAAGGTATTTCAATGGCAAGTGTGGACTATGCAGAATGTTACAAGGATTGTATTCGTAATGTTGGAAATTGTAGTGAGACCGCTTGTAAAACAATGGCAAAATTAATTGGAAAATGCGAAGAAATGAACTGCAGTATGGAACCTCTTTATGGCATGGCTGAGCAGTTAAAATTGGTGAATGTATTGCTCAATCAATTGGAGGAAAAATGCAAATGTTAAGGTTTCTTTAAAAAAATCAAATATTCACCTTTAATACATGTTACTTAATTAAGTTTTTTTGAGGTTAGTTGTCGAGCTTCATAATTTTTCTATTTACCTTTTCATTTGTGGACTTTTGTATAAATGGCAGTTGATGACGTATATTTAATCTTAACTCTAGTCATATAAGTGGTCAGCATTAAAAATGTCAAACAGTTCTGCCATTTTAATATTCATGAAGATTGATAATTGATACATACATCTTGTTATTTGATATAATAGTTGATTCCTTTGCTGCCAGCCAGGTATAATTTTCTTTAAATTGTTTTCTAGCGGCATTCAAAGTAAGAAAACTGATGAGCTCAAATCCTTTTGGTTAAGCCATAATAATATTTCAAACAACAAATTGTCACTTGGTTGATGAGACAAAAGGATAAGTTTAATATATTGTTTATAATATAAATATATATAATATAGCCATAATGGTGAACATTATCTAGTAAGACTAATGCTTACAGGCTTAAAATAGACATATGGAACACCATATTACTGTTTAATTTTTTTTAAAGGGTAAGCAATACATGAGATTTAAAATGATTATTGAAAAGAATTCTACAATAATGCAACAATACTCCCCCGTTTAAAATATTATTACCATTGTTTAATAAAAACCAATAAATATGCTACCAAATTTCATGACTGATTTTCCAACACTCCTGTTCACAGAAAGTGGTATTGTAGTTACCAAAAGTTTTCTTTATTTTTCTGAATGTGTGGTTGCACTTGAAGATATTAATATCTCTTGTTTAAATCAAACTTGTCACTTGGCCTTGTCACCATTGTGGTGTGCTCGTTACATGTAAAATAAATGTAAAATATGTTACATGTAAACTGTGATGTGTAAATTGAAAGTTAATTATACATGACAATTGAAGTGGTTTGGGCTAATGTAAAATTCAGATCATTATTATTCATTTCTTTAGAAATCTATTGTTTTTTCAGTGAGTGAATACAGAAAAATTTTGAGGGCCGGTTAAATTTGCCTTTTATGCAAAACAAAACAAAAATTCTGGTGCTTTATTTAAGATATGTTGAATACTCATGTTAGAAATTTGCCAATGAGCAATAAAACCATTTTCAGCTTCCTCAGAATCCTGTCTGAACAAACATATCAGAAACGATCATATGCAATTTGGTATCAGTTCTGCCATCAGACATCAACAAGAAGGTCTACATTAAACATATTTAGGAAACAATATCCTAATGTGTGCAGCATTATTGTATTTTAGTAAGCTTTAGTCTTAACAATTGAAATTAACTAAAACTTTTACAATAAACAACTTATTTGATTCTTTTAAGTATTCTCATCCTATTGAAGTTTGTATGAGAAACCCTTTCTTGTAAACACTCCTCTCCAATAAATGCTCTTCTGCATATAAATGTTTTCTTGTTATAATTGTTGTAGATTTTGTTTTTTTTGGTTGATTGGATAATATGCTTGTGGATGCACATTTCTCACATTTTAATAAGCTTTTCATGCTATTAAAAAAGCAGGCACAATTTTATTGCAGTTGATTAAATAGTCCAAAAACTGAATGGACTTTATTTTTAACGTTAATGTTGCATGCTTAAATCTTGAGCAAATTGAAACTTATGATTTATAAATTAATAATTTACTTCGGTCATTTTCTAATTTGCATATTTTGAAATTATATTTTATTTCGTTGGTGCACTATAAACTCTTCTTTTGCCGAATCTCTCTTTGTTGATTGTTAGATCATCTACATTACTTATAAAAAATATGTTTGATGTTGGTGAGAATGTAATTCATTTCCATTTCACGCAACTACATCTAAATGTTAAATTGGAAATAATCGTTCACGAATACTTTTATTTACACATCACAAAAGCAGGTACATGTGGGTAGCATATCAAGTATATGTTTGTAAAATAAAATAGGTGAATACACTGGTTTATATTTTATGTCATGTGACTTAGGTCACATCTGTAAAAAAGAAGTATTTGAGATTTCGTACATATAAGTTCGTCACAACAACTTTTTGTGTTTCAAAATAGTTTCCTGACATATATGACATGTCGTTCATTGAACCGATAAAATAAATACAATTATGATTTACATACATATGACGCTTGTGTTGCCAATTTTGGGCGAACAGTCCGTGTTGTTTGTTGTTACCTTTTTCTTGAAATAACTTCAAAAGCACTGTATGGACCAATGGCGCACACTTTATGAAATACTGCGGGGAAAGTATCGAATTGTATTTTCTGCTCTAAATTTGACTGGTGGCAGGTACTATGTATTATCATAAAGAATATTTGTATTTCGTACAGGATTCGAACGCTATTAAATATAGCCGTTTGTTGCCTGTGTTTCATTTAAACTCGCCATAAAAATTCTGTGATAAGAGTGAAACATGCAATTATAAACAGTGCGAATAAGTACTCAACTAGACTGAATACCGTTTTTACACGAACGAGATATAATTGATATTTTTGATCGTCTTTGAAGCCTGTATTTGTATATCTTAACGTTTTACTTATAACTCTTTCTGTATCTTGAGTGTGAAGTTTTGTAAAGAGTACGATTATTCGTTTTCCCGACAGATAAATGAAGCTCATGTGTACCTATGCAATGGTGACAAGCAATATCATACATTTGTATGTTTGGGCCGTATTGTTTAGTGATTAGCATAGTATTTCTTAGAGACAAAGAAATAAGACATATACAACTACATATGCGACTAGCCGCAAGAACATCTATAGTTTCAGAAGAAAGCATGCATACAAAGAAATTCCATTACAGTTTTGGATCTTCTCATCTAAAATAATATTGTGTCATAGGCACTTTAAAATTACTTATTGGTACTATCACAAATTCGTACTGCATGGCTCCAATATTCGTGATTATAATAAGTAGGCAAGTTTGAGTCAGTTGTCAGTTTTGTTGTCAAAATATTATAGTCTCAGGAATAGTATCATGGTAAAGTGCCAGAATTACTATTTACCAACGTAGGGTGCTCCAACGAATTTCTATTTACCAACGAAGGGTGCTAACTTTTTGGTTAGCACCCTACGTTGGTAAATAGTAATTCTGGCACTTTACCATGATACTATTCCTGAGACTATAATATTTCGACAACAAAACTGACAACTGACTCAAACTTGCCTACTTATTATAATCACGAATATTGGAGCCATGCAGTACGATTTTTTATAGGAATTTTTATATGCAGTAGGAATTGTTATAGGCAGTAGTGATATAAGTACTAAGTAGGTTAAGTTATGCTGTTGAAAATACGATGTACTGTATTTCAATAAGTACTGGGTTTTCCTAGTTTGAACTTTAAATTTATTTCGTATTGTTTACACTATGAATTACAAGCCTGTTTTCCCAACACGTGTCGGGAAATTCAAAATGAAAAGGAACGTGATGTACGCACATGTTGTCGAAAGAATTATTGGGGGAACTACATGTCACAGAAGGCTCACAAAAGGCTCACCAGACAAAGGTCTTTGCCTACATGCCTCCATATTAGTTATTCACTACTGGGTGTAGAACAAGAATACTTTTTCGCAGGCCACGCCTCAATAATTGAGTCTCAATTTTATCCCTGCTTTTGAACTTCGAACACAAAACTATAGTACAATTTTAAATAAAACAGTACTAGCCTATAGAATGTCGATAGTCTTCATAAAACGTTATGTGAAGATTATCAGGATAGATTTTGCAAAAAATCAACAAATATTCTTGGAAGCGATAGAATTTTCTTATTTTCAAAGAAAAAAACAGCTATGTCAAAACTGCCATTTCAAGGCTGTCTCAATGTTAAGACTTTGGTCTATGATTTAAGATAAATGCCATGTTGTTTGTCATGGTCATTTTACATAAAAACAGTTAACATTACTTTTATTAAATGTAATGCATACAAACTCTTATACAGGTCCTTGACTACATGTAGAAAAGTGCAGAATACAAATGGCATTAAAAAGTTCCAAAAAAATCTGTTTAACTGGTGAATGGTTTTAAACCTCTCTCAGTTTAGTGGTATTTCACAGTCACCAATATGACACTAGCATGGTTAAAACAGAATATTGTTTCTACAGGGTGTTAAAAGAAGACTTGTAAAAACTTTTGTTATTTAGTTATTTAGAAAATAGTTTATTAGACGTGCAATGGTACATCTGACAGTAATATTGTGGTTAATAATAAATATTTTTCGAATGAAAATTTTAATTTTGGCTTAGCTTTCAAATTGCAGGTTTTGAATTTTTGTTTTTTGTTTTTTTTTTAAATTTTATCAACTATCCATAAATGTCAGCATTAATGCAAATATGAATAATTGATGAAGGTTTTAAAAAATGACATTTAGAAAGAAAAACCCAAAAATGACGTACGATTTGGATGCCTATTGTTCGCGTGCGCAAATCTCCAAAACTTTGTTAGTTGGATAAAAATGAGTAGTATTTTAACCGTATGTGTTCCAATTGCTTTTGACCTTCTTCATTTGTGTTTGCAAGCTATTGCTATAAGCAAAAAAAATGCTTGACACCGTCTCGAAGGTAAATTTTCAGTTTGGCTTTATCCGCTCTTTTCCCAGACAGCGTAACCCTGTCGTGCTATTAAGATCATATGGTAACATCTTACTTATTTTTGCCCTTTTTGCAGCAAAGGACTAAGGTCATTGTTAAAATTGACACATCTCTTTTATTTGTAGAATGAAACATTTTGAGTCCGAACAGGATCATCTTGGAACAAGATTAGTTAATGTTGCGATATGTGCAGCTGAATTCAAAAGTAGATGTTGGCAAATGACGTCAACACTCCAGGTGGCTCCGTTTTTGAATTAGGTGTGTATAAAAAGTACTTCCCCTTTTTGAAAACTAATTGTTTTACATTAAACCTTCAAATAACGATGAAACATTTATGCATAGTTGAAGTGACTTATAGTTACCTAAAAATAATACTAACTCTGATGTAACTCAACGGACTAAAAAATGACCAAAATGCTTATCGCTCACAGTTGGCGTAACAAACAGACATTTCCCAAGTAAGGCTCCACCACGTATACGACTTTTGATCGTTGGGCGTAGCATTATTATGATTTCTTAAGTTTTGTTTTAATTTTTCACTTTCATTTTCATTCAAGTTCTTCATGAATGTTAACATAACATTTCTTTGAAAGATATCCCTAGGAAGCTACAGTTTGTATTATCAAGGAATCTTGCATCTTAGTCTGTTTGAAACACTTTCAAACTGACGCAAATCTGTTTGCCTGATTACATATGTAATGACATACTTTATATATTGATCTGCTTATAAATGTGTTTTTCCCGACGAATGTTAATGTCGTTCGTTTGTTTGAAGTTCAGTCAAGCGTTCTATAACAGCCGTTATCAATATAAATCAATTATGTTTATTTGCTACCCTTCCAAGTTACTGGTCAATGAAATGGCTTCTGGTAGACTGCTGGTTTTAACTCTTGTTTTCATGACGATTGTAAAAGCAAAAGGTAAGTTAATAGACTCGACACTTTAATCAAATGTGTAAATGGGGGATATTTAGAGTAGGATTTATTAATATACTCTAACAAAGTTAATGGTTTGAGCCCAGGAGTGTCGTTACATTTATGTAGATACAGTTTGTCCAGATTAATAGAGTCCTGAAAGTTAGTGTTAATGTATTAAGAAATTATAGAAATAAGAATTTCAATGATGATGAGATAGTAAAAAGTCCACGGTTAACTCGTATGCTTGTGAGTACAATGAGTTGGGTTTAATTAATTAAACATTTCTAACCATTTTGTCAAAACAAGATAGCAGAAATATGAACAAAAATTTTTACAGTACCAAATAAGCCATTTGAATTTTAGTAAAAACTTCTGTTTCAGGAATGGAAACGAGTTGTTTCTCTCCAGATTCTTTGATGACCAACACTGTATTAGTTCATTTCTAATCTTCAAAGTTGTCTATCCTTACTACAACCTTCTATGCTCTGCAAATTTATCTTACTCTTTACTTTATGTCGTCAATGGACTAATTTTCTCGTAATTTTTTTGTGATATAATCAATGTACAACATTACAACATAACCGATTACCTTAACACAATTTTGGTGTACAAGTATAAGTAAGAAGTGCCAAACGCGACCAAAACTCGCTAAGCAAGAGATAATTGCATTAATTGATAATGTGATTGAAAAAATTAAATAAAAATCTTCCATAGTAGCTAAAAACGTTATTTTTGTGGAAGTTATGAACAGACATTCACACTTTGATTAGAATTGTTGAGAAAAATTAAGCACACGTGCACCGGAACTACACTAACCTGTGACATCGAACTAAACAAAGAATTTATGACGTCTTTTCATGCATTAGCATAACCAGGAACATTGAAACACTTAGGTAGTAATGTGGTAAGGCATAAAACAACGAAACTGATTTTTTTTCAATCTATGTCAGTTTCAATAAATTGTTGAATTTTTGGCGTTTGTGATAAGTTCTTGCATTCGAAAAAGTACATACGAGAAACAACGAAAAATTTGCGATCGTAAATTCGACCTTCGGTCTCGGGCTTGCTTTGATCTGCTCTTAAGTTCTCCCAAAGGTCTCCTCGGTTTGCATAAGCCTTTGCAAACACAGTAAACATCTTTTAATTCCTAAATAATACATGGATAACACTTTTCAACAATATTGGCAAAGTCTTTAATTGTGCTCAGACAGTGTACTCCTCTGGCATTGTTAATGATACATAATGAACAACATAGAATTTTCCTTATATATAAGCGATAATTGTGAAATGATCATAAAAATTCAGGTAAGTAACCGGATGTAAAACTGGTCTTTTATCAATGAACTCGGTGGTCAATGAAAATATTGAGCATTTCAGCCTGCATGATAAAAACTCCGATCCATTGGAGTCTTGGACGAAATATTGTGACAAAAGAAGTTGATGTTCAACCCACAGACGTCAAAAACGTTGTGACAAAGTAATAGAACAATTACCATCTTAGGAACAAACAACTGTTTCGTATTTGAATACATTATGAAGGGAATTGGCGTTTAAGGCGATGCAAGTTACTGTATCCTCCTCGTTTAAAGGAAAATTGAATAGAATGTTGTTAATTGTAATTGTTTTACTGCGGGTACGAGAGAAAATCTTAATCTCTAGATGTTATCAGCTATGCCAAACTATAACGCTTGGACTCAAGAATCTCAGAGAAAAGTATTTCTAGTTCCACCGACGCTATGGCGTTCCCTTTGATTGGGAACGCCATAGCGTCGGTGGAACTAGAACAGATTCATTCAGTGCTATTGACTAAATTTTTAAGAGAGGGGGGGGAGATGATTTCTTTACGTGACTGTAGTCATGAAATTGTAAGAAATGCGTGACGTCATCATATGACATTATCATAGATGTTTATAACGTTTAACTGAAATAACTCACAAATAACGCATCATAACTCATAAGTCTTGTCATACCGCGTATGTGTGACGGGGCTCGGCAGATTAAAACTTATAACTCTGTGAGAAAATTACTTTGCTACAGTAACTTATGATTTAAAAATGATGGTCTTTTATAAAACTGTCACGATAACATCACAACATCATGAATAGTTATATACTGAAAATACTATTACTTTATACACTACTTGATTCCTAGCATTCTAAAACATTAGTGAGAGCCTCCCAAAATAACGTTGCTAATAATCTAACCCTAATAAAAAGTAAATATTTATCAACAGGTTAATATGTTATGCAAATAGAAACTAATATTTTATCACACCTTATCCTTTTATTAATTAACACGTATCATGTATCTTATTATAAATTCAGTATTGTAAATAATTTTACTTCATTCTTTTACTGAATATTACTTAATGTAAGTCGAAACATGTTTATAATAAAAAAATTTGTCGTTTATTTTAAATGCCAACAAATAGAAACATTTAAAATGGAGAATCGAATTCAGATGATTTGATTTTCCATATTGTGTGATGATCATAAATGTTATTTGCCTGTTTAACTGTAATTTGTAAGTGCCTGTAAATAGAAGTTTAATAATTATAGTCTTCTTGTTTTAAAAATATTTCTTTTTAGAGTTTTATTAAATAACAGTTGAGAAAATAGAAACTGTTAAACAAAAATGTTTTAATTTTAAAATAACTTCTCTTTCAAGATGTCCCAAGATTGTCAATCAGACTTTAAGGATCAACAAGCTATTGAATTCGGATTTTGCGTAATATTAAGAAGTCTTAAAAATTTAAAGAGTTATAGACTCTTTAAGTTCTGATGATTTTTTATGTATCTTTAAGCTTTTCGCGATTTATGGTCAGACTCTGTCGTTATGTGAACTGATCAACGTACTCAATACATAAAGTTTTTTCTGTTGTTGACAGACGAACCTTTACCTGTCAGACTACAAGGACCAAAGAGTTCCAGAGGTACTGGTCGATTAGAAATATTTTATGAAGGAGAATGGGGTACAATATGTGATGATCATTGGGATTCGAAAGATTCAAAGGTTGCATGTCGTCAACTTGGTTATAAAGTTGGTGTTAGATTGCGGAGAGGACGTAGTTTTCGTAGAGGAACAGGACAAATATGGTTAGATGATGTTTCTTGTGTTGGCAATGAAACAAGTCTTTCAAAGTGTTCACATCGTGGTTGGGGTAAACATAACTGTGATCACAGTGAAGATGTTGGTCTGGCATGTTTAAATGGTAAATTTTGTTTAATTATTATGAATTTTTTAAACACCATTTTTTAAACATTACAAGATATATCTATATTTCTGCAATAATAAACTGTTTTTCACAAACAGACTTCGATGAATGCTACTTGGAATTGCACAATTGTAGTAGAAACGCTTTATGTACAAATACAGAAGAAGGTTTTACATGCATGTGTAAATCTGGTTACACTGGAAATGGATTTCTTTGCACAGGTACAAAGGTTTTGTTAAAATAGCTCAAAATTATTGTTCAAACTTATTTTATGATACTGAATACGATTTATACAGTTTTTTTTAAATAACTAAAGATTTCTGCTTTCTTCATTTATTCAAGACATCAATGAATGTTCTCTTGCGGTGGATAACTGTCATCAAAATTCTATTTGTATTAACACTGACGGTTCATATTTATGTAACTGCAATGATGGTTATGTTCGAAATGGAACTTTTTGTTTAAGTAAGTTAGGAAAGAAATTTGGCAGTAATTAGCTGCTCTGTTGTTATAACAACGTTGTCTTTATTTTTTTTTAGAACATCCTCAAACTGTAAGGCTTCAAGGACCAAAGGCTATTCATGGCATTGGTCATGTTGAAGTGTTACATAATGGAGAATGGGGAACAATTTGTGATACGAAATGGGATTTGAAAGACGCTGAGGTTGTATGTCGTCAACTAGGTTACGTAAGTGCATACAAGGCTTTAAGAAGGCAATATGTTCCCTATGGTAGAAGAACAACTTGGTTAGATAATGTTTATTGTAATGGCAAGGAATCAAATATTTCAAGTTGTTCATTTGGAGGATGGAAAGTCAGCTTTTGTAGTTCGCGCAGGAATGCTGGGGTCGAATGTTCTAAAGGTATGAGAGTTTTATATTTGTCGTTATTTTATGAAAGAACATTTCAATTTCTTTAGAAATGATAATGTCCAAGTACTAGAACTTCTGGAAATCTCAAAATTCACCTTAATAGGTCACCTTTCTCCGCTTTCTCCTGCTCGGGTAGCGGGTCTTTGCCGGAGACCCAGTTCTATGAGACTTCTCCAGGCTGCTCTGTCCTGGGTATCCTCTTCTTTGATACCACATAGCTGCATGTCTCTCCTGATGGTATCCTGATTGCATTCACCTTAATAGATTATTACAATTAAAAGTTGGCTAATAATTTCTTTCGTGAAACAAAGCAAAACAAAACAAAACAACTCTTCGTGTATTTAGCAAAAATGATTTTTGAGGAGGTCTGATGGCCTATCGAGTAATTAGTGACCATAGATAACAAGGTCTAATAATTTTAAAGCAATCAGCGCCTTGATTGACATTTTGTTCTATGAGCCAATCAGAATGCGTTTAATAAACAAAACAAAACAAGCACAATGTTCAACGAAGTTGCTGCAATTCGTTATTATGTTTTTTTTTGACAAAATTACGTTTGCATATGGTATAGTGAGCTTTTCTCTTCAATTTTGCCGCTGTAATTTTTTAATTTTTTCTACGTAAATTGCAAAATATTTAAGGTCAAAATAAGCTATCTTTTGGCGTGTTAATTATTACACGTTGTCAAATATAGAACGTTTATTATATTCTATGAAATGATCGGAACTTGTCGCATTTTATGAATAAATATGATCATTTTTTCAAATTTCGACTTATTTCAGCAATTATAATCACAATTTTCATGTAATTTGCAAATAATGTGGAGACAAAGAAGCGTTTAGTGTGAAAGTCAGAGTGGAGTATTGAATTTTGTGACTTTATGTGAATTCTGTGATGTAGTGACAATGTTTAAAAGCTCTATACTGGACGTTGTTTGTTGTTATGACTGAGACATACAAGATGGAAGAATAGCTTGAGTGAGGGAAGACCTCTCAAAATGTTAAAACTTAAAAACACTGTGAGATTGTTTATTGCCAACAACACTTTCAAATAAGAAATTCTTTTATAAGTGACTTGTGTCTGATATACCGTATAGGTTTCTCTCCTAAAACGTTTATAGGTGTTATAATATATATCAAATATATCAAGGTTTCTTTGAGACTCAAAGCTCTGATTATTCATACCAAATTGGTTTAAAATCCTGAAGAGTTAAATGGTGGATAATTTAGGCATATGTAATGTAAAACCATTTAGAATTTTGTATTCGAAATGTAGCCGAACATATTTGAAGCTGGGCATCAAGAATATCTTTTTAAATTTATTAGAATCTCTTTCTAGGTTTGATAGATTACTAAGTATAAATTTAGTTTTGCAAGTTTATGTTACTCTGCTTTACCACTTCAGGTAGCTCATTGAACTGAATATAATTGAGAGGCTTTTATCTGCTAAAATTCAAAACCAGTAATTTGACTAGTCCAAATCTTTCAACGCACGGTGAAAGGAAAGCTTATTTATGACGATAAGTTAGAATGAGGGATTTTACCCCCAGACACACCAGTCTTGGTAGCCTTCCAGGTATTTATTGATTTCAATGAGATAATTCAATAGAACTGCCACAGGATTCCGAGCTGTGGTCAGAGACTGTAAATTCCACCTGTTACCACAGCTAATCAAGTTGTAGGAAAGACCAGGATTTCGCCTGCTGCTGATTTGTAAAAATACAAATGATAAAAATTTTTTGGTATTCCTTGTTTGCCTTGCCAATCGTTGTAGTTTATGTATGTTTTTTTGTAAAACAGCATTTTTCCTTTCTATATGTGCACAGACCAACCTCCTTTGATCAGACTTAAAGGACCAAGAAGTACAAAGGGATCTGGTCGTGTGGAAATATTTTATGATGGAAAGTGGGGAACAGTTTGTGATGATTACTGGGATTTAAATGATGCTATTGTTGCATGTCGTCAACTTGGTTATCAGTATGCATCTAAGGCTCTAAAAGGAAATGATGTACCTAACGGTAATGGAACAATATGGTTAGATGATGTTGATTGTACTGGAAAGGAGATGTATCTTTCAAGTTGCTCACATGGAAAATGGGGAATACATAATTGTAAACATTCTGAAGATGCTGGTGTTGAATGTACGAAAGGTAAATATTATTATTTAATAACATCTTGGTTTGTAAAATAAGTTAAATCACTTACAACTCTTATTAGGGCAAGTGTCACATCCGGCACATTGGCGCTCTTTGATTAGCTAAAAAACATGTACAATAGGGGTAATTTTACAATTAAATACAAACAAACTTTGTAAATCAAACAGTAAAATGCCAAAAAAAAACACACAAGAAAATCTTATGCAATTGTGAGTTAAAGGAAAAACACTGAAGTTTCTTTATCCAGTTTCAAACAGTTTTTTTACTGATGAAAACTAGAAAAGTGAAAGCCAACCCGTAAAAAAACAGCGAGGACGAGAAAAAAGAAAGCAAGCTTCTTTCACTTCAAATAATGCCATGTAATGCACTATTTCCTAATCTTGCTTTCTCCGTCTTTACTGAAAAATATCGGACCTCAGTCTTTTTGTACAAACCTAGCTCTACGGGCTCGGTCTTTACAAACACCTCCAAACACCTCCGTCCGATGTTTCTCCGTAAAGACCTCGCAGCACGCCGCTCGGTTAATAAGTGCTTAGTAACAAAACGAAGTAAAAGGTGAAATTGATTTCTTGTTTCTGCAGACACGACACAGTGAATTTTAATAAATTTTCCATCGTTTTTGTGTAGCCTAGACTTGAATTAATAAGTCAAAAGAATATTTCCGAAGAATGTTTTGGTGCAATTTTCTCCAACTTGTTTCGTCATGGTTTAATATAAACAAAAAGTGAATTAATTGCAAGACTAGGGATCATATGTCAATTTTGCCGTAACGTTTAACGATTTTAATAAAGGTTATATCTTATATAACTCCCTGCTTTGCTTAGTGAAAGCGAGCTTTTGCAAAGAGTACGTCATTTTGTGCGCAAAAATATTGTTGTGAGTATATTTTGACCAAAAACACGTAGCCGTCATTAATTTGAGTCCTATGAGTATATAATGTTTTTTTCAAAACTTGTAGTCGTGACAACTATGTCTTTTGAAGCAAAGAAAGTCCTTATACTTTTTCATTTTGTAAGAAATTAGTTTGCAATACTTTTTGAGGCTTTACTTCAGTATCTTTTTTGAGCTCAGATGTACATTTAAAACGAAAATATGACCTGCTTTACATCCATGAATCGTGGATGGAAAGTCTTGTGTAAACAAAGTTGACGAACTGTAAAATATGTACTACAAATATATGTATAATACATAAAATGTAAGATAGCGAAGATTTTTCTCCATAAAAGGTTCTATATTTTCAAGAAATATATATCCAAATTAAGCTATCATCTTTAACAAAAATTTGCTTTCTGCCTGACTAATCTGTAACTACGAGTTTATATTATATAAGGACATTTGTTATTTGTTTTGATAAAAGTAGCTTATCTTTAGTGAGTCATTTCAGATATTTTATCTTATGTACTTTGTCTTGAACATATAGTTTTGAATGAATGCTCTAAATCGTTACACAATTGCATCTCTATTGCTCGATGTATTGATACAGTGGAAAGTTTCAAGTGTGAGTGTCGCTCTGGTTATACAGGAAATGGAGTGTATTGTAATGGTAAGTTGTGATTAAAAATCAATGAGAAACTTCACTGCTCATATATTATATAACTCCAGAGACAAAGTTTTCGGATAATGATTTTGAGCCATTTTATTGAATTATTCATTTCTGTCCCTTGTCAGTTACGGCGTTTTGATTAAACATATTATTTTAGTACTATCTTTGATTTCAGTGTCATTTTGGGTTAACATATAAATTTTTTGAAACATTGAGCTAACTTTTTAGATATCAATGAATGTTCACTTTCTACTGATAACTGTCATGAAAATGCAACGTGTCAAAATACACCGGGATCATATTCATGTACATGTAAATCTGGATATTTTGGAAATGGAACATATTGCACAGGTAACCCATTACCATTTAATTGCATGCTGCTACTTTTCTTATGAAAAAGATCTGTTTATGCTTTGATTTTTATCTTTGAACAGACAAACGTCCTCCTATTAGACTTCAGGGACCAAGAAGTTTAAATGGAACTGGTCGTGTGGAAATATTTTTTGATGGAGAGTGGGGAACAATTTGTGATTATGGCTGGGATATAAACGATGCGAAAGTTGTTTGTCGTGAACTTGGTTATAGATTTGCTGCTAGAGCTTTACAAGGAATTTATGTACCTGATGGTCGTGGAAAAATATGGCTAGCTTACGTTTGGTGCCATGGCAATGAGCAAAATCTTTCCAGTTGTTCACATAGCCAATGGGGAAGTAAAAATTGTCGACATTATGAAGATGCCGGTGTTGAATGTTCTGAGGGTAAATATCATTCGACATTGATAATGCATGGTGCACACCATCCCAAGGAGAATATAAATATGGAGAGAAAGATTGTGTGGATATTGAAAGAAAACAATAAATTATATTGAAGAGCTGTGGTAGTTTATTGAAGACTTATAGGAAAGTAAATGTTTTGAAACGTAAGAAATGAAATGGGAAATAGGAAAAAGTCCAAACTGTCAACGGTTAACGATAATGTTAATATCTTAACGCACACTTTTTATTCATAATATAGTAAATAGCCGCTTAACGCACAGTGCGGGCAGCAACACACAAAAATTAGATGGCAAATAGAGCAGGCAATAGACATAGTACAGACTATAGCTTTGTAGTTAGTAGTACAGACTATGGTACAGACTATAACATAGTAGTTGGTAGTGACAAGTAGAGCAGGAAATAGACATAATACAGACTATAGCTTTGTTGTTAGTAGTACAGACTATAGTACAGATTATAACATAGTAGTTAGTAGTGACAAGTAGAGCAGGCAATAGACATAGTACAGACTATAGCTTTGTAGTTAGTAGTACAGACTATGGTACAAATTATAACATAGTAGTTAGTAGTGACAAGTATAGCAGGCAATATATATAGTACAGACTATAGCTTTGTAGTTAGTAGTACAGACTATAGTACAGATTATAACATAGTAGTTGGTAGTGACATGTAGAGCAGGCAATATATATAGTACAGACTATAGCTTTGTAGTTAGTAGTACAGACTATAGTACAGATTATAACATAGTAGTTAATAGTGACAAGTAGAGCAGGCAATAGACATAGTACAGACTATAGCTTTGTAGTTAGTAGTACAGACTATGGTACACATTATAACATAGTAGTTAGTAGTGACAAGTAGAGCAGGAAATAGACATAGTACAGACTATAGCTTTGTAGTTAGTAGTACAGACTATGGTACAGATTATAGCATAGTAGTTAGTAGTGACAAGTAGAGCAGGCAATAGACATAGTACAGACTGTAGCTTTGTTGTTAGTAGTACAGACTATAGTACAGGTTATAACATAGTAGGAAGTAGTGACAAGTAGAGCAGGCAATAGACATAGTACAGACTGTAGCTTTGTAGTTAGTAGTACAGACTATAGTACAGATTATAATATGGTAGTTAGTAGTGACAAAGCATTATCAATAAGAAAATAGAATGATTCTATTAATTAAGAAATTAACTGGGGTTGATTTCTTTGTAATAAAAATTAAATTTCCTCATAACAAATTACTCTCCAACACTTTAATACATAAGGAAGATACATGTTATTTGTTTTTATCCTGTTTTTACAAACTTTTGACAAAAAGTAGCAATTCTTTCTGTGAAATAATTCAGAAGTTTCATTTCACCAATATTTAGTATTGGATGAGTGTTCTACATCACGACATAATTGCATCTCTATTGCTCGATGTATTGATACAGTGGAAAGTTTCAAGTGTGAGTGTCGCTCTGGTTATACAGGAAATGGAGTGGATTGTAATGGTAAGTTGGGAATAAAAATCAACGAGAAACTTATATATTCTATAATTGCAGAGACTAAGTTTTTGGCTAATGGTTTTGAGCCATATTATTGAATTATTCATTTTTAACCCCTTACAGTTTTATTTTTACTCATAATTTTTTACCGTAAGTGTGTAAAAGCATTATTGATAGAGCTCATTTAATAAATACGACAATTTTTTTTAAAATAAAAATGTTTCAATATCTCATGTGCTATCTTCAGTATATAAGAAAGAGTATTATGTATGTGACAAATATATATATGAGTAATATGATACAGTGATACAATTTATACAATTACTAGTAGATTATAAATATAAATATTACGATGAAATAGTGGTTAGAATTAATGATGAGCGTATTATTAGGATGAATATAGTGTTAAAACGAAAATCTTGAATGTTGAGATTAAGGTTAGTTTGTTAATGTGAAGTGGTTCTTTGATTTTAAGTGCAAATGTAGTATCTGCAGTGTCGATGATTTTAAAGCAAGAGGGTGAATAGCAAGTTAGTTTTGCATGAAGGTGATTTTAAAAGGTATTGATAGGGTATGTGAGTTTGATTCTGGAGGACGGAAGTTTCGGCATAAATCCACAATCGAATAGGATTTAATAGAAACAGGGATAAGACTTTTGAATGAAAACTAGTTTTTGGTTTTGAAAAACTACTTTTTAGTCAAAGATCCTATCCCTGACTTTATTAAATCTACGTATGGTGATATACCAATTCTATTGCGGGATGTAATTCCCGATACATTGGCGAAACTTCCCGTCACTTGTCCTCCAGAATCAGGGAATACACCACAACTGACAAAAACTCACATATCAATCGACAACTTTTAAAATCACCTTCATGCAAAACTAACTTATCATTCAGCCTCTTGCTTTAAAATCATCGACACTGCAGATACTACATTCGCACTCAAAATCAAAGAAGTACTTCACATTAACAAGCTAACCCTAATCTCAACATTGAAGATTTTCGTTTCAACACTATATTCAGCCTGTAAATACACACATCATTAATTCTAACCACTATTTCATTGTAATATTCATTTTTATAATTTACTCGTAATTGTTTAAATTCTATCTTTGTATCATATCACTCATATATATATTTATCACATACATAATACTCTTTCTTATATACTGAAGATGGCATCATGAGATGTTGAAACATGTTTTTTTTAAAAAAACTTGTCGTATTTATAAAATGCATTTAATTTTTTACTGTTATAAAACGTAAATTTTGTTGTGACTCCTTTTCCTTTATAATTTTTGTAACATTGACCTAACTTTTTAGATATCAATGAATGTTCACTTTCTACTGATAACTGTCATGAAAATGCAACGTGTTACAATACCTACGGATCTTATTCATGTACATGTAATTTTGGTTATTTTGGAAATGGAACATTTTGCACAGGTAACCCAACATTTTTGTGACATGTTATTGCATACAGTTACTTTTACGTTAAGGAAGACATGCTAAAGAATTTTTATCTTTTGTTTTTGAACAGACAAAAGTCCTCCTGTTAGACTTCAGGGACCAAGAAGTTTAAATGGAACTGGACGTGCTGAAGTATTTTATAATGGAGAGTGGGGAACAATTTGTGATGCTGGCTGGGATTTACACGATGCAAAAGTTTTTTGTCGTGATCTTGGTTATCAATTTGCTGCTAGAGCATTACACGGAATTTATGTACCTGATGGTCGTGGAAAAATATGGCTTGATGACGTTGATTGCTATGGCAATGAGCAGCATATTGCAAGTTGTTCACATAACAGATGGGGAACGCACAATTGTGAACATTTTGAAGATGCTGGTGTTGAATGTGCTAATGGTAAATATTTTACAACTTCGTAAATAAAAGCAGTACTGCTTATTTATAATTAATCCTTATTACAAAAGTGATTTTTCCACAAAAAATCGACTCATTTTAGTTGAATATTTATATATACTTCTTTAAAACACGAGTTTTGAAACGTACTACGTAAGAAATATCACAAATACAATTTTAACATTTCAATAACGTTTTTTAGTGCTGTTATAGAGTTGCAGCAAAATTTGCAGAGTGGCATGTAAAAATTTAAGTACTTACAAAATCATCCATTCATTTTGTTGATGAAAGCATGTTTTGGGTTTCAGTTATTTATATTATGTACGTAGTCTTTGGATTAATTATTGATATTGTTTTGTAACTGCAGTTGGTTTAATGGTGTAATGAGTTGTTCATAAGAATTTGATAATACTCTTTGTCATTAAAGTGCAAGCAATTTTTGGTGAGCGTACACTAACTCAGGCTTTTTAAGCTTATGTGAGCAGCCTGACATTACCTGTTTATTTTCAATTTAATGTCCAACACATGATTTTGCTTCCACCTGTCAAGGTCACTTCTTTATATCACATGACGATATAATCAATATGTTTTGTATTATTTTCACAAAGTTTTGACGAAAATTGACAATTCTTTTGGTGAAATAATTCAGAAAAATTAATTTTAACAACATTTAGTTTTAGATGAATGTTCTTTATCAGGACACAATTGCCACTACAATGCTCGTTGTATTGACACCAAGGAAGGTTTTAAGTGTGAGTGTCGTTCTGGTTACTTAGGAAATGGAGTGAATTGTTATGGTAGGTTGCATAAGAACATTAGCGATAACTTTGAGTAACTCTAGAAATTTTTTTTTCCGAAAGAGAAAGTTTTTATTGATGGTTTTTGAGCCATTTCTTTAATAATTTGTTTTTAACTCTTTAAATTTTTTGCACTTTGATTTATTTCTTTAAAAAACGTAAATTTTGTTGTGATATGTTTTTCCTTTTGTAACATTGAACTAACTTTTTAGATCTTAATGAATGTTCACTTTCTACTCATAACTGTCATGAAAATTCAGTGTGTCATAATACACAGGGATCTTATTCATGTACATGTAAACCTGGATATTTTGGAAATTGCATAGGTAACCCGACACCATTTAACTGCATGCAATTACTTTACTCATAAAAGAGATCTATTAATACTTACTTTTCCGAAAACCAAGAACTTTGATTTTAATTTTTTAACAGACGAACGTCCTCCTATCAGACTTCAGGGACCAAGAAGTTTAAATGGAACTGGTCGTGTGGAAATATTTTATGATGGAGAATGGGGAACAATTTGTGATGATGGCTGGGGTTTAAGTGATGCAAAAGTTGTTTGTCGTCAGCTTGGTTATAGAAAAGCTAAGAGGGCTCTACAAGGAGGATCAGTTCCTGATGGTCGTGGAAAAATATGGCTTGATGATGTTCTTTGCAATGGTCATGAAAAGTATATTTCAGATTGTTCCCATAACAAATGGGGAAGACATAATTGTGGACATTCTGAAGATGCTGGTGTGGAATGCTCAGGTGGTATATTGTTTTTATAAAGCATTTGTGTTGAATGGAAATTAATATTAACATATCTTACAATTTTTTTATAGCTCATACTAACCTTCATAACAATCGAAAACAAATTTATTGTCATTTGCAAATTAGTTTCAATTTTATCTTATAGAATTCGATGAATGTACTGCAAACGTACACAGCTGTAGCATTAATGCTGAATGTGTCGACACTGTACAAAGTTTTAAATGTATTTGTAACCCAGGCTTTACAGGAAATGGGAAATATTGTAATGGTAAGTTTATTTTGAATTCTATTCTTCGTCAGCCAAAAGATGGGAATTGATTCGAGATAGTGCCTACTTCTCACAAGAACCAATATAATTTTTTTTCTCAAAGCTCATATTGACAAGATTAAAAGTCGGTTTTTCTGAATGTTTATGGCAAGGTTCGGCACCTTGATCAAATTGAGAAAATTTGAGAAAATATCATTATTGTATACCAACTGCGATATATTTAAATAGGCCGTTTTTCTGCGAGGGACTTGAAAATCAGACAATGTGAAAATGCTACCCTTATCTGACCTTCATACAAAACAAAACGTACTGTTTGCATTGATCTCAGTCAATAAATTTTAAATGTTTTTGGCCTTAAGATGTGAATTTCAAGCTGCTCTTATACTATGTGGTTTATTGGAAAAGCTCATAAGAACATAATGACAAATACTTATTGTTTTCAAAACAGAATAAACACATCTTCATAAACATTTATTAAAGCAGGTCTTATGAAAACATATTGTAACGTATTGCACATGCCGTCTCTTATCAGAATATTTGCTAACATGATATTAAATACCCTAAACTTTGCTTTCTACAGACATGTTCTAACACAAAAGAATTATGAAAAATATATCAGAAAACATGTCTTAGTAGAACATTCTCTAAATAGACATGAATATATTATTAACCTATGTTTTAACAGAACATGTATCATGTACTGTCAAAAAGTGTGCGATGGCAGAACATGTTTCAAAAAGGCCTCTGGTGTTATGAAAGACATCAATTTTTGCTTTTCAGAAATCCCCTTGCTTTTCACTGTGCATCAGTTTTCCCCATTTCAGGTATGCCTCTGGTGTTGCAACTGACTGCAATATTGTACTTTTAGAAAGGACTTTGTTGCTAACCATGACATCCCTTGTCTCCTTTTAGAGAGGCCTTCTGATGTTCATCGTGACTCATTTTCCCCATTTCAGAGGGCCTCACATGGTGACCATGAGTCAGTTTCCTTCTTTCAAAGAGACCTTTTGATGGTCACCGTGATTAGTTTTTCCCCATTTAGAGGACCTCTAGATGATCATGGTGACTCATTTTTCCTCTTTCAGGGAGGCTTTCTGATGTTCACTGTGACTCATTTTTCCCCTTGCAGAGAGGCCTTCTGATGGTCACCTTCACTCAGTTGTCCTTTTTTAGAGAGCCCCTCTGATGTTCACAAAGAAATATTTCTCCTGAGTAAGAAGGCCTGAAAAGAAAAATATTTATTTATGTATTTACACAAGCACTGTGCAGTGAACGTTTCAGTATTTACACAAGCACTGTGTGTTATCAACGTGATATATTTTTCTAGGTTTCATCCAAATGAGTTTTTTAATGTAGTCATTCACATTCACAAAGTAAGTGTTGAATGAAATTGGTTGTAGACGTGTTCCTGGTATACTCTGGTTGATATTTGCCATAAATTTAAAATTACATTGTGTTTCGCTATATTTCATATTTCCAATAAATATCACATGAATAGTTGGACGCCTCTGTTAGGCAAACAGGTCAGTTTTTTTAATCTAAAATATTGAAATGATTATTGAAATGATATGTTGATTGTGTACAAGACGAGTTGCCCTTTTTTCCTTCCTTCCACCTTTCAACGAGACATCATAATATATAACTACATCAATCTAAATTTGCATCGCTCTTGCGTAGCTCGATATTATCCGGATTTATTATAGTTCTCAGGACTTTGCGCTGTCCGTTTCCCTCACATATTTTGAAACTGTTGCAAATTGGCGGTAAATTGGTTAGCAATTTTGAATTTGGTCGGTGTGTGCAAACGTTGTTCAGTTTTGTTTGAATATATATGTCATAATTGGACAGAAATCGAAAAAAAAGAGCAAGACGGACTCCTTCGTTTAGACTGATGATAAGTTTGAACTCTTACTGAAAGTCACACTAGATTTTAAAATATCCAACGCTATGTAGAAAGTCGATTGGAATCGACTGAAGCAAATTCGACGACATTTTAAAGACGCTATAATAATTGCCAGGCAATCTTGGTCAAAAATATCCGAATTTACCGTCCACACGCATCCAAATTGTTTGCGGATACGAAAATTTTTTCTCCAGAGAGCGGATTCAAAAGTTTCCGGATAACCCGCTCAAATATCCGTATGCGTCTGGACGGGGCCTTATCTAGATGGGTGTGTCACATTTTAATTCTTTTGTATCTTAAGTTGACATACTAATCAATTCATCAAAGTTACCCAAACGTCAAGGCATTTAGGGTATCTTTCCTAATGAATCTATAACTATCCGGCATTCAGACTTGCTTCCATGTGACGAGTAAATTTTACTACAGCCCAACTTTTGATTTTTTGTTTGAAAGCCAAAGCTTTTTTTAGATCTTTTAATTTTTTGATTTTTAGTCTGCATGTGTGCATTGCTCATTGTCTAAAGATTTATTTATCAAGGTGTACAATACAATCGAAGCTTTTAAGTACTTTTACTGTCTGCATAATTATATGGATACATTCCGCAAATGAATTTCCTTGAAGACAAAAATTATGAAAATTGGCAAAGGGAGTACACCTCTTAATTCTGAACGAGGCAAAGCGATAAGTTTAGTCGCTGCTTTGTTGATAAAGCCAAAATGATTTGCCGTTTTTTTAGGAATTAAAAGTTTAGCAAGTGTGACGAGATATTCTGTCACGTGCTTAAAATAATTGTCACTGGGTTGAAAAAATCTTTGCAACGAAAGAGTTAAATGTTGAAGGACAAGTTGTTACATACTTTAAACAAAACTGTGAACTTAAACATGTTCTTAAACTCATGTATCTTTTTTTACTTATGACTGCAATGACATTTGTATAAACCAGAGGCTTAGTGGGAATGCAGAAACGACTAATACATCCCGTTGCCTGGTGTACTTAATGTTTATCGAATTTTCTAAAATTTTAGTTCGAGGCACAACGGAGTTTGGACTTCCCCACTTCAAATTAAACTAGAATTTAAACACTTTTATTTTCTTTACACAAGCGGGAAAATTGAGGCATTTACGAAGTGCTCTCGTCTCTTCGATTTTCTGAATGTTTTTACATTTAAATTAACCATAAGATGCCAAAATACATAGACGTGGACAAATTTTTGCGAAGTTTTTATGAAATGATAGTTTTCTGAACATTTTTAACTATATGACACAATTCAATGAAATATCTTAATATACAATTAGACTCATCTTCTTATTCGGTTTTGAAAACAAAAAAATTAGTGAATTTTCTTGTACTTATCTGTTAATGTTACAGGTTTCAGGGAATGAAACAGTCTAGATTTGATTTGCTTGCTTGATTTTGTTCAATAACTTTTGATGATGTTAGAGAAAAATCTAATTGTGGTTGTGTAAAATGCTTGTGCAATATTTTGTACTCCGACAGGTGCTGTTATTGATTGTACGTACGAGCAAAGTATAAGCAAGAGAAAGTAAAACAGCTGTTTGTAAAAATGTCTGATTTGAAGGAATTCCCTAACTATAGAAAATTGGCTACAAAATAAAAATTTGTTCCTACATGGAACCGTTTATCCATACAGTGATACTTGAGAAAAAAAATAAACAACTGAAAGACGAGGTTTAAAGCAAGTTTGAGTTATTTTTCTTCTACTACAAGAATGGAGAAATCCTTGCTATGAAAATTTGCTTTGCTGAGCTATTTGCTAGGAAAAACGAGGATTACTGCCCTTCGAGTCGTGATCATCTGTTAGAGATATTCGACAAATCCCATAAATCTTAGTATTTTTGCTTGGAGCTTGCTGCAATAATTGATGCAGGATGTGTTTTGTAAATGCCATGTATTACTTACTGGGAGATAGACCACTCATATTTACTAGTTATTAATGACTTTTGGTTTTGGCTTTTTCCCCATGCAGTAGCATTTGATCACTATTCCTAAACTTCAGCTGTTAATCCTGAAAAAGCTGGTGAAGATTTTCAACTCTGCTGATAATTTATTTCACAAGCAAAAATATGTAACACCTGCCTGGCCTACACATCTAACAGCAGACATTTATAGTGCTAGCATTTAAAACTACACGTCCCTGCTGCCCTGTGCGGATTCAAAACCCTAACAGAAACAACAAATATTGTGTTACTTAGTTTCTTTAGGTAATAATGTTGCATCGCTTACGAGGTAATCCGTGCTAAGTCATATATCATTAGTATCTTGTATAGATTTTCCATTACCTCGTATTGATTCCAATCTTTCAAGTCTGTTACAACCGTAAGCTAAAGTAGTAGTTGAATTCAGAATTTTTTTTATCTTTTTTAATTAAATTTTTTGTTTCCATCTACATTATCATTTTGCATTTTTACTTTTATTTGTAGACATCAATGAATGTTCTCTTTCTACTGATAACTGCCACCAAAACGCAACATGTATTAACAACAAAGGATCATTTTCGTGCAAATGCAACTTTGGTTATTTTGGAAATGGAATCATATGTTCTGGTAAAGGTTAATTTTTAGAAAGTGTTTAGAAAAAATAATTTCAATGTTTTGATGATCATCTATAAATAATGTTTTTGAAATCCTGAAACATTAAGTTATTTTATTTATTAACAAGACCAAGTACCTCTTCTAAGATTGGAAGGAGCAAAAAGTAAAAATGGTACTGGCCGTGTTGAAATTTTTTATATGCAACAATGGGGAACAGTATGCGACGATGACTGGGATTTAAAAGATGCTGAAGTTGTTTGTCGTCAACTTGGTTATGATTATGCAGTAAAAGCTCTACCAGGAAGTCATACATCACATGGTCATGGAAAGATATGGTTGGATGATGTTAAATGTACTGGTAGTGAACCAAATTTAGCAAGTTGTGTAAATAACAAATGGGGAAATCATAATTGTGAACATCATCAAGATGCTGGTGTGGAATGCTCTAAAGGTAAAGTTTTCTTTATCATTGTACTTATAATTCATGTTAGATTTGTTGTTTGTCATAAAAAATGATGAAAGTCAATGTTATCAGCTTTAAAGATTTTAACCGTATTAACAAGCAGTTGCATATCAAATCATCACTATATCTTATAAAATTAAATAATAATTTTACATTAGATTTTGATGAATGTTCTCTTCAGTTGCACAACTGCAGCAGTAATAGTCAATGTATAAACACGATGGGAAGTTTTTCATGTTTTTGTAAATCTGGATATACAGGAGTCAATTGTACAGGTAAGATGCCTTCAGCAGGAACAGCATTCCGAGAATTTCTAATCACAAAATGTTTTGTGTCATTTGTAGACATTAACGAATGTTCTCTGTCTATTGGTAATTGTCATGAAAAAGCAGCTTGTTTCAACACAGAAGGATCTTTTTTTTGCAAATGTAAGCATGGTTATCTTGGAGATGGAACGTTGTGCTCAGGTAGGCATTGATCTTCATGACTACGCTTTAAATAACTAAAAGAACTACTTTATATAATATTGCACTGTTGACGATATGAAAGTGATTGGTAAGTAAATGACTACTTTCTATGAAGAAATTATGTAGATAAAAGTGATTTGACATATTTGATTGAAAAAACAAGCTTTTGTTTTGTTGGTGGAACTTGTAGAGAAAAATATCAAATCAAGTTTCACAAACGCTGCAAAACTATAAACGAAACATTTTGGCTGTGGAAGTCTTATGGTACATGTACCAACATAAAGGCTATCCAAACTTTGTATCTATTGAGTGAGCTTTCTTTTAGTTCAATGGCAAGTAATTAAAATTTCTTTAAGAAAAGTCTTTAATCTTTGACTCGAATGTTAGCGTAAATCTACTTTTAATATTAGAAAAGGGTTTTCTTCTTCTTGCCATATTAAACATAAGTTTACGTATTAAATTTCCTAGTGAAGCTGTGAGTTTGTCTATGCCTGGAAACCATATTATTTTTGTTAAGAATTGTTTGGTCTTCACGATGCGTTGAACTATCTTTATAATGTACGGTTGGCTTAACTTAAGACTTTTTTTACGTAAAGTTTTCAATGATTTCAGTTTTCTTGCAGGTCTTAAAATATAAGTCATTACGCGATTTCTTTAAAACATATTTTGCCATTCTAAGCAGTGATTTGATTTCACGAATGCTGCATTTTCTGGTGAAATCATTTCTTGTGTGACTTTGCAGAGAAAAATGACAAAAAGTACATGCTTGAGATTCGTTTGATAAATCACAAGTTTTCAGAAAGTTTATTGAATTCATCTTCCCACGTCTACAATAACTTGAAGAATGAAATAGAAAGAGAGGTAAATATTCTCTTGTTTTCAACTGAGAGTTGAAGTTTTGTGCTTGTAGCAATACAAAGTTTGTAAATTTTTTTTTAGCTCAACAATATATTCAAATCGTCTGATACAAGTTTTTGGTACATTGATGCAAGTGTTCTTGGATTTCAGTAAGTTGAGATTTAATGTTTGTTTTTCTTTTGTTTTCATTTAAATGTTTTATTCTTGCAATAAACGATAGTATTTATGCTTCATAGGAAAGGAAGTACAATTGTATCTTTTGTCTTATCCTTGAAACGTCAATTTAATCTCGATCCTCGTGAACTTGTAAAACAAATAAACAAATTTGACTCAATTGCTGGATACAGTTTTGACAAGACTTGCACAAGATTGAGAGGTATTTTAAGTAGATAAAATTGGTTCTAAATTATAAAACACACTTGCCAAAAACATCATCTTGTAAATTCATGATTTGAGTTACGCAAAGACAAGATTTAAAACAATATATCGATTTTATTTCAAAATTATTATCACTTGCTTACCCTTTAATTCTCAGTCGATCGATTGTGTGTATTCTCTATTCTGTAGTACAAATTTTTGCTGTGTAGATGAGTTTGCTAAAGCAGTGCATGGTGAAAACGTTTTTTTTTTCTATTTTTTAGCCGTTGATGTTGAGGTGGAAATCAAACTTTCAAATAAAACTTTAGACAAAGATGTAAAGAACAAATTTTCATTGGCTTATCAGAAATTGAAAGAAAATGTTAATACACAGGTATAATTGCAGAGGAATTATAATTGAATGGACGAAAATAACACCATAATTGTCCAAAGAATTTTACAGATCTTAAACTGTAAGATCTGGACAAAATTTAGTGTTGTTGTTTTTAGTTTGTTGTTCTTTACATAAACATTTGGATGTGTACTTTGATTTGCTATATTATTTACCACAGACTAGTAGACGAGAGCATGTATTATAGCTGTCATATACTTGCACATTTTTTTTAAAAAGAGTTTTTTGTATCACGTTTATCCAAAGTTTATTTCGTGATCAATCAATAAATTATGTCATCGTTGTTTTTTTGGAATATTTGACGTTGGATATATCTCCATCGTCATTTCTAATACTACGTATGCATAAACTAAAATATATATGGCTGTGTATATTGATGTTTTAAAGGTTTGATAAAACTAAATTACAGTTACACCATTAGCAAATTGTCGATGTATCTGCTTTTATCATGCAAATTGTTGAGAAATAAATTTTTCATTTAGTTTTACAGATTTTTCAACAACACACCTGGATTTAATGATGTGGAAATTTTAGAATTCAATGAGTGAGTACAAATAGAGTTGAACTTTTATAAAATAGCGAAACATTTTAAGTAAACAAGAATTTTTCAAATTGAACATTTTTGGGCATTCCTTTTCTATCATCACTACATACAAGTGATGAAACATATTTATTTTCAAACGGATTTATAGCAAGATATGTGAATACAAATATTAAACAAATTACAATATAGTGGAGAAAAAAATAATGCTTGTAATGTTTGACTACAAATGTGTTGTTCGTATGCTTTGCAGAAATGATGGTATCACAGTGAATTTTGCAGTCAGTTTCTATAAAACACCAAATGAGACAATAGATGTTATTGCAGTAAACGTTGGTCGTAAGATTATTAAACAGTTAAAAACTGGTCACATTGGCGATGTCAATGTCAACCCAGAATTTCTAAGATTAAAAGGTAAACATATTGTACATTTTTGTGAAAAACGAAAAACATGTGTTCAAGAAACGATTTCTAGAGTAATGGAAAAAATAACCAGTTTTTTACAGAGATTGTGTCATTAAGTTTTTAAATAAAAATTTGTCGATAAATATTTTGCTATTGTTTGAAACAAAATATAATTTTTTTCATTTGTGTAATTTAAAATCCTCAAGGAAATAAACAAGTGTAAGAATAACCATTAGTTTTGTACAATAAACTATAATTTCATATTTCTTTTTTTACAGTTTAATATTTCATTAAGATTTTATATTACACACTTGAGAACATTCATTTTTTTGTTTCAAACACAAAAGTATTTGTCAATAATTTTCTGTTTGTGAGGACTTATTGACACATTCTTTGTACATTTGAATCATTGTCGTAGCCAACGAACAATATTTGGTCTTGTTTAAAAAATTAAATCAAACACTGAATATAGGGAGAAACCCTTTATTACGGGCATTTGAAAACAGCATTTCTGGCTTTTCGAAGGACATAATGGTACATATGGCTTTGAAGACCACGCCAAACGAAAAATTGACATCAACAATATTTCACACACCCACACGATAAATGCTGCTTGCATGTAAATGATGTTTTATATTGCTAACTCACATTATTTGAAGCCATTGTAAATTTGAAAAAATAGCACATAAAACACAATAATATCACACTTTCATGAACATTTAGGAACTTAAAAGAAGTACAGAACGCAGAAGTGCCTGTTTTAGGCGTCATACTTTAACCTAACTAAAATATTGTCCTTGTTGCAAAATTATAACTGATATATTGCCCAAGTATTCATGTAAACGCTATTTAATTACTATTACATTTTTTGGAAAAATTTTATAGCTAATATAATTCCGTCAAAATGCAATCGTAGAATTTTGTTTTGTATTCCAGCATTGATGGATATTATTGAATAATAAGATAAATATCTCGTAAAAATTTAAATATGACAAACATTTATCGCAAAAACATCCAGGATACAGGAGAAGAAAACAAATTTTCTTTTTTACATAATTTTGGTAACTGCAATGTTTACAAAATTTGATCAATACTTGCTAAATTTCTTTACATTTTAGTTCCACCTCCTCCTCCGAGGAATGTAAGACCCTCTCAAGTAAAAGAGACTTTCATTTATCTGGAGTGGGAACACCCAGATCTGTATCAATATTTTTCTATTCGTTCATACTACATCAAGTATCGTAAAAGTGGTAAAAATACATGGCTCAGCAAATCTTACAGCGCTGATCTTGCAACGAAAATGCAACTGAATAATTTAAAGAGCAATACGATCTACGTAATTAAGGTGGTTGCTAAGAATGATTACAGTTTTGGAAAAGAAAGTGAAGAAATAGAAGTAAAAACTTTAAAAGAACAAGGTGATTTATTTATTTTTAAAAGCCCATAGAACTGACGTGTTTCATAAATATCTGGTATCTATAAATGTCTGACAATCAAGAAATCCATATTTATCTTCATTTTTCAAAATATTTTTTACTAGAAAGATAGTTTAATAAATCTTTATAATTATTATATGAAGGAAATGTCAAATAAATTGTGAATGCAGGAAGAGAATAAAATTATTTGCATTGCAGCTCTAAAAATGCATCTTGATCTCCATAACATGCAGCCAAAATGCAGATAAAACGTCCTAATCAAAGCTAACTCCACATCATTGAGCAAAATATATAAATTGTACTGTATGATTTTTAAAAATTTTCGTCCATTTGTTTTTTCAGCGTTGCTATGTTTTTGCAGCAAAAAATACCAGAAAATATCATTTAATAAATTTGTCTTTTCTAGGAATGTCACAGTGGTATTATCTTGCTCCAATTATTGTCGTTGTCTCTTTAATTGCTTTAATCGTCATTATATATTTGGCAAAATGTACGACTTCGAAAACAAGTGGGCATCGTAAATTTAGCAATGAAGAAAAAGTAAGACACGTTTTCAAATATTATAAAATTGTATATCATTTGCTGTTTTACTTGAAGTAAGTATTGCCTTGTGTATTTTTTCTTATCATACACGAGTTTGAAATTTATGCGCAACAAGCTGGTGAAATAAAAATCATGTGCCTAAAATTTCCGAGCACCTGATTGGACATGTAATTTTCTTCACTAGGGAAAAATGTTGTATCTCCATTGCGATTGGATATACCATTTTTTCACTAGTGACAAAATGCATATCAAGTTATATCAAGTTTTATCACTTTTTATGGCTTGTTTTTTCGAGTGGCAGTTCAAATGATTATTCTTTTGTGATGTTTTTTAGAAATTTTTTGAACTCACTGAAGTGCCTGAAACAAATAAATCGTTGAGTTCAAGCGACACAAATATGGAGACGCCTTTAACTGCTAACGTTTGATGATTTTTTTACGTTTTTGTTAAGTTTAACTATGTTTTTGTGTCAGAGTGATATGATGAAAACGGTCGACATGCTTACGTTGTGATTGTTGGAAATTATCTTTGTTTTTCTTTATTATTTTTGTGGAATTTATCAATTTATTTTGTTAATTTACTGCAACCAAAATTTCTTATCTAGTTGAGTTATTTCATTCAGTTCCTCTTAATAAAATTAGTATAAGTATGGTGAACAAAGAAATTTAAGTTTGCTTCCCTCTTTTACTATTCTTGACTTGCAATTCGGCCATGTTGTTGGTGGTCTGATACAAAAGAATATTTCATCAGAGTTATTGTTGGCACCAGCCTGCGTGGGCGAGCAACATTGTTTCGCAAATCTCAAGAGAATGGTTGCAAGTCAAGAATTTATTTCTTTAAAAACATGTTATTGCATAGAAAATATATTATTACTATGTCACTTTAATGATAAAAAAGTTGTGTTCTTTTATGACTTATAAAGATTCACGATAGATCGTCATTGAGCTTTCTCCGGGGCTTTAATTTTCTGGCAGTAAGGTCGAATTTTCGTCATCTACAAAATTACATTATATTTTTACTGCTAATTTTGAATAAGTTGAAATCTAAAATAGTCAGTCTCAAATGTAAAATTGAGACTGACTATTTTAATGAAGGTTTTTTAAATGAAGGTTTGGTGAATTTAAATTGAATTGTTGATTTTTAAGGTTACGTTTACAAATTTTGTTATTACAGTAAACACAAAAAGTAGTGACTATTTAACAATTATATAATAACCAGAAAAATTTGAGCAATTTCATTGGTCGAGAGCTATGATCTATAAGATGACGTACGAACGGAATTGACGTCACAGAAAATTTGATGTTTATAAAAACAAACAAATGGCGGATATATTTAAAAATTTATCGCAATACCTCCTTGAATGGGAAAATAAAGATATTCACAAAGACCCAGTTGAGCAAAAAGAAAAGAAAATAAACTATAAAACTAAACAATCGAAGTTTCAGGAAAAGAATGTTTTACACCAACAAACGTTAGTAATTTTTGTGACAAGAGAACAAACCTTTCTTGTGTGAAGTGTGTGAAATATATGTTCTTTCTATTGAGTTCTATAAGACCTTATAGAACTCAATGGTTCCCCCGTCATGTTTCTCACGTGAGCATTTGGTGAACTTTAGTCTTTTGCTTGAAAATTGGTGAACTATAGCCTTTTGCATGAAAATTGGTGAACTTTAGTCTTTTGCATGAAAATTGGTGAACTTTAGTCTTTTGCATGACAAATGGTGAACTTTAGTCTTTTGCATGACAACTGGTGAACTTTAGTCTTTTGCATGAAAATTGATGAACTTTAGTCTTTTGCATGAAAATTGGTGAACTATAGTTTTTTTGCATGAGAATTGGTGAACTATAGTCTTTTGCATGAAAATTGATGAACTTTAGTCTTTTATATGAAAATTGGTGAACTATAGTCTTTTGCATGAAAATTGATGAACTTTAGTCTTTTGCATGAAAATTGGTGAACTATAGTCTTTTGCTTGAAAATTGGTGAACCATAGTCTTTTGCATGAAATTTGGTGAACTTTAGTCTTTTGCATGAAAATTGACGAACTTTAGTCTTTTATATGAAAATTGGGGAACTATAGTCTTTTGCATGAAAATTGGTGAACAGGTGTTAGTATCAGTTACCCCCTGACCACTAGTCTTTACACAGGTGTTAGTATCAGTTACCCCTGACCACTAGCCTTTGCAAAGGTGTTAGTATCAGTTACCCCCTGACCACAAGTTTTTATACAGGTGTTAGTATCAGTTACCCCTTGACCACTTGTCTTTACACTGGTGTTAGTATCTGTCACGCTCCTGACCACTAGTCTTTACACAGGTGTTACTATCTGTTACTCCCCCGATCACGAGTCTTTTCACAGATGTTAGTTTGGTCAGATGGAAAAAGTGTTTATAAAGAGAGAGAAGCAATTTGAACATTGGGAAGATGTTCATTTTCTAGTAGCAAGTGTGGAAAGGAACATGTCAACATGGCGAAGATAAACTTCTGTATTTTATATTGTGCATGCTGACGACTTCCACCGGAAGTGCTGTGTAAAATTTGCAGTCACCATAATTACTAGATTTCAAGCAAAATAGCTGGATTATTTAAAATTTCTATAGGTAATAGAAAATAAAGATGAGACCTGTCCAAAAAAAAATGCTTGACGCCGTCTCGAAGGTAAATTTTGTGTTTGGCTTTAATTCGCTCTTTGCCCAGACCTCAGCGTAACCCTGCATTTGCACGGAATATGATATTCGGTTAGAACATATTTGTGATTAAAAACGTGATAAAAGTCAAAAATAATGCCGTTTATCTAAAATATTAAGCATCGTGCTGCTAAGATCATATGGTAAATCTTACTTATTTTTGCCCTTTTTGCAGCAAAGGACGAAGGTAATTGTTAAAATTGACACATCTCATTTATTTGTAGAATGAAACATTTTGAGTCCAAACAGTATCATCTTGGAACAAGATTATTTAATGTTGCGATATGTGACGCTGAAGTCAAAAATAGATGTTGGCAAATGACGTCAACACTCCAGGTGGCTCCGTTTTTGAATAAGGTGTGTATAAAAAGTACTTCCCCTTTTTGAAAACTAATTATTTTACATTGAACCTTCAAATAACGATGAAACATTTATGCATAGTTAAAGTGACGTTATAGTTACCTAAAAATAATACTAACTCTGATGTAACTCAACAGACTAAAAAATGACCAAAATGCTTATCGCTTACAGTTGGCGTAACAAACAGACATTTCCCAAGTAAGGCTCGACCACGTATACGACTTTTGATCGTTGGGCGTAGCATTATTATGATTTCTTAAGTTTTGTTTTAATTTTTGACTTTCATTTTCATTCAAGTTCTTCTCGAATGTTAACATAACGTTTCTTTGAAAGATATCCCTAGGAAGCTACAGTTTGTGTTATCAAGGAATCTTGCATCTTAGTCTGTTTGAAACACTCTCAAACTGACACAAATCTGTTTGCCTGATTACATATGTAATGACATAACTTATATATTGATCTGGTTATAAATGTGTTTTTCCCGACGAATTTTAATTTCGTTCGTTTGTTTGAAGTTCAGTCAAGCGTTCTATAACAGCCGTTATCAATATAAACCATATATGTTTGATTGCTACCCTTCCAAGTTACTGGTCAATGAAATGGCTTCTGGTAGACTGTTGGTTTTAACTCTTGTTTTCATGACGGTTGTAAAAGCAAAAGGTAAGTTAATAGACTCGACACTTTAATAAATGTATAAATGGGGGATATTTAGAGTAGGATTTATTAATATACTCTAATAAAGTTAATGGTTTGAGCCCAGGAGTGTCGTTACATTTATGTAGATACAGTTTGTCCAGATTAATAGAGTCCTTAAAGTTAGTGTTAATGTATTAAGAAATTATGGAAATAAGAATTTCAATGATGATAAGATGGTAAAAAGTCCACGGTTAACTCGTATGCTTGTGTGTACAATGATTGGGATTTATTAATTAAACATTTCTAACCATTTGGTGAAAACAAGATGTTAGAAATATGAACAAAAATTTTTACAGTACCAAGTAACCATTTTGAATTTTAGTAAAAACTTCTGTTTCAGAAATGGAAACTTATATTTCAATGAGTTGTTTCTTTTAAGATTCTTTGATGACCAACACTGTATTAAATCATTTCTAATCTTCAAAGTTGTCTGTTCATACTTCAAAGTTGTCTGTCCTTACTACAAAGTTGTCTGTCCATACTACAAAGTATTCTGTCCTTACTTCAAAGTTGTCTGTCCTCACTTCAAAGTTGTCTGTCTATACTTCAAAGTTGTCTGTCCATACCTCAAAGTTGTCTCTCCATACTTCAAAGTTGTCTGTTCATACTACAAAGATGTCTGTCCATACTTCAAAGTTGTCTGTGCATACTTTAAAGTTGTCTGTCCATACTTCAAAGTTGTCTGTCCATAGTACAACCTTCCATGCTATGCAAATTTCTCTTACTGTTTACTTTATGTCGTCAATGGACTAATTTTTTCGTAATTTTTTTGTGATATTATCGATGTACACTATTACAACATAACCGATTACTTTACTCAATTTTGATTTATAAGTAAAAAACGCCAAACGCAGCAAAACTCGTTAAGCAAGAGATAATTGCATTAATTGATAATGTGATCGGAAAAAGTAAATAAAAATAATTCATAGAAGCTAAAAACGTTATTTTTGTGGAAGTTATGAACAGACATTCACACTTTGATTAAAATTGTTGAGAAAAATTAACAACACGTGCACCGGAACTACAATAACATGTGACATCGAACTAAACAAAGAATTTTTGATGTTTTTTCCGGCATTAGCATAACCAGGAACATTGAAACACTTAGGTAGCAATATGGTAAGGCATAAAACAACGAAACTGATTTTTTTCAATCTATGTCAGTTTCAATAAATTGTTGAATTTTTGGCGTTTGTGATAAGTTCTTGCATTTGATAAAATACATACGAGAAACAACGAAAAATTTGCGATCGAAAATTCTTTATATCATTTTCTGTGTCACGTGTTAAAATTTGGTCACACAAGTTAAAATTTTGTCGTAAGAAAACATTGTAAGCTATCGAATCATTTTGATAACCGTTGATAAACAGTCATCACTCAACAGCTTCTCTGTGTCACGTGTTAAAATTTGGTCGCATAAGTTAAAATTTAGTCGTAAGAAAACATTTATTGTAAGCTATCGAATCATTTTGATAACCGTTGATAAACAGTCATCACTCAACAGCGGTACTGTAAATATTGTAAGAATGTGTACTTTTCCTGTAACATAGCAACCAACAGTAATTTTGCAAGTAGAAAAATGCGAAAATTTAAAGTTGCAACAATAATTTATTAACATTAACAAGTTGTGTTCGTATTCCAATTTTTTACCTTATATGCGACGTTTGCAAAGTCTGCAATGCTTACGAAATACTCACGTGACTAACTGCATTACACGTGATTACTACGCTAAATTCGCAAATTGCGTTTACGCAATGGTTTACGCCTCCTTAGGGATTGATTATTCTCCCGAATGTACGATTTAGTTCGGTTATTAAACTTTGAACAAATATTAATGACTTTTAAAGCAAATATTCTTGGTAGCTCGCGAGGAAATGAAGAAATGAATGAAGCTGTTAACTTGTAAATTATGTTTTTGAATTGTTTCAGTAAGTCTAGCATGTTTATAAATTTACTATGAAAATACATATGATAGTTAAATTTTTGTCGAAGTTGTTGATGGTTGATCACAGGTTTTCACAAGTTAGTGATCGAGGAAATTGCCAACGCGATTGAAAGACGATTACCATTACCATTCATAGACATACATTTTGGAGCAAGAATGAGTTAAGGTTTGAAATAATGAGATTTACGATTTTAAAGAAGAGACTTCTTTGTGTCTCAAGTTTTAACGATGTAACATTCAAGCAAGAGAACTATCGGCTTGGTAAACTTGTCCTCGAACGAAGAAGTGTGCTTTTAATGAACAGGCAAAAACCAGAATTAAAATTATTTAGCTGCAAAAAACTTAAGAATCAAGCAAGCTGACTCAATATCTCAGTTGCAATAGTCAAAATAAAATAAAGCAGTGTTGACATACTCTAGATCTGCCACTGTTTCTACTAGCCACGATAATGAAATGGGGAAACAAGATGTACTAGTTTTTATATAAATTAGTTATGTTGTTTCTAAACGTCTGTCGTGAATTTATTGTCAATGAGGGATATTAAAATTGGCAAAATACTGAACACTTTGAATGATAAACATGATTATTAGCTATATACCAATTTGCAAGTCACGCGAGAGTGAAGTGTTTCCTCACCATAAGCTTGAGAGTAAGATAATGTTATCGCGTTTTGCATTTGCACATATATTTTACTATCGCATGTGTTTTAAAATCGCATATGACTGGTGTTCGAAATCATGCAGGTTCGGTGAAAATTTTTCATTATGCAAGCACGTGTCTTTTCACTGAAATTTTTATCCGAATGTCTTACTGTAATTTTTATCAATCGTATTTACTAAATTCACGTTACCCAAACTTTCACGTACATCTCCATGTTATTTTTTAAAGTTTCATTCACTGCCATAATTATCAGTGCACAATGCTATGGAGTTTAGCTTAATATCCTTGACATTATCATAAAAAAAGTGTTCAAGGATTTATAATTTTTCGAAATATATATATCTATATATAGTGGAACATGTGACAGTTATCACTGTCGTTGATTGGCTCCGTAGTAAATTCCTTATTTTTAAGATATCTTGTTTTTGTTTCTCACATTTTATGTGACCATATCAAAATATCTAACATCTTATTGAATAATTAAACAGAGCAATTATATGCCGTCAGACTCCAAGGACCAAAAAACGACCAAGGAACAGGACGAGTAGAAATATTTTACAGTGGACAATGGGGAACAATTTGTGATTACCGCTGGGATTTAAAAGATGCTGAGGTCGTTTGTCGTCAACTTGGTTATGGAAGTGCGTACAAAGCTTTACATGGAAGTTTAGTTCCTGATGGTAAAGGAAAGATATGGTTAGATGATGTTAGGTGCAATGGAAATGAACAAAATCTTTCAGGTTGTTCTCATCGTGGATGGGGAAGACACTATTGTAGACATTATAAAGATGCAGGTGTAGAATGCTCTCAAGGTAATAAATCATTTTGTTTTACTTAAAAAACGCAGTTATTGAAATATTTCACAATTCCTATTTATAAAATAACACAATGAAACGCGTGCGCTGATTGGTCTAGAGCTGTGTTTGTATTAGCCTGTGCAATGCACATCTGAGCTCAACCAATCAGATCAATCAAAGCAATCAATCAGTCAAAGAAAATTTGAAGATTGATCATGAATACAAATTAGAAGAAAAATTAAAACGTTTACTCTAAATTTGTCTGTTTTGCATCATTGTTATTTTATAAAAGAAATAAAAGATATTTGTCGTGTTTGCACTGGCTTATGCAAACCTTGAAGACATTTGTGAGAAATCTCGAGCATGTGCAACCCTCCAACTTCTGTTTCGGGCTGGCACTGATCTGCTCTTGAGTTCTCCCAAAGGTCTCCACGCTTTGCATAAGCCTGTGCAAACACGACAAACATCTTTTATTTCTTAAATGATACATGGATAACACTTTTATACAATATTGGCAAAGTCTTTAATTGTGCTCAGACAGTGTACACTTCTTGTTAATAATAAATAATAAACAACATAGTATTTTCCTTATATATAAGCGATAATTGTGAAAAGATCATAAAAATTCAGGTAAGTAACCGGATATAAAACTGTTTTTTTCTCAATGAACTTGGTGGTCAATGAAAATATTGAGCATTACAGCCTGCATGATAAAAATCCCCGATGCAATGGTATCTTGGACGAAATAAAATGACAAAAGAAGTTGATGTTCAACCCACAGACGTCAAAAACGTTGTGACGAACTAATAAAACAATTACCATCTTAGGAACAAACAACTGTTTCGTATTTGAAAATAATATGAAGGGAATCGGCGTTAAGGCGGGCAAGTTACTGTATCCTCCTCGTTTAATGGGAATTTGAATGGAATGCTGTTAATTAAAATTGCTTTACTGCGGTTACGAGAGAAAATGTTAATCTCTAAGTGTTATCAGCTATGCCAAACTATAACGCTTGGACTCAAGAATCTCAGAGAAAAGTATTTCCAGAAGAAGAAAAAAAACAAAGCCTTGTCCTTGATTGGGAACGCCATAGCGTCGGTGAAACTAGAACAGATTCATTTAGAGCTATTGATTAAATTTATAAGAGAGGGGGGGGGGATGATTTCTTTACGTGACTGTAGTCATGAAATTGTAAGAAATGCGTGACGTCATCATATGACATTATCATAGATGTTCATAACGTTTAACTGAAATAACTCACAAATAACACATGATAACTCATAAGTCTTGTCATACCGCGTATGTGTGACGGGGATCGGCAGATTAAAACTTATAACTCTGTGAGAAAATTACTCTGCTACAGTAAGTTATGATTTAAAAATGAGGGTCCTTTATAAAACTGTGACGATAACATCAAAACATGTTGTATAATTGTATACTAAAAATACTATTACTTTATACACCACTAGATTCCTAGCATTTTAAAACATTAGTGAGAGCCTCCCAAAAGAACGTTGCTAATAATCTAACCCTAATAAAAAGTAAATATTTATCAACAGGTTAATATGCTATGCAAATAGAAAGTAAATATTTATCAACAGGTTAATATGCTATGCAAATAAAAAGTAAATATTTATCAACAGGTTAATATGCTATGCAAATAAAAAGTAAATATTTATCAACAGGTTAATATGCTATGCAAATAAAAAGTAAATATTTATCAACAGGTTAATATGCTATGCAAATAAAAGTAAATATTTATCAACAGGTTAATATGCTATGCAAAAAGTAAATATTTATCAACAGGTTAATATGCTATGCAAATAAAAAGTAAATATTTATCAACAGGTTAATATGCTATGCAAATAAAAAGTAAATATTTATCAACAGGTTAATATGTTATGCAAATAGAAAGTAAATATTTATCAACAGGTTAATATGCTATGCAAATAGAAAGTAAATATTTATCAACAGGTTAATATGCTATGCAAATAGAAAGTAAATATTTATCAACAGGTTAATATGCTATGCAAATAGAAAGTAATATTTTATCACATCCTTTTATTAACACGTATCATGTATCTTATTATAAATACAGTATTGTAAATAACTTTACTTCATTCTTATACTGAAGATTACTTAATGTAAGTCAAAACATGTTTATAATAAAAAAATTTGTCGTTTATTTTAAATGCCTAACAAATAGAAACATTTAAATTGGAGAATCGAATTCAGATGATTTGATTCTCCCTATTGTGTGATGATCATAAATGCTGTTTTTGCCTGTTTTACTATAATTTGTAAGTGCCTGTGATTTGAAGTATAGTAATTGGATTCTTCTTTTTTTAAAAATATTTCTCTTTGGAGTTTTATTAAATTATAGTTAAGAAAATAGAAAATGTTAAACAAAAATGTTTTAATTTTGAAATAACTTCTCTTTCAAGATGTCCCAAGATTGTCAATCAGACTTCAGGGATCAACAAGCTCCAATGCCACAGGTCGTGTAGAAATATTTTACAAAGGAGAATGGGGAACAGTATGTGATGATGACTGGGATATAAACGATGCTAAGGTTGTATGTCGTCAATTTGGTTATAAAACAGCTCTGGCAGCTCTTGAAGGAAATGTTGTTCCTAGTGGTAATGGAACGATATGGTTAGATGATGTTAAGTGTACAGGAAAAGAATTTTATCTTTCAAGTTGTTCACACAGATACTTGGGAGGACATAACTGTGATCACTCAGAAGACGCCGGTGTAAAATGTTATGAAGGTAAACTTTTTTAGCGATTATAAATCATTTTCGTAGACTGTTTTGGGACAACGCAAAGTTTGCTTTTAAGCGTAATTTACGTAGCTAAAAATCGAAAAAGATTTGAAACATAATTCATTGTTTTTATTAAGCAAAACGTTTTTTAGTTGAATCAAACAATATCATACTTTTACTTTGTTAATCTTATCGTATTTATGACACAAGTTAATGATTTTATTCATAGACGTTGATGAATGTTCTCTTTCTACTGATGATTGTCATGAAAATGCAAGTTGTTTCAACACAGATGGATCATTTTTATGCAAATGTAACTTTGGCTTTTTTGGAGATGGAAAATTTTGTTCAGGTATATATTAAAACAGTGTAGTGAAAATCATTGATATTTTTGCAAAACTATCATCTTCCAAAGTCTCAGTATGATATCGATAAACCCAATATGATAGTGATTTATATTCCTTATCATTTTCTATCATAGGTTGTAAAATTATTAACTAAACAAATCTATTTTTTCTAATAGAAAGAACTGTTGCAATTCGTGGACCAAAAAGTGAAAATGGTACTGGTCGTGTAGAGGTTTTTCACAATGGAGAATGGGGAACTGTTTGTGATGACAGCTGGGATTTAAAAGATGCTGATGTTGTTTGTCGTCAACTTGGTTATAAATATACCAGCAAAGCTTTACATAGAAGTTTTGTTCCTGATGGTAAAGGAAAGATATGGTTAGATGATGTTAGATGCAATGGAAATGAACAAAGTCTTTTAAGTTGTTCACATAACGGATGGGGAAGACACAATTGTCGACATTATGAAGATGCAGGTGTAGAATGTTCTGAAGGTAATGAATCATTAAAACATGTGAATATTGTGAGAAAAATTCCTTAAGAAACGCTTTGATTGAAACACTTGGCAGTTAATTTATGATTCAAAGATCATTTTTCGACAATATTGGCGAAGGACTTTGATTGTGCTCCGAGAGTGTTTACTCTTTTGGCATTGAGAATAAGAAATGAAGTTTTTTCATTAATATGTTGGGAATCATGATAAAGCCAGTCAGTCATATATTTTGTACATAGATTTAGATGAATGTTCCCGAAATTTACACAACTGCAGTATCCATGGCCAGTGTGTAAACACGTCTGGAGGTCATAGATGCTTGTGTAAATCTGGTTATACAGGAAATGGAGCTATTTGTAATGGTAGGTTTCTACATGTTTTTTTGAATTCTCTAACATATCGTGCAATTGCTTAAAATCACAGGAAAACGTCGTGCTAAAAAGGATTTGGAAAGTATTCTCATTATTATCTGCTGACAGGGAGCCAGAAATTGATATTCTGACAGCAGGCAACTTTATATTTGCAATCTCTTAGGCTTGTGCATAAAATGGTAAATATTTATTTATCACTTATGTTTTGTAGACGTAGATGAATGTTCTCTTTCTACTGATAACTGTCATAAATACGCAACTTGTAAAAATACCTATGGATCATATTCATGCAAATGTAACTGGGGTTATTTTGGAAATGGAACGTATTGTTCAGGTGAAGATTAAGTTCTTTATGAAGCTATAATAAGAATAAGTACCAAAAATTAACGTCCTGTTTTCCTAACAACATGCATATCATGCACGTAGATAGTTCGAGGTTTATTAGAGTAAGTCTAGTTTAAGATATGCATGTCACAATTCGTACAAATTTATAAAATTTGAAGGATCTTGATACAGCATATCATATGCATATTTGAATTTGATGTTTCAACTTACCTGATGTATATTGCTTGTCAGTTAATTTGGTGACGTAAGGTGGATTATCTCTTGGCAAAGCAGTATTTATACACCATAAAGTTATGTAACAATCTCGAATTCGTCAAAATATAAAGAGTCTCCACTTCTGATGATTTTTTATGTATGGATGTATCTTTAAGCTTTTGGCGTTTTTGGGTCAGCTCATTTTCTGTCTTTATGTAAACAGATCAACGTACTCAATACATAAACTTTTTTCTGTTTTTAACAGACGAACCTTTACCTGTCAGACTACAAGGACCTAAGAGTTCCAATGGTACTGGTCTATTAGAAATATTTTATGAAGGAGAATGGGGTACAATATGCGATGATCATTGGGATTGGCAAAATTCAAAGGTAGTATGTCGTCAACTTGGTTATAAAGTTGGTGTTAGATTGCGGAACGAACGTAGTTTTCGTAAAGGAACAGGAAAAATATGGTTAGATGATGTTTCATGTGTTGGCAATGAAACAAGTCTTTCAAAGTGTTCACATCGTGGTTGGGGTAAACATAACTGTAGGCACCGTGAAGATGTTGGTGTGGCATGTTTAAATGGTAAATTTTGTTTAATTGTTATGAACTTTTTTAAACACCATTTTTTAAACATTACAAGATATTTCTATATTTCTGCAATAATAAACTGTTTTTCACAAACAGACTTTGATGAATGCTACCTGGAATTGCACAATTGTAGTAGAAACGCTTTATGTACAAATACAGAAGAAGGTTTTACATGCATGTGTAGATCTGGTTACACTGGAAATGGATTTCTTTGCACAGGTACAAAGGTTTTGCTAAAATAGTTCAAAATTATTGCTCAAACTTATTTTAGGATACTGAATACTATTGGGATATAAACGTATCATTAGAGTAATATGATACCGGAACTTCATATCTATAATGATGATACATGATTGGATAATTGATCATGGACTTTGGCACTAACACTTATGTTAATATTAAGTTCTTTGTCTTGTTGACATTCTATATCTTTTAGTATTCTTATTCTGTTCTATCGCACTGCACGTTGTATTTGGTTATATTAAAATGGTTACTTAAACATTATAATTCTAATAAATACAATTTATACAGTTTTTTTATAACTAAAGTTGTTTGCTTTCTTCATTTATTTAAGACATCAATGAATGTTCTCTTGCGGTGGATGACTGTCATCAAAATTCAGTCTGTAGCAACACTGATGGTTCATATTTATGTAATTGCAATGATGGTTATGTTCGAAATGGAACTTTTTGTTTAAGTAAGTTAGGAAAGAAATTTGGCAGAAATTAGCTACTCTGTTGTTATAACAACGTTGTCTTTATTTCTTTCTTTAGGGCATCCACAAACTGTAAGGCTTCAAGGACCAAAGGCTATTCATGGTACTGGTCATGTTGAAGTGTTACATAATGGAGAATGGGGAACAATTTGTGATAGGAACTGGGATTTGAAAGACGCTGAGGTTGTATGTCGTCAACTTGGTTACGTAAGTGCATACAAGGCTTTAAGAAGGCAATTTGTTCCCAACGGTAGAAGAACAACTTGGTTAGATAATGTTTATTGTAATGGCAAGGAATCAAATATTTCAAGTTGCTCATTTAAAGGATGGAAAGTCAGCTCTTGTAGTTCCCGCAGGAATGCTGGGGTTGAATGTTCTAAAGGTATGAGAGTTTTATATTTGTCATTATTTTATGAAAGAACATTTTAATTTCTTTAGAAATGATAATGTCCAAGTACTAGAACTTCTGGAAATCACAAAATTCACCTTAGTAGATTATTACAATACAAAGTTGGCTAATAATTTCTTACGTGAAACATAGCAAAACAAAACAAAACAACTCTTCGAGCATTTAGCAAAAATGATTTTTGAGGAGGTCAGATGGCCTATCGAGTAATTAGTGACCATACATAACAAGGTCTAATAATGTTAAACCAATCAGCGCCTTGATTGACATTTTGTTCTATGAGCCAATCAGATTGCGTTTAATAATCAAAACAAAACAAGCACAATGTTCAAGTAAGTTGCTGCAATTCGTTATTATGCTTTTTTTTGACAAAATTACGTTTGCATATGGTATAGTGAGCTTTTCTCTTCAATTTTGCCGTGGTAATTTTTTAATTTTTGCTATGTAGATTGCAAAATATTTAAGGTCAAAATAAGCTATCTTTTGGCGTGTTAATTATTACACGTTATCAAATATAGAACGTTTATTATATTCTATGAAATGATCGGAACTTGACGCATTTTATGAATAAATATGATCATTTTTTCAAATTTCGACTTATTTCAGCAATTATAATCACAATTTTAATGTAATTTGCAAATAATGTGGAGACAAAGAAGCGTTTAGTGTGAAAGTCAGAGTGGAGTATTGAATTTTGTGACTTTATGTGAATTCTGTGATGTAGTGACAATGTTTAAAAGCTCTATACTGGACGTTGTTTGTTGTTATGACTGAGACATACAAGATGGAAGAATAGCTTGAGTGAGGGAAGACCTTTCAAAATGTTAAAACTTAAAAACACTGTGAGATTGTTTATTGCCAACAACCCTTTCAAACAAGAAATTCTTTTATGAGTGAGATGTGTCTGATATACCAAATAGGTTTCTCTCCTAAAACGTTTATAGGTGTTATGATACATCAAATATATCAAGGTTTCTTTGAGACTCAAAGCTCTGATTATTCATACCAAATTGGTGTAAAATCCTGAAGAGTTAAATTGTGGACAATTTAGGCATACCATTACATAATGTAAAACCATTTAAAATTTTGTATTTGAAATGTAGCGTAACATATTTGAGGCTGGGGCATCAAGAATATCTTTTTAAATTTATTAGAATCTCTTCCTAGGTTTGTTAGATTAATGATTATAAATTTAGTTTTGCAAGTTTATGTTACTTTGCTTTACCACTTCATGTAGCTCATTGAACTGAATAAAAATGAGAGGCTTTTATCTGCTAAAATTTAAAACAAGTAATTTGACTAGTCGAAATCTTTCAACGCACGGTCAAAGGAAGGCTCATTTATGACGATAAGTTAGAATGAGGGATTTTACCCCCAGACACACCAGTCTAGGTTTTTAAGGTAGCCTTCCAGGTATTTATTTATTTCAATGAGATAATTCAATTGAACTGCCACAGGATTCCCAGCTTTGGTCAGAGAGTGTGAAATTCCCCCTGCTACCACAGCTAATCAAGTTGTAGGAAAGACCAGGATTTCGTTTGCTGCTGATTTGTAAAAATACAAATGATAAAAATTTTTGGTATTCCTTGTTTGCCTTGCCAATCGTTGTAGTTTATGAATGTTTTTTATAAAACAGCATTTTTCCTTTCTATGTGTGCCCAGACCAACCTCCTTTGATCAGACTTAAAGGACCAAGAAGTACAAATGGATGTGGTCGTGTGGAAATATTTTATGATGGAAAATGGGGAACAGTTTGTGATGATTACTGGGATTTAAATGATGCTATTGTTGCATGTCGTCAACTTGGTTATCAGTATGCATCTAAGGCTCTAAAAGGAAATGATATAGCTAACGGTAATGGAACAATATGGTTGGATGATGTTGATTGTACTGGAAAGGAGATGTATCTTTCAAGTTGCACACATAGAAAATGGGGAATACATAATTGTAAACATTCTGAAGATGCTGGTGTTGAATGTACCAAAGGTAAATATTATTATTCAATAACATCTTTGTTTGTAAAATAAGTTAGTTCACTTACAACTCATATTACGGCAAGTGTCACATCCGGCACATTGGCGCTCTTTGATTGGCTAAAAAACATGTACAATGGGCGTAATTTTACAATTAAATATAAAAAAACTTTGTAAATCAAATAGTAAAATGCAAAAAAAAACACAAGAAAATCTTATGCAATTGTGAGTTAAAGGAAAAACACTGGAGTTTCTTTATCCAGTTTCAAACGGGTTTTTTTACTGATGAAAACTAGAAAAGTGAAAGCCAACCAGTAAAAAACAGCGAGGACGAGAAAAAAAGAAAGCAAGCTTCGTTTCACTTCAAATAATGCCATGTAATGCACTATTTCCTAATGTCGCTTTCTCGGTCTTTACTGAGAAATATCGGACCTCTGTCTTTTTGTACAAACCTCGCCCTACGGGCTCGGTCTGTACAAAAACATCTCCGTCTTATGTTTCTCCATAAAGATCTCGCAGCTCGCCGCTCGGTTGATAAGTGCTTAGTAACAAAACGAAGTAAAAGGTGAAATTGATTCCTTATTTCTGCAGACACGACACAGTGAATTTTAATTAATTTTCCATCGTTTTTATGTAGCCTAGACATGAATTGATAAGTCGAAAGAATATTTCCGAAGAATGTTTTGGTGCAATTTTCTACAACTTGTTTCGTCATGGTTACATAAATAAAAAGTGAATGAATTGCAAGACTAGGGATCATAAGTCACTTTTGCCGTAACGATTAACGAATTTAATAAATGTTATATCTTATATAACTCCCTGCTTTGCTTAGTGAAAGCGAACTTTTGTAAAGAGTACGTCATTTTGTGTGCAAAAATATTGTTGTAAATATATTTTGACCAAAAGCACGTAGCCATCATCAATTTGAGTCCTATGAGTATACAATGTTTTTTTCAAAACTTGTAGTCGTGACAACTATGTCTTTTAAAGCAAAGAAAGTCCTTATACTTTTTCATTTTGTAAGAAATTAGTTTGCAATACTTTTTGAGGCTTTAGTTCAGTATCTTTTTTGAGCTCAGATGTACATTTAAAACGAAAATATGACCTGCTTTACATCCATGAATCGTGGATGGAAAGTCACGTGTAAACAAAGTTGACGAACTTTAAAGTATGTACTACAAATATATGTATAATACATAAAATGTAAGATAGCGAAGATTTTTCTCCATAAAATGTTCTACATTTTAAAGAAATATATATCCAAATTAAGCTATCATCTTCAACAAAAATTCGCTTTGTGCCTGACTAATCTTTTACTACTAGTTTATATTATATAAGGATATTTGTTATTTGTTTTGATAAAAGTAACTTATTTTTTAGTGAAATATTTCAGATATTTTATCTTATATACTTTGTCTTGAACATATAGTTTTGAATGAATGCTCTAAATCGTTACACAATTGCCACTACAAAGCTCGATGTATTGATACATTGGAAAGTTTTAAGTGTGAGTGTCGTTCTGGTTTTACAGGAAATGGAGTGAATTGTTATGGTAAGTTGTGATTAAAAATCAACGAGAAACTTCACTACTCATATATTATATTACTGCAGAAAAAAAGTTTTCGAATAATGATTTTGAGCCATTTTGTTGAATTATTCATTTCTATCCCTTGTCAGTTACGGCGTTTTGAATAAACATATTATTTTAGTACTATCTTTGATTTCAGTGTCATTTTGGCTTAACATATAAATTTTTTGTAACATTGAGCTAACTTTTTAGATGTCAATGAATGTTCACTTTCTACTGAGAACTGTCATGAAAATGCAACGTGTTACAATACACCGGGATCATATTCATGTAGATGTAAATCTGGATATTTTGGAAATGGAACATATTGCACAGGTAACCCATTACTATTTAATTGCATGTGTTACTTTTCTTATGAAAGAGATCTGTTTATGCTTACTTTTCCATCAAGAACTTTTATTCTTTATCTTTGAACAGACAAACGTCCTCCTATCAGACTTCAGGGAGCAAGAAGTTTGAATGGAACTGGTCGTGTGGAAGTATTTTATAGTGGAGAGTGGGGAACAATTTGTGATGATGGCTGGGGTTTAAGTGAGGCAAAAGTTGTTTGTCGTCAGCTTGGTTATAGAAAAGCTAAGAGGGCTCTACAAGGAGGATCAGTTCCTGTTGGTCGTGGAAAAATATGGCTTGATGAAGTTCGTTGCTTTGGTCATGAAAAGTATATTTCAAGTTGTTCACATAACAAATGGGGAAGACATAATTGTGGACATTCTGAAGATGCTGGTGTTGAATGTGCTGATGGTAAATATTTTACAACTTCGTAAATAAAAGCAGTAATGCTTATTTATAAATAATATTTACTACAAAAGTGATTTTTCACAAAAAATCGACTCATTTTTGTTGAATATTTATATATACTTATTTAAAACACGAGTTTTGAAACATACTACGTAAGAAATATCACAAATACAATTTTAACATTTCAATAACGTTTTTCAGTGCTGTTTTTAGACTTGCAGAGTGGAATTTAAAAAATTTAAGTACTTACAAATTCATTCATTCATTTTGTTGATGAAAGCATGTTTTGGGTTTCAGTTACTTATATTATGTACGTAGTCTTTGTATTAATTATTAATATTGTTTTGTGACAGTAGTTGGTTTAATGGTGTAATGAGTTGTTCGTAAGAATTTGATAATACTCTTTGGCATTAAAGTGCAAGCAATTTGTGGTGAGCGTACACTAACTCAGGCTTTTTGAGCTTATGTGAGCAGCCTGACATTACCTGTTTATTTTCAATTTTAATGTGAGAGTCCAACACATGATTTTGCTTCCACCTGTCAAGGTCACTTCTTTATATCACATGACGATATAATCAATATGTTTTGTATTATTTTCACAAAGTTTTGACGAAAATTGACAATTCTTTCAGTGAAATAATTCAGAAAATTTAATTTTAACAATATTTAGTTTTAGATGAATGTTCTTTATCACGACACAATTGCCACTATAAAGCTCATTGTATTGACACCAAGGAAAGTTTTAAGTGTGAGTGTCGTTCTGGTTACACAGGAAATGGATGGAATTGTTATGGTAGGTTGCAAAAGAACATTAGCGATAACTTTGAGTGACTCTAGAAATTTTTTTTCCGAAAGAGAAAGTTTTTATTGAAGGTTTTTGAGCCATTTTTTTTAATAATTTGTTTTTAACTCTTTAAATTTTTTGCGCTTTGATTTATTTCTTTAAAAAACGTAAATTTTGTTGTGATATGTTTTTCCTTTTGTAACATTGAGCTAACTTTTTAGATATCAATGAATGTTCACTTTCTACTGATAACTGTCATGAAAATGCAACGTGTCAAAATACACAGGGATCTTATTCATGTACATGTAAATCTGGATATTTTGGAAATAGAACAATTTGCACAGGTAACCCATTACCATTTAAATGCATGCTGTTACTTTTCTTATGAAAGAGATCTGTTTATGCTTACTTTTCCATCAAGAACTTTGATTCTTTATCTTTGAACAGACAAACGTCCTCCTATCAGACTTCAGGGACCAAGAAGTTTAAATGGAACTGGTCGTGTCGAAATATTTTATGATGGAGAATGGGGAACAATTTGTGATGATGGCTGGGGTTTAAGTGATGCAAAAGTTGTTTGTCGTCAGCTTGGTTATAGAAAAGCTAAGAGGGCTCTACAAGGAGGATCAGTTCCTGATGGTCGTGGAAAAATATGGCTTGATGAAGTTCGTTGCATTGGTCATGAAAAGTATATTTCAGATTGTTCCCATAACAAATGGGGAAGACATAATTGTGGACATTCTGAAGATGCTGGTGTGGAATGCTCAAATGGTATATTGTTTTTTTAAAGCATTTGTGTGAATGGAAATTAATATAGATGTATCGTGCAATTTTTTTATTGAAAACAAATTTATCGTCAATTACAAATCAGTTTCAATTTTATCTTACTTATAGAATTCGATGAATGTACTGCAAACGTGCACAGCTGTAGCATTAATGCAGAATGTGTCGACACTGTACAAAGTTTTGAATGTATTTGTAACCCAGGCTTTACAGGAAATGGGAAATATTGCGATGGTGAGTTTATTTTCAATTCTATTCTTCGTCAGCCAAAAGATGGGAATTGATACGAGATAGTGCCTACATCTCACAAGAACCAATATAAATATTTTTCTCAGAGCTCATATTGACAAGATTAAAAGTCAGTTTTTTTGAATGTTTATGGCAAGGTTCGGCACATTGATCAAATTGAGAAAATTTGAGAAAATTTCATTATTATATACCAACTGCCATATATTTAAATAGGCCGTTTTCCTGCGAGTGACTTGAAAATCAGATAATGTGAAAATGCTACCCTTATCCGACCTTCACACAAAACAAAACGTACTGTTTCTATTGGTCTCAGTCAATAAATGTTAAATGTTTTTGGCCTTAAGATGAGAATTTGAAGCTGCTCTTATACTATATGCTTTATTTGAAAAGCTCATACGAACATAATGACAAATACTGATAGTTTTCAAAACAGAATAAACACATCTTCATAAACATTTATTAAAGCAGGTCTTATGAAAACATATTGTAACGTATTGCACATGCCGTCTCTTATCAGAATATTTGCTAACATGACATTAAATACCCTAAACTTTGCTTTCTACAAACATGTTCTAACACAAAAGAATTTTGAAAAATATATCATAAAACATGTCTTAGCAGAACATTCTCTAAATAGACATGAATATATTATTAACCTATGTTTTAACAGAACATGTATCATGTACTGTCAAAAAGTGTGCGATGGCAGAACATGTTTCAAAAAGGCCTCTGGTGTTATGAAAGACATCAATTTTTGCTTTTCAGAAATTCCCTTGCTTTTCACTGTGTCATCAGTTTTGCCATTTCAGGTATGCCTCTGTTGTTGCAACTGACAGCAATATTGTACTTTCAGAAAGGACTTTGTTGCTAACCATGACATCCCTTGTCTCATTCCAGAGAGGCCTTCTGATGTTTACCATGACATCCCTTGTTTCCTTTCAGAGAGGCCCTCTGATGTTTACCGTGACTCATTTTTCCCATTTCAGAGAAGCCCCCTGATGTTTACCGTGACTCATTTTTCCCATTTCAGAGAAGCCCTCTGATGTTTACCGTGACTCATTTTTCCCATTTCAGAGAAGCCTTCTGATGTTTACCGTGACTCATTTTCCCCATTTCAGAGAGGCCTTCTGATGTTTACCGTGACTCATTTTTCCCATTTCAGAGAAGCCCTCTGATGTTTACCGTGACTCATTTTTCCCATTTCAGAGAAGTACTCTGATGTTTACCGTGACTCATTTTTCCCCTTGCAGAGAGGCCTTCTGATGTTTACCGTGACTCATTTTTCCCATTTCAGAGGGCCTCACATGGTGACCATGAGTCATTTTCCTTCTTTCAAAGAGACTTTCTGATTGTGACCGTGATTAGTTTTTCTCCAATTAGAGGACCTCTAGATGGTCACGGTGACTCATTTTTCCTCTTTCAGGGAGGCTTTCTGATGGTCACGGTGACTCACTTTTCCTCTTTCAGGGAGGCCTTCTGATGGTCACTGTGACTAATTTTTCCCCTTGCAGAGAGGCCTTCTGATGGTCACCTTCACTCAGTTGTCCTTTTTAAGAGAGGCCCTCTGATGTCCACAAAGACTTATTTTTCCTGTTTAAGAGGGCCTGAAAAGAAAAATATTTATTTATGTATTTACACAAGCACTGTGCAGTGAACTTTTCAGTATTTACACAAGCACTGTGTGTTACCAAAGTGATATATTTTTCTAAGTTTCATCCAAATGAGTTTTTAATGTAGTCATTCACATTCACAAAGTAAGTGTTGAATGAAATTGGTTGTAGACGTGTTCCTGGTATACTCTGGTTGATATTTGCCATAAATTTAAAATTACATTGTGTTTCACTATATTTCATATTTTCAATAAATATCGCATGAACAGTTGGACGTCTCTGTCCACTTAATGATAACAATAGAAATGAAAGTTGAGTAAGATACTTTGGAGACTTGTTCTTCAACGTCAGGTCCCAGTGATTTCCCATACTATCTACGTTGAGCTTGTTTTATCAATCATATTTAGCTGCGAAAATTACCAATCAGTTTTTGGTTATGTTATGTTTAAGCAGCTCCAAAAGAAATGTTAGGCAAACAGGTCAGCTTTTTAATGTAAACTATTGAAATGATATGTTGATTGTGTACAAGACCAGTTGCCCTTTTTCCTTTCTTCCACCTTTCAACGAGAAATCATAATACATAACTACATCAATCTAAATTTGCATCGCTCTTACGTAGCTCGATATTATCCGGATTTACTATAGTTTTCAAGTCTTCGCGCTGTCCGTTTCTCTCGCATATTTTGAAATTGTTGCAAATTGGCGGTAAATTGGTTAGCAATTTTGAATTTGGTCGGTGTGTGCAAACGTTGCTCGGTTTTGTTTGAATATATATGTCATAATTGGACAGAAATCGAAAAAAATAGCAAGATGGACTCCTTCATTTAGACTGAGGATGAGTTTGAACTCTTACTGAAAGTCACACTGGAATTCAAAACTTTTAACGCTATGTAGAAAGTCGATTGGAATCGACTAAAGCAAATTCGAAGACATTTTAAACGCGCTATAATAATTGCTAGGCAATCTTGTTCAAAAATATCCGAATTTACCATCTGCAGGCATCCAAATTGTTTGCGGATACGAAAATTATCACTCCAGAGAGCGGATTCAAAAGTTTCCGGATAACCCGCTCAAATATCCGTATGCGTGTGGACTGGGCCTTATCTAGATGGGTGAAAGGGGCGAGTGGCTAAATGGTTAATGGCGTGAGCTGTAAGCCAGACGGCGCGGGTTCAATCCCGGCTCGTGGCTCATTTGGCAATGTGTCTGTAAACCTAGCCCGGGTTGACCAAAGCCATGTGAGGGAAATTTGGTAGAGGAAACTATGTCCTCGGATGGACTGTATCTGCATCTGCAATGTTGCAGCCTTGTCACACTTTGTCACGCTGATATCAGCGTTGTGGTTGCGTGAAGGGTACGAGTGATTGTAGCCTGGTCAGCTGCCTTCACTATAGTTTAAGTAACCAGGATGTTCCACCTCGTGGAACCCTCATACGTCGAAATCGACGGAGTCCATTATTATTATTATTATTATTATTATTATTATCTAGATGGGTGTGTCACATTTTAATTCTTTTGTATTTTAAGTTGACATACTAATCAATTCATCAAAGTTACCCATACTTCTAAGGCATTTAGGGTATCGTTCCTAATGAATCTATATCTATCCGGCATCCAGACTTGCTTCCATGTGACGAGTAATTTTACTACAGCGCAACTTTTGATTTTTTGTTTGAAAGCCAAATCTTTTTTTAGATCTTAATTGTTTGATTTTTAGACTGCATGTGTGCATTGCTCATTGTCTAAAGAATTATTTATCAAGGTGATACTGGGTTGAAAAAAACTTTGCAACGAAAGAGATAAATTTTGAAGGACAAGTTGTTACATACTTTAAAAACTCTTGTTCTTAAACTCATGTATCTTTTTTTACTTATGACTGCAATGACATTTGTATAAACCAGAGGCTTAGTGGGAATGGAGAAACGACTGAAACATCCCGTTGCCTGGTGTACTTAATGTTTATCGAATTTTCTAAAATTTTAGTGCGAGGCACAACAGAGTTTAGACTTCCCCACTTCAAATTAAACTAGAAGTTAAACACTTTTATTTTCTTTACACAAGCGGGAAAATTGAGGCATTTACGAAGTGCTCTCGTCTCCTCGATTTTTTGAATGTTTTTACTTTTAAATTAACCATAAGATGCCAAAATACATAGACTTTGACGAATTTTTGCGAAGTTTTTATGAAATGATAGTTTTCTGAACATTTTTAACTATATGACACAATTCAATGAAATATCTTAATATACAATTAGACTCATCTTCTTATTCGGTTTTAAAAATAAAAAATTAGTAAATTTTCGTGTACATATCTGTTATTGTTACAGGTTTCAGGGAATGAAACAGTCTAGATTTGATTTGCTCGCTTGATTTTGTTCAATAACTTTTAATGATGTTACAGGAAAATCTAATTGTGGTTGTGTAAAATGCTTGTGCAATATTTTGTACTCCAACAGGTGCTGTTATTGATTGTACGTACGAGCAAAGTATAAGCACGAGAAAGTAAAACAGCTGTATGTAAAAATGTCTGATTTGAAGGAATTCCCTAACTATAGAAAATTTGCTACAAAATAAAAATTTGTTCCTACATGGAAGTGTTCATCTATACAGTGATACTTGAGAAAGAAAATAAACAACTGAAAGGCGAGGTTTAAAGCAAGTTTGAGTTATTTTTCTTGCTACTACAAGAATGGAGAAATCCTTGCTATGAAAATTTGTTTGCTGAGCTATTTGCTAGGAAATATAAGGATTATTGCCCTTCCAGTAGTGATCATCTGTTAGAGATATTCGACAAATTCCATAAATCTTGGTATTTATGCTTGGAGCTTGCTGCAATAATTGATGCAGGATGTGTTTTGTAAATGCCTTGTATTACTTACAGGGAGATGGACCACTCATATTTTCTAGTTATTAATGGCTTTTGATTTTGGCTTTTTCCCCAAGCAGTAGCACAGTTGAAAACTATCCCCAAACTTCAGCTGTTATTCCTGAAATAGCTGGCAAAGATTTTTAACTCCGCAGATAATTTATTTCATAAGCGAAAATATGTATCACTTGCCTGCCGTACACTTCTAACAGCAGACATTTATAGTGCTAGCATTTAAACCTACACGTCTTTGCTGCCCTGTGCGGATTCAAAACCCTAACAGAAACAACAATCATTGTGTTACTTAGTTTCTTTAGGTAATAATATTGCATCGTTTACGAGGTAATCCGTGCTATGTCATATATCATAAGTACCTCGTATAGATTTTCCATAATCTTGTATTGATTCCAATCTTTCAAGTCTGTTACAACCGTAAGCTAAAGTAGTAGTTGAATTCATAATTTTTTTTATCTTTTTTAATGAATTTTTTTGTTTCCATCTACATTATCATTTTGCAATTTTACTATTTATTTATAGACATTGATGTTTCCATTTAAATTATCATTTTGAAATTTTACTTTTCATTTTTAGACATCGATGAATGTTCTCTTTCTACTGATAACTGCCACCGAAACGCAACTTGTGTCAATAAAAAAGGATCATTTTCTTGCAACTGCAACTTTGGTTATTTTGGGAATGGAACCATATGTTCAGGTAAAGGTCAATTTTTTGAAAGTATTCAGAAAATATAAATTCAAGGTTTTGATGATCATCTATAAATAATTTTTTGATATCCTGAAGCATTGAGCTATTTTATTTTTTAACAAGGCCAAGTACCTCCTCTAAGATTGGAAGGACCAAAAAGTAAAATTGGTACTGGCCGTGTCGAAATTTTTTATATGGAAGAATGGGGAACGGTATGCGATGATGACTGGGATTTAAAAGATGCTGAAGTTGTTTGTCGTCAACTTGGTTATGATTATGCAGTGAAAGTTCTACGAGGAAGTCAGACACCAAATGGTCATGGAAAGATATGGTTGGATGATGTTAAATGTACTGGTAGTGAACCAAATTTAGCAAGTTGTGTAAATAACAAATGGGGATGTCATAATTGTGAACATCATGAAGATGCTGGGGTGGAATGCTCTAAAGGTAAAGTTTTCTTTACCGTTGTACTTATCAATACTTCATGATAGATTTGTTGTTTGTCATAAAAAATGATGAAAATCAATGTTATCATCTTTAAAGATTTTAACGGTATTAACAAGCAGTTGCATACCAAATCATCACTATATCTTATTAAATTAAATAATAATTTTACATTAGATTTGGATGAATGTTCTCTTCAGTTGCACAACTGCAGCAGTAATAGTCAATGTATAAACACAATGGGAAGTTTTTTATGTATTTGTAAATCTGGATATACAGGAACAAATTGCACAGGTAAGATGACTTCAGCAGGAACACCCTTCCGAGAATTTTTAATCACAAAATGTTTTGTGTCATTTGTAGACATTAACGAATGTTCTCTGTCTATTGATAACTGTCATGAAAAAGCAACTTGTATGAACACAGAAGGATCATTTTTATGCAAATGTAAACCAGGCTATCAAAGAGATGGAACGTCCTGTTCAGGTAGGCATTGATCTAAAATAAATAGTTAAAGAAGTAATTAGTTAAATCATGAAGATGCTTGTATGAAATGCTCTAAATATAAACTTTTCTTTATCATTTTGCTTATTAATAATTCATGGTAAGTTGGTCAATTATATATTTGTGGTTGCTCAACAAAAATGATGAACAACTAAGTCATAAATTTTATAATTTTTCCTTATGTCAACAAGCAATTTTATACGAAATCATCCTTAAGTAATAATTTTACATTAGATTTGGATGAATGTTCTCTTCAGTTGCACAACTGCAGTAGTAATAGTCAATGTATAAACACAATGGGAAGTTTTTCATGTATTTGTAAATCTGGATATACAGGAGTCAATTGCACAGGTAAGGTGTGTTTACAAAGGTGTAACTAAAGCGTTATTTCTTTGAGGGGAGTGAGGAGTTGCATATTCACATTTTCACTTGTTCTTGACTGTTTTTTTTAAGGCCTAGTTTCTTTCAAGAAAAATGAATCGGGCACAACTAAATAAACAAATTTAAACCTCCGCCTATTTAACATTCTAGTCACTCCACTTTGTTTTTAACAGAAACACTCTTCTGAAAATCTCATTTTATTAAAAATGTTTTGTGTTATTTATAGACGTCAATGAATGTTCTCTATCTACTGATAATTGTCATGAAAAGGCAACTTGTATCAACATGAAGGGATCATTTTTCTGCAAATGTTTACCTGGTTATTCTGGAGATGGAACTTTTTGTTCTGGTAAGCAATGAAAATGGCTGAGCCAAAAACTTACCCTTAAGAAATATTAGATTGATAGAAGTAATTGTTCAGGAATGCCAATAATCTGTTTGAGGAAAATGAAATATTTTGTGATTATAACTGAAGCTTTTGAAGAGCATCTCATATTTGTATAGATCAATTCTAGATCATTAAAATCACAGCCTCAATAAAGAGGCTTAGAGAACACATATGTAATAAATTGCATTACATTTACTTAATATACACTTCTCTATTGTTCTCATTAACTTCTTATGCAATGGTAAAAATTTGACATTGTTTTTAAAAGAGCCGTTTCGCTATGCAGTTGTATATTTCCTTGTAAGTTTATAATTAGCTTTAGTTTCTCGTTACATGCTTTTCCTTAAATATTATTTACGTTCAATAAAAAGTTTATATTTTTCATAAAATCATAGTTGAATCTTTGTTGGTCTTAAAATCAACTATTGGCCACTTGAATTTATTATATTAAATGCATGAACGATTCGATCGAGCCATTATACAATGATTTTGATGTTTTTTTATGGTATTAAAACTTCAAACATTTCAAGCAGTACTTAATTATTTTCTCATTAAAAATTTCGTATCAATCGATCACAAAATAATAATGGAAACTTCAACGTTATATGATTTCATAAGAGTTATACATTAAATATTTTTATTTTGATTTATCTATCTATTAGAAATTGATAAATGTACAAAGACCGTTCACAACTGCAGTATCAATGCTAAATGTGTCGACACTGTTCAAAGTTTTAAATGCATTTGTAACTCTGGTTTCACGGGAAACGGGAAATATTGCGATGGTAAGATGATTGTAGAATATATAAACACGTTTGCATGAGTTTCAGGATATTATTTATCGTTTTTAAATAGTTATTTTCATCATTTTGCAATTTTACTTTCATTTTTAGACATCGATGAATGTTCTCTTTCTACTGATAACTGCCACCAAAACGCAACTTGTATCAATAAAAAAGGATCATTTTCTTGCAAATGCAACTTTGGTTATTTTGGAAATGGAGTCATATGTTCAGGTAAGGATGGATTTCTAGAAAACATTTAGAAAATCTAATTTCAAACTTTCGATGATTATCTATAAACAGTAAATTGAGTTATTTTATTTTTTAACAAGACCAAGTACCTCCTCTAAGATTGGAAGGACCAAAAAGTAAAAATGGTACTGGCCGTGTTGAAATTTTTTATATGGAAGAATGGGGAACAGTATGCGACGATGACTGGGATTTAAAAGATGCTGAAGTTGTTTGTCGTCAACTTGGTTATGATTATGCAGTGAAAGCTCTACCAGGAAGTCATACACCACATGGTCATGGAAAGATATGGTTGGATGATGTTAAATGTACTGGTAGTGAACCAAATTTAGCAAGTTGTGTAAAAAACGAATGGGGAAATCATAATTGTGAACATCATGAAGATGCTGGGGTGGAATGCTCTAAAGGTAAAGTTTCCTTATCGTTGTACTTATAAGTACTTCATGATAGGTTTGTTGTTTGTCATAAAAAATGATGAAAATCAATGTTATCATCTTTAAAGATTTTAACCGTTTTAACAAGCAGTTACATACCAAATCATCACTATATCTTATTAAATTAAATAATAATTTTACATTAGATTTGGATGAATGTTCTCTTCAGTTGCACAACTGCAGCAGTAATAGTCAATGTATAAACACGATGGGAAGTTTTTTATGTATTTGTAAATCTGGATATACAGGAACAAATTGCACAGGTAAGATGACTTCAGCAGGAACACCCTTCCGAGAATTTCTAATCACAAAATGTTTTGTGTCATTTGTAGACATTAACGAATGTTCTCTGTCTATTGATAACTGTCATGAAAAAGCAACTTGTATTAACACAGAAGCATCATTTTTATGCAAATGTAAACATGGTTATCTAGGAGATGGAACGTTGTGCTCAGGTAGGCATTGGTCTTAATGACTACGCTTTAAATAACTAAAAGAACTACTTTATATAATATTGCACTGTTGATGATATGGAAGTGATTGGTAAATAAATGACTGCTTTGTATGTAGAAATTATGTAGATAAAATTGATTTGACATATTTGATGGAAAAAACAAGCTTTTGTATTGTTGGTGGACCTTGTTGAGAAAAATATCAAATCAAATGTCACAAACGCTGCAAAACTATAAACGAAACTTTTTGGCTGGGGAAAAGTTTTTTGGTACATGTAGCAACATAAAGGCTCTCCAAACTTTGTATCTATTGAGTGATTTATCTCCAAACTTTGCATCTTTGTATCTATTTATTTGTATCTTTGTATCATATTTTCTAACATATTTTGTCATTATAAACAGTGATTTGATTTCACGAATGCTGCAACGTCCCGTCAAATCATTTCTTGTGTGACTTTGCAGAGAAAAATGACAAAAAGTACATGCTTGAGATTCGGTTGACAAATCACAAGTTTTCTGAAAGTTTATTGAATTCATCTTCCAACGACTACAATAACTTGAAGAATGAAATAGAAAGAGAGGTAAATATTCTCTTGTTTTCAACTGAGAGTTGAATTTTTGTGCTTGTAGCAATACAAAGTTTGTTATTTTTTTTCAGCTCGACCATATATTCAAATCGTCTGATAAAAGTTTTTGGTACATTGATGCAAGAGTTCTTGGATTTCAGTAAGTTGAGATTTAATATTTGTTTTTCTTTTGCTTTCATTTAAATGTTTTATTCTTGCAATAAACGATGATATTTATGCTTCATAGGAAAGGAAGTACAATTGTATCTTTTGTCATATCCTTGAAACGTCAATTTAATCTTGATCCTCGTGAACTTGTAAAACAAATAAACAAAGTTGACACAATTGCTGGATACAGTTTTGACAAGACTTGCACAAGATTGAGAGGTATTTTAAGTAGATAAAATTGGTTTTAAATTATAAAACACACTTGCCAAAAACATCATCTTGTAAATTCATGATTTGAGTTACGCAGAGACACGATTTAAAACAATATATTGATTTATTTCGCTGTATAGATTGCTAAAGCGGTGGATGGGGAAAACGTTTTTTTTCTATTTTTTAGCCGTTGATGTTGAGGCGGAAATCAAACTTTCAAATAAAACCTTAGACAAAGATGTAAAGAATAAATTTTCATCGGCTTATCAGAAATTGAAAGAAAATGTTAATATACAGGTACAATTGCAAAGGAATTATAATTGAATGGACAAAAATAACACCATAATTTTTCAATGAATTTTACAAATCTTAAATTGTAAGATCTGGTCAAAAATTAGTGTTGCTGTTTTTAGTTTGTTGTTCTTTACATAAACATTTGGATGTGTACTTTGATTTGCTTTATTATCTACCACAGACTAGTAGACGAGAGCATGTATTATAGCTGTCATGTCCTTGCACATTTTCTTAAAAAGAGTTTTTTCTATAACGTTTATCCAAAGTTTATTTCGTGATCAATCAATAAACTATATCATCGTCGATTTTTTGACTATTTGACCTTGGATATATCTCCATCGTCATTTCTAATAATACGTATGCATAAACTAAAATGTATAAAGCTGTGTATATTGATGTTTTAAAGGAAGTTTGATAAAACGAAATTACAGTTACACCATTAGCCTATGTTTCTCATCTTATATTGCCGATGTATCTGCTTGTATCATACAATTTGTTGAGAAATAAATTTTTCATTTAGCTTTACAGATTTTTCAACAACACACCTGGATTTAATGATGTGGATATTTTAGAATTCAATGAGTGAGTACAAATAGAGTTGAACGTAGAAAAATACAATTATAAAATAGCAAAACATTTTAAGTAAACAAGAATTTTTGGGCATTCCTTTTCTATCTTCACTACATACAAGTGATGAAATATATTTATTTGCAAACGGATTTATAGCAGGATATGTGAATACAAATATTAAACAAATTACAATATAGTGGAGAAAAAAAATAATGCTTGTAATGTTTGACTACAAATGTGTTGTTCGTATGCTTTGCAGAAATGATGGTATCACAGTGAATTTTGCAGTCATTTTCTTTAAAACACCTAATGAGACAATAGATGTTATTGCATTAAACGTTGGTCGTAAGATTATCAAACAGTTAAAAACTGGTCACATTGGCGATGTCAAGTTCGACACAGAATTTCTAAGATTAAAAGGTAAACATATTGTACATTTTTGTGAGAAACGAAAAACATGTGTTTAAGAAACGATTTCTAGAGTAATGGAAAAAATAACCAGTTTTTTACAGAGATTGTGTCATTAAGTTTTTAAATAAATATTTATCGATAAATATTTTGCTATTGTTTGAAACAAAATATAAATTTTTTCATTTGTATAATTTAAAATCATCAAGGAAATAAACAAGTGTAAGCATAATCATTAGTTTTCTACAATAAACTATAATTTAACATTTCTTTTTTTACAGTTTAGCATTTCATGAGCATTACTAAATTTGAAAAAATAGCACATAAAACACAATAATATCACAATTTCATGAACATTTAGGAACTTACAAGAAGTACAAAACACAGCAGTGCCTGTTTTAGGCGCCATACTTTAACCTAACTAAAATATTGTTCTTGTTGAAAAATTATAACTGATATATGGCCCAAGTATTCATTTAAACGTTATTTAATTACTATTACCATTTTTGAAAAAAATTTATAGATAATCTAATTCCGTCAAAATGCAATCGTAGAATTTTGTTTCGTACTCCAGCATTGATGGATATTATTGAATAATAAGATAAATATCTCGTAAAAATTTAAATATGACAAACATTTATCGCAGAAACAGGAGAAGAAAACAAAATTTATTTTTTACATCATTTTGGTAACTCCAATGTTTACAAAATTTGCTAAATTTCTTTACATTTTAGTTCCACCTCCTCCTCCGAGGAATGTAAGACCTTCTCAAGTAAAAGAGACTTTCATATATCTGGAGTGGGAACAGCCAGATCTCTATCAATATTTTTCCATTCGTTCATACTACATCAAGTATCGTAAAAGTGGTAAAAATACATGGCTCAACAAATCTTACAGCGCTGATCTTGCAACGAAAATGCAACTGAATAATTTAGAGAGCAATGTGATCTACGTAATTAAGGTGGTTGCTAAGAATGATTACAGTTTTGGAAAAGAAAGTGAAGAAATAGAAGTAAAAACTTTAAAAGAACAAGGTGATTTATTTATTTTTTAAAAGCCCATAGAACTGACGTGTTTCATAAACATCTGGTATCTATAAATGTCTGACAATCAAGAAATCCATATTTATCTTCATTTTTCAAAATATTTTTTACTAGAAAGGTAGTTTAATAACACTTTATAATGATTATATGAAGGAAATGCCAAATAAATTGTGAATGCAGGAAGAGAATAAAATTATTTGCATTGCAGCTCTAAAAATGCATCTTGATCTCCATAACATGCAGCCAAAATGCAGATAAAACGTTCTAATCAAAGCTAACTCCACATCCTTGAGCAAAATATATATAGTGTACTGTATGAGTTTTAAAAATTTTCGTCCATTTGTTTTTTCAGCGTTGTTATGTTTTTGCAGCAAATCATACCAGAAAATATAATTTATTAAATTTGTCCTTTCTAGGAATGTCACAGTGGTATTATCTTGCTCCAATTATTGTCGTTGCCTCTTTAATTGCTTTAATCGTCATTATATATTTGGCAAAATGTACGATTTGGAAAACAAGTTGGCATCATAAATTTAGCAATGAAGAAAAAGTAAGACACGTTTTCAAATATTTTAAAATTGTATTTCATTTGCTGTTTTACTTGAAGTAGGTATTGCCTTGTGTATTTTTTCTTATTATATACGAGTTTGAAATTTATGCGCTACAAACTGGTGAAATAAAAATTATATGCCTAAAATTTCCGAGCACCTGATTGGACATATCATTTTCTTCACTAGTGAAAAATGTCGTATCTCCATTGTGATTGGATATACCATTTTTTCACGAGTGACAAAATGCATATCAAGTTATATCAAGTTTCATCGCTTTTTATGGCTTGTTTTTCGAGTGGCTGTTCAATTGATTATTCTTTTGTGATGTTTTTTAGAAATTTTTTGAACTCACTGAAGTGCCAGAAACAAATAAATCGTTGAGTTCAAGCGACACAAATATGAAGACGCCTTTAACTGCTAACGTTTGATGATTTTTTTACGTTTTTGTTAAGTTTAACTATCTTTTTGTGTCAGAATGATATGATGAAAACGGTCGACATGCTTACGTTGTGATTGTTGGAAATTATCTTTGTTTTTCTTTATTATTTTTGTGGAATTTATCAATTTATTTTGTTAATTTACTGCAACCAAAATTTCTTATCTAGTTGAGTTATTTCATTCAGTTCCTCTTAATAAAATTAGTATGAGTATGGTGAACAAATAAATTTAAGTGTGCTTCCCTCTTTTACTATTCATGACTTGCAATTCGGCCATGTTGTTGGTGGTCCGATACAAAAGAATATTTCATCAGAGTTATTGTTGTCACCAGCCTGCGTGGGCGAGCAACATTGTCTCGCAAATCTCAAGAGAACGGTTGCAAGTCAAGAATTTATTACTTTAAAAACATGTTATTGCATACAACATATATTATAACTATGTCACTTTAATGATAAAAAAGTTGTATTCTTTTTTATGACTTATAAAGATTCACGATAGATCGTCATTGATCTTTCTCCGGGGCTTTAATTTTCTGGCAGTAAGGTCGAATTTTCGTCATCTACAAAATTACATTATATTTTTACTGCTAAACAGTCATATAGAAGCTGATATTTTTTAATTTTGAATAAGTTGAAATTTAAAATAGTCAGTCTCAAATGTGAATCGTTTTTTAAATGAAGGTTTGATGAATTTAAATTGAATTGTTGATTTTTGAGGTTACGTTTACAAAATATGTTATTACAGTAAACACAAAAACTAGTGACTATTTAACAATTGTATAATAACCAGAAAAATTTGGATCGTGACTAAAACACCACACGAGTACATACGAGTACATACGAGTAACATACGAGTACATACGAGTAACATACAAGTACATACGAGTAACATACGAGTACATACGAGTGACATACGACTATTTTCTGGTCAACAAATGAGAAACAACACAATTTCTTCAATACATTGATATTTGCGTTTATTTTTCCTTGTATTTGTGTGGACTTTGGGGAAACCATTTGATGGATTTAAATGCTGAAAAGGTATTTTACTTTCATACTACATTCATTTGTATGTTTTAGTTGAATTTGTTATAGATATTTTGTCGATGCGATTTGCCAGTATTTGAGCGCTTTTTGACACACTTTCATCTAGGAAATACATATTTATGAAAGCGATTAAATAAACAACGTATAAATAATGCTTTCAAAACGTGCTATATGAAATAAATGTACATTATATATATTTGAATTAAATGAGAGTTGCACTGTGTTACGTATCATATTATGCGTAAAATTTCAGCTTACTTTCAATGTTTTTAAAGTTCTAGCTGATATAATTTAGTCTTTTAACTTAAAAATCAGGATCTTAAAGACCAAAATAAATGTATAATCGCTTTCATAAATATGTATTTCCTAGATGAAAGTGTGTCAAAAAGCGCTCAAATACTGGCAAATCGCATCGACAAAATATCTATAACAAATTCAACTAAAACATACAAATGAATGTAATATGAAAGTAAAATACCTTTTCAGCATTTAAATCCATCGAATGGTTGCCCCAAAGTCCACACAAATACAAGGAAAAATAAACGCAAATATCAATGTATTGAAGAAATTGTGTTGTTTATCATTTGTTGACCAGAAAATAGTCGTATGTCACTCGTATGTACTCGTATGTTACTTGTATGTACTTGTATGTTACTCGTATGTACTCGTATGTTACTCGTATGTACTCGTATGTACTCGTATGTTACTCGTATGTACTCGTATGTACTCGTGTGGTGTTTTAGTCACGATCAAAAAATTTGAGAAATTTCATTGGTCGAGAGCTATGATCTATAAGAGACGTATGAACGGAATTGACGTCACAGAAAATTTCATGCTTATAAATATATATTATTAAATGAAGATATGATCTTCGAACTTTGCTGGACAATTTAAGCAATCGCCTCAGGACCTGAAAAAACCAGGTGACTCAACGGGATATATATTATATATGTCATGTTTCAAATATATATTATATATGTCATGTTTCTCACGTGAGCATTTCTCGAAGATCACGCGTGATAAACATGTAGTTTTACCGTTGTGTTTTTTGAATTTCGACCTGAATGTGCTATGGGAGGTTTATGTCTTACTGGTATCGCTAATCTTTTTAAATTTTGATTGGGACTTAACTACAATGTATTGCTCAGCGTTAGTTAAATCAAAATACATCTGAAGTCCGATAAGAGTGATTTATCAAGCAGAGAAGCGACAACATTTCGTAATGGCGGCAATCTTGACAAAATGTCTGTTTGGAAAATATCTACGATAAAAGACACTGCACTGCATGCAAACTTGACGAAGCTGGGACAAAATCTTATTTTGTCATCTATAATCATGAAATTGTACAAGAATCAACGAATGCTTTAAAGAGTCGACAAAAAAGCATGCAAGACGGCAAAATATGGCTGCACAAAACATGTTTTATAGAAAGGTGGGTAAATTATAGTTCATCGTATGTCTACAAAATAATGTCAATCGCCTTCAAATAATGCATGATTATTGTGATTTAAGGGTTATTGTTTGTCTCATGTGATTTTTTCTTTGAAAATATGAAAATTAAATCTCTGCCAAGAATATTTGTGAACTTATGAAAAATTTACATTAAAACCCGAGATGGTACATGGTAATTTTCTCAGTAAATGTTCAACTTATGTAAATTTTTTCTTCCCATGACCACCCTAAACATGAATTTTATAAGCACATTAAGCATATCAGAAAAGTTATTTCGTTTTGTATTTGGAAGTTAGAGCTATGTCAACACTGCCATTTCAGGACTGTCTCAACGTTAAGACTTTCGTCTACGATTTAAGATAAATGCCATGTTGTTTGTCATGGTCATTTTACATAAAAACAGTTAACATTACTTTTAGTAAATGTAATGCATACAAACTCTTATACAGGTCCTTGACTACATGTAGAAAAGTGCAGAATACAAATGGCATTAAAAAGTTCCAAAAAAATCTGTTTAACTGGTGAATGGTTTTAAACCTCTCTCAGTTTACTGGCATTTCACAGTCACCAACACTAGCATGGTTAAAACAGAATATTGTTTCTACAGGATGTTTAAAGAAGACTTGTAAAAACTTTTGTTATTTAGTTATTTAGAAAATAATTTATTAGACTTGCAATGGTACATCTAACAGTAATATTGTGGTTAATAATAAATATCTTTCAAATGAAAATTGTAATTTTGGCTTAGCTTTCAAATTACAGGTTTTGAATTTTTGTTTTGAATTTTTGTTAGGGAGAGTGCGGTCGCGACAGAAGTGTGGGCCCTAAGCCACTGCATACTATATCGCACCCAGCTTCCACTGCTAGTTGACATCTACTACATGAAGTTTTAACTTTATATATGTATACTAAAATTTAAAGGCATACAAAAGTTGTGGGATGATTGTTATCGTTACTGCACATGCAACCAAGTGAGTTAATTGACAGAAATGTAGTGCAAGTACATATAGTTGGTCGTTGTCATGACTATAAACAATTACTCGAGTGGACTGCGCATGCTCGAGCACAAGCGCAGACGATTTCTCTATTAAATTGTTATTAAGCATGCTATTTACTTCAAAATTTGTGCTAGTAGATGCAGTTGGTTGTTGCCATGACCATGAACTTGGGTAGCTGGTCAAATACACTGCGCATGCTCAATCAAACTGCGCATGCGCAGATGATTTGTCTTAAAACTTGTGACTGAGCGAGCTAATTACTCCAAAATCGGTACTAGTACATCCAGTTGGTCGTTACCATGAGCTTGGAGAGTTTGTGGAGTTGACAACGCATGCTCAGATTCTCAATTAATTTGTGACAGAGCGAGCTCTGAAATTGGTGCTTGTAGATGCGCTGAGCAAGTTTTCAATCATATATTTTTGCCATGCTCTTTGTCTTCTTAAGCTTGTTTTGACAAATGCATATGAAACTCATCAACACTTTGTTACGGCACTCGTAATATCCGTGACAACGTTAAAAATGTGTTTTTATTTTTCTTTATAACTTTGTACCTGCATATTGCATGTCATATCTAAGCTTTCTTTTGATTCGACGGACAATGGTTTTTATTCACTCTTACATCTTCTGCCTTTATAATTAGTTGATCTGTATTTCTAAAATAATATTTACAAATGCTCCAAGAGAATCTTTTTATTTTATTGGCTCTCTTCTACAAATACAATACTATGTCCGACTATTTGGTTGCACGAATTTTTTAATTTGATCACGTTTTTTTGACACGTGTGTTTACCATGGGAAAGATGGATTGCTTAAATGTACCTAGTTGTTTAGACTAGTTGGATAAAAATTACGGTGGCCGGTACAGGTCACCAGAAAAATAATTTAAAAAACATAACAAACAATAAGAAAACATCACTCAAAATCATACTACACATTTCAAAATACTCACTACACATTTCAAAATACTCACTACACATTTCAAAATATTCACTACACATTTCAAAATACTCGCTACACATTTCAAAATACTCACTACACATTTCAAAATACTCGCTACACATTTCAAAATACTCGCTACACATTTCAAAATACTCGCTACACATTTCAAAATACTCGCTACACATTTCAAAATACTCGCTACACATTTCAAAATAACTCACTACACATTCGTCCCAGTCTTACCCTGGTCTGGCCTGCCCACGGTCATCATTGGTTTACATATACGAAACTGACGTGATGTCAGAAAGCTAATATAAATATACGCTTCTGATGTTACTAATATTTCAGTACGCTTAAGCATATTTTGATGCTATTGTGGCGATATGTTGTCTATGTGGAACTCGGCACATAGACAAACATATCGCCACAATAGCATCAAAATATGCGATACGCGTACATGAACTATTAGTAATATTTCTTCCAGGGATTTCTTGGTCTTGGTTAGACAACACGAGTGGTCAATCTACAGATTGCAAGTAATTCTATTTGTATTGGTGATATTCGACAATCATTAGTTTAACTAATGCACTTATTGACGTGACTGGTATTGAAGTTCTAAATTTATTGCTTTTACTCGAAATTACCGAACTTTTCATTTTCTTTGGCGTTTCTTGTGCAACAAATTATAGCGCTATGTGCAAATTTCTTCTTTGGTTTCCTTGTTATTTTTGTAACGCATCACACAAGTACGTACGCGACATAGCGAATGCAAATTCATATACTCAAATTTTTGCTATTAAAGTACGGACATGTGTCGAAAGCCACTGCAAATACATTTGCTTGCGATATGTAGATCGTCTACTAATGTTGCTGCATGACATAAGTCCAGCGTAACCCTGGAAGAATTTCTGATTAGAGTTCAGCCAATATGTTCATGCTATTATTCCAATGTCCCAATTTGTTTATCTTGTGAAATGCGGAATTATATATTTAATATGCTTACTTTATGATGTCACGTCAGTTTCGTAGATGGAAACTAATGATGACCGTGGGCAGGCCAGAACAGGGTAAGACTGGGACGAATGTGTAGTGAGAATTTTGAATTGTGTAGTGAGTATTTTGAAATGTGTAGTGAGTATTTTGAAATGTGTAGCGAGTATGTTGAAATGTGTAGTGAGTATTTTGTAATGTGTACTGAGTATTTTGAAATGTGTAGCGAGTATTTTGAAATGTGTAGCGAGTATTTTCAAATGTGTAGCGAGTATTTTGAAATATGTAGTGAGTATTTTGAAATGTGTAGTATAATTTTGAACGATGTTTTCTTATTGTTTGTTATGCTTTCTAAATTATTTTTCTGGTCACCCGTACCGGCCACTGTAAAAAATAGTCTTTTGTATGAAAATTCGTGAACTATAGTCTTTTGCACAAAAATTCGTGATCTATAGTCTTTTGCACAAAAATTCGTGATCTATAGTCTTTTGCAAGAAAATTCGTGATCTATAGTCTTTTGCACAAAAATTCGTGATCTATAGTCTTTTGCAAGAAAATTCGTGATCTATAGTATTTTGCATGAAAATTCGTGATCTATAGTCTTTTGCACAAAAATTCTTGATCTATAGTTATTTGCAAGAAAATTCGTGATCTATAGTATTTTGCATGAAAATTCGTGATCTATAGTCTTTTGCACAAAAATTCGTGATCTATATAGTCTTTTGCATGAAAATTCGTGATGTATAGCCTTTTGCATAAAAATTCGTGATCTATAGTCTTTTGCACAAAAATTCGTGATCTATAGTCTTTTGCATGAAAATTCGTGATCTATAGTCTTTTGCACAAAATTCGTGATCTATAGTCTTTTGCACAAAAATTCGTGATCTATAATCTCTTGCATGAAAATTCGTGATCTATAGTCTTTTGCACAAAAATTCGTGATCTATATAGTCTTTTGCATGAAAATTCGTGATGTATAGTCTTTTGCATAAAAATTCGTGATCTATAGTCTTTTGCACAAAAATTCGTGATCTATAGTCTTTTGCATGAAAATTCGTGATCTATAGTCTTTTGCACAAAATTCGTGATCTATAGTCTTTTGCACAAAAATTCGTGATCTATAGTCTTTGCATGAAAATTCGTGATCTATAATCTTTGCATGAAAATTCGTGATCTATAGTCTTTTGCACAAAATTCGTGATCTATATAGTCTTTTGCATGAAAATTCGTGATGTATAGTCTTTTGCATAAAATTCGTGATCTATAGTCTTTTGCACAAAATTCGTGATCTATAGTCTTTTGCATGAAAATTCGTGATCTATAGTCTTTTGCACAAAAATTCGTGATCTATAGTCTTTTGCACAAAAATTCGTGATCTATAGTCTCTTGCATGAAAATTCGTGATCTATAGTCTTTTGCATGAAAATTTGTGATCAATAGTCTTTTGCACAAAAATTCATGATCTATAGTCTTTTGCACAAAAATTCGTGATCTGTAGTCCTTTGCATGAAAATTTGTGATCTATAGTCTTTGCATAAAAAATCGTGAACTATAGTCTTTTGCACAAAAACTCGTGATCTGTAGTCCTTTGCATGAAAATTAGTGATCTATAGTCTTTAGCACAAAAATTCGGGATGTATAGTCTTTTGCATGAAAATTCGTGATCAGTAGTCTTTGCATAAAAAATCGTGAACTACAGTCTTTTGCATGAACATTCGTGATCTATAGTCTTTTGCACAAAAATTCATGATCTATAGTCTTTTGCACAAAAATTCGTGATCTATAGTCTTTTGCATGAAAATTTGTTAACTATAGTCTTTTGTCTATAGTCTTCTGACTATAGATCTGTGAATTATTGTCTTTGTATGAAAAATTGTGAAAATGCGTGAATTATATTCTTTGTATGAAAAATTGTGAAAATCCGTGAATTATAGTCTTTTTGTGAAAAATTGTGAAAATTTGTGAATATGTGTGAAAAATTGTGAAAATTTATGAAAATGCGTGAATTATAGCCTTTTTGTGAAAAATTGTGAAAATTTGTGAAAATGCGTGAATTATAGTCTTTTTAAGAAAAATTATGAAAATTTGTGAAAATGCATGAATTATAGTCTTTTTGTGAAAAATTGTGAAAATTTGTGAAAATGCGTGAATTAAAAATTGTGAAAATTGTGAAAATTTGTGAAAATGTAAATTATATCTTGTGAAAATTGTGAAAATTTTGAAAATGCATGAATTATAGTCTTTTTGTGAAAAATTGTGAAACTTTTGTGAAAATGTGTGAATTATTAGTCTTTTGAAAAATTGTGAAAATTATGAAAATGTGTGAATTATAGTCTTTGTGTGAAAATTGTGAAAATTGTGAAAATGTGTGAATTATAGTCTTTAGTGTGAAAATTGTGAATTTGTGAAAATGCGAATTAAGAAAATTGAAAATGGAATAGTAATGAAAATGTGAAAATGTGAATTAAGTGAATGTGAATGTGAAAATGTGAAAATGGAATTAAGTCTTGTGAAAATTTGTGAAAATGCGTTAATTATAGTATTTGTGTGAAAAATTGTGAAAATTTGTGAAAATGCGTTAATTATAGTCTCTATAAGAAAAATTGTAAAAATTTGTGAGAATGTGTGAACTATAGTCTTTTTGTGAAAAATTGTGAAAATTTGTGAAAATTTGTGAAAATGTGAATTATAGTCTTTTTGTGAAAAATTGTGAAAATTTGTGAAAATGCATGATTTATAGTCTTTGTATGAAAAATTGTGAAAATTTGTGAAAATGTGTGAATTATAGTGTTTTTGTGAAAAA